CTACCAGATCATCAACACCGAGCCTTTCAGCAAGTTCTTCAAGATACTCTCGGTCTGCGCCATCACCTAAAAGGTTTAGGCGAATACTCACTGCCTTCTCTTTAAGATGCTTGAGACTCTCAAATAAAACGGGGATTCCTTTTTCTGCATCAAGCCGACCGACGTAAAGCAGGGATTTCGCACGGCCTGCAGGTGCCCGATATTCGAATTTATCCGGCTCAAGACCACAGCGGACAATGACAAGTTTTTGCCAATCCTCTCTGTCTACATAGAGCATCATCTGGCTTTTACAAAATGCTCCTATGACGGCGATGAATTTTGCGTGGCGAGCTTTGACCTCAAGTGCCCAATAAAGAGCGTCGAAAAAAATATGTGGTCCGTGAATACTAATGCTGAAGGGAATATCGCAAAGTAACGCTGCAAACAAAGTTACACTGCCACTACCGTCTCCAAAGTGGTTATGTATGTGTTGTATGCCATCATGTTTCAACTTCTTTGCAAGATCGATCGCTTCTAAAAAGTAGGCAACCTGCAAGAAGAATCCTTTGAATCCTGGTCGTTTCGTTCTAATAGCGCAAATCATTGCCTGCAAAAAACGATGCGGGTGTAAAAATAAAAAATGCATAACCGCTAACAGTAAACTGAGAACGTTCACCGGCAGGGTGTATTGAGTGTCGGCTTTTTCTCGTATGACTTCTTCATCGACGTCGTGGGCGTCGCCTATCTTGTTTACAGAATAGGTTCTTACCTCGAATCCTTTTAGACGTAATCCTGATATTTCGCGACGGATGAAAGTATCTGTCGCCCTTGGATACGTGTTGGTGAAATACGCAAGTTTCATTGGTTCAAATGAGCTGCTCAATCGAGCTGACCGGTTTGATCGAGTTTGAAAGTTCTAATCCAAGAGTCTTTTTGCTCTCAGCAAAATCAAAAATGTAGGGGTGGAAGCGTGCTCGAAAGCTGGATAATCGCAGCGATTCAGGTATTTTGTGTCTCAGTCCAAGCAATCCAAAAATTGATTCCAAACACAACACCAAGCCTCCCAAGACACCGGCCGGAACGGGAATGTGGATAGCCTTAGATCCGCTTTGACTTTTGAGCACTGACAAATACTCGGACTGAGTTGGCAAATTATCATCGACGAGGTTCAGTTCAAGATGCTCTGATGGTTCCTGCACAAGATCGCACGCCTTCAATATTGCTGCGGCCGTGTTCTCTAAAGAAATCAGCGGAACTATTCCATCGTGTTTAACTTCAAAATTGAGATTCTTTATTCCGAACCCTGCATGGGCTCGAGACAAATTCCCTAACGAGTAGACTAAACCAGGGCGCACGATCACGTAACTACATCCGCGATCGCGGCAAGCTTGCATAAACCATTGCTCTTGCTTTAGCTTCATCGCCGCGTAAATGCCTAAACCGTCACCATCTCTACAAACTGGAGTTGAGTCATTAATGACTTTGATGTGCCTTTGATAATCAAGAACTGAAAGACTGCTTACCAAAACAAGCGTTTTCACGTTTGCTTCTAACGCACTCTCCACCGCATTTTTAGTGATGTTTATGTTCTCAAAAACTCCTTGTTCACTTAGCCCGTGTATTTGTGCAGCAAGGTGAACAAACGCATCTATTCCAACTAAATCTGAAGATGAAATTTGCTGCTCATTAAGGTCAATTTTAATAAAGTGGCCATCAAAAAAAGGAGGTTTTGTGCGGCCTATGCCTAGCGTCTCGTGCCCTTGATCGTGTGATGACTGCGCAAGCGCTCGACCAATTAGACCTGTCACCCCTGTAATTGCAATTCTCATAATTCTTTGTGTACTAAAAAGTATCGGCCATAAGAAGGTGTATTTCAGTGAAAACTGAACATCTCAATAGCCAATAAATCTTTCAATACCTCGCTCCGACTAAGAGTTATTGAAAAAAGCCAACAAAGCCACTCTCTGCAATCGCCAGCGATCAATCGGGCCAAACATTTACGCCATTTGCGTTGTGAAAATTAAGTCTCGCCTCAATTGCTGCCGCAATTGCAGGTAAGTTGCTGGTTATCTCGCTACGCAATTGCGTCGCAGCGCTCGGAATACTTAAACCGTTCACGTTTGGGTTGGTGCCGTAAACAGCCCGGTAGCAAACCATTGCGACTAGTAGATAGATGTTTTCCGATCCATGAGGCGCAGAATCGTTGTAAAGATCATTGAAGTTCAAACTTTGTAGATAACTTTCATTTTCAAATAGCCACGCTATAACCGGGCCTACAGGAATTGTCCTGATGGTTCGCCCGTTTGCATTTACGGCGTCCTGAACACTGACGAACCGGTCAAGGTATTCACCCATCGTGAAATTATTGTAAGTCGTGAACTCAGCCCTATTGCTTGGCGGGTTATTACCGCCATCCTGCCAATGAACATACAGCAAGTGTTCGGCAGAAGGATAAATCGGAGTGTAGTTATCTATAAGGTCTTCAATTTGCCTCTGAGTGTAGTCAATTGCAGCCTGAGAGCTGGAGCCGCCAATGTCCGTCTCAATAAAGTTAGAAGGCATTGAGTAGATGTGAGTGTAACCCTGATTTTCAAAGCCGCCACTAAAGGCTGACGTATTGCCGATAGGATAAATGCCGGTGACATTTACATTACTACCATCACCACTAAAGTTTTGAGAATTGTGGTCAACATATTGACCGAATGTAAAGGATCCAACAGAACTATTGCCGCTAGCACCAGCCAACAACCCCAGCCATTCACCAGCTTTTGTATAATCTGTATTTGGCGCCTCGTCGCCACCGGTGTAAGTGAACGCCGAATGTCCAAACACGTGAAATTTAGAAGACGTAACAATGCTACCAGGTTCAGAAACGACAATAGCTATCGACTCGTCCGTAGCATTGCCATCGCTATCAGTAACTGATGCCGTAATTGTATGACTTCCTTCATTTAAATCAGCAACGCTGGTACTACTGCCTGTCCCAATTGAGCCGTTTAAGCTCGAGCTCCAAAAAATATCAGCACTGATATCTCCATCTTCGTTGTCGATTGCCGCACCACTAAAGGTGATCGTGTCACCAACCGCGATATTCAAACTTGGAGAAGGAGAAGCAAGTGTCAGGGTTGGCCCATTATTGGCCGCAGCATTGATTGCAATCGAGACAACTGCGGTCCCTTCTAAACCACCACTATCGTTCACTGAAGCGGTCACAGTGTGATTCCCAACACTAAGGATATTGGTGTCTACAGAACCACCTGTCCCGAAAGAACCATCTAAATTTGAGCTCCATGTGATACCTGCTTCAAGGCCACTGTCTTCTGCATCAGTAACCGAGGCTGCGAAGGTAATTGTATTTTCATCTGTGTATTCACTTCCGTTCGCAGGCATGCTGATGAGCAGCATGGGGGGAGTATTAGTGCCGCCCGAGTTATCACCCCCCAATTCATCGCCACCATCTGCATTGGTACGGCTGCTACTGGAACTACCACTATTACATCCTGCAGAGACACCAAGGGCCGCTGACAAAATCGAAACTAGGACTAACTTGTACGCGGAACACAAACTGCTCATTTAATCTTCCTGGTGTTGCTCGGAGGTTAGAAAATGAAATTTTACATTAAATTCTGACGATAAACGTTAAGTTATTATAGAGCGTTAGACTGAGACCAACGTTGCAGATCACGGCACTGATCTTACTAACACTACTTTTTCGAAATGCATGTTTGAGATACGGGGGGTATCGCAGCCAGCGGTTTTAAATGCGCCAGAGTCCTATCAATGAAGCTGTTTTATTGCCGAAACAACATCCGCCAGATTTTGACACGTCAAACTAGGATGCATCGGCAGACATAGGACTTTGGAGGCTATCTCTTTCGCGATTGGCAGATCTACACCTTCTTCAGATGCTCCTACTCGATAAGGCTGAGTCTCAGATATTAGAGGACTGAAGTAGCGTTTACAGCCTACTCCAGACGCATTTAATTGCTGACAGATTTCATCTGCAGTCACCCCAAACTCTTCATCAACCAGAATTGGAAAGTAATGATAATTGTAGGCCTCTGAACAAATTGGCAATGGCAAAGATCGGAGTCCCTCAACCTGCGAGATTTCAGCACGGTAGAGTTCATCAATTAATTTGAGCTTCCCCACAGTTAATTTAACGCCCTGCAGATTTGCAAGCCCAACTGCGGCATGAATTTCGCTCATTTTTGCATTGAGTCCAATCGAGACAATTTGACCATTTGCATCCAATCCGTTATTTCTCAATGCCTCTAACTGGAGTTTGGATTCTCTATTTCTGGAAATTATTGCGCCGCCTTCAACCGTGTTGAACACCTTTGTTGCATGAAAGCTCACAACTGACATTTCGCCACGCTGCAACCATTGGCCATATTCAGATCCAATTCCAAAAGCCTGCGCAGCGTCGTAGATAATCGGGATACCATACTCTTGAGAAATGTTTTCGAACGCCTCGGTGTCACACATCCGGCCGAAGATGTGCACTGGCAATATCGCGGCAGTGTCCCGAGTAATCATTTTCCGGGCAGAGTTAGGATCCAGTGTAAGTGTAAGCGGATCTATATCAGCAAACACAGGCTTTAATCCTGCCCAACATAAACTGTTTGCGGTGGCAATAAAAGAAAACGGGGTGGTGATAACTTCCCCTTGCAACCCCAGCGATTTAGCAGCCAGCATCAAACCTAATGTCGCATTTGATACAAGGGTAAGGTGATCAACGCTAAGAGTCTCAGCCAAAGCGTTCTCGAGCTGATTGTGGAACGGCCCCGAATTGGATAGCACTTTCGACGACCAAATCTCACGAAAATGAGGGAGGATATCTTCCAAGGGCGCTATATTCGGGACAGTCACTGTTGATGTAGGCAATTTGGTTCCACCCTCCGGGACTGTGGGCCAGGATTAACCCACTGTGAGACCAAAAATCATAGCGCTAAATCTCCTACAATAATGAGTAATTCTGTAAACCATTGGTAAATGATTTCACACAGGAGTACCTCACATCAAAGCCCCAACACCAACTTACTCATAATATTTCGCTGAATTTCATTAGAACCCGCATAAATACTCACTTTCCGGGCATTAAAATACTCCTGCGCGGTGCCATTGGCGTCCTGCGGGCCCACCGCCTGAAAATTGTCACCAGGATACGGAGTAGACTGATCCAGCGGCAGCGCGTAGTGGCCGGATATCTCCATCGCCAGCTCTGTCACGGCCTGCTGCAGCTCTGTACCTCGAGTTTTCAACATGGAACTTTCCGGCCCCACATTTTGCCCAGCAGCCAGCGCACCAAGAATGCGTAGCTCTGTGTATTCCATCGCCAGAATCTGAATCTCTACGTCATTAAACCGACGCTGAAAGTCTGCAGATTCGGCGTAACTTTGACCTGCACCATTCTGCTCGGCTTGCGCAAACGTTTTCAGGTGATTCATCGCACCTTTCAGTGAAGGTGAATAAGCATTACCACGCTCAAACTCAAGCAGATACTTCGCACAGGTCCAGCCTTTGCCTTCTTCACCAACCAGGTTCTCTTTGGGAACTTTAACGTCCTCAAAGTACACCATGTTGATTTCCTGGAAGCCTTCACCCGGCTGATCCAGCGTGATGATCGGCTTAACTTCGATTCCAGGTGTTTTCATATCAATCAGAATGAAGCTGATACCCAGCTGACGAATATCTTCCTGGCTGGTACGCACAAGACAGAACATCCAGTCCGCATATTGCGCCAGCGTGGTCCAGGTTTTCACACCATTAACCAGGTAGTGGTCACCCTTATCCTCCGCTTTGGTGCTCAAAGACGCCAGATCCGAACCGGAGCCCGGCTCTGAATAACCCTGACAGAACCAGATATCAGAGTTCTGGATCTTGGGAAGGAAGTTCTTTTTCTGGTCTTCGGTACCAAATTTCATGATCACTGGCGCAACCATGGTAATACCAAACGGCACTACACCAGGCGCACCCACACGAGCACGCTCGAGGTCAAAAATATAGCTCTGGGTGGGCGTAAAACTGGAGCCACCATATTCAGACGGCCAGTTCGTAGTTGCCCAGCCTTTTTCGGCAAGACGTTTCTGCCAGCCAACAAGGTCCTCTTTCGACAATTTGCCCAGCGCACTTCGCGCCTGCTTATCGCGCAATTCCTGCGGCCAGGCGGTCTCCAGCCAGGTACGTACTTCTTGTTGAAACTCTCTGTCTGCTTCGCTAAACGATAAATCCAAGGGTCTTGCCTTTGCTTACTTCTAAAACGCTAGTTTAAAGAACTCAATGAATTTGCACTAGCTATTTGAAACCGCTGCTTTACGCTTTGGCTTTTACAGATTCAGACGACCAGACGTGCCCGAAAAACTGAAAATATTCGGTGAGCGCCACACCAACACCAACTATCTAAGCAAACTCATCGAGCTCAATCTTGATTGTGAACTGGTGGAAGGTGTTGTACCCACCTACATTCGTACAATCGAAAATCTTCTCGGCAAACAGTGGTTACGCGATGCGTGGTTCGCACGACACAGGAAAGACAATCTGGGCTGGAAACACAGCGCCGTTGGCGACTTTACTGCGCCTGCTGACATCAGCTTCGTCACGTTAACCAAAAACCCCTATGCCTGGCTGCTGTCCATGTACAGGCGCCCTTATCATCAGCAGTACGCCACCGCTCCAACACTGGAAGAATTCCTGCAACTGCCATGGCAGACGCTGGGGCGCGAAAACATGGACGGTCCAGCGCCCAATCCAATTGCGCTGTGGAATATCAAAAACGCGAGCTATCAGAAGTTACCTGACAAGCAAACCCTGCGCGTGACCACTGAAGAGACGTTTATCGACGCCGCCGCCGTGGTGACAAACATCGCAGAAAAGTTTGGCATCGAGCGGTTACAGGCTGAGTTTATCGACTTCAGCCGTTCAACCAAAAAACGTGCTGACCGTGATGGCGCCTACTATCGGGACTACTACCTGAACGAGCGCTGGCGCGATGAACTCTCAGACGAAGCCATCGCGCTGATCAATCAGGAACTCGACCCCGGGTTACTGTCTTTCTACAGCTATACCCTGCTCTAAGTCACCCTGCCCTGTTCCACTAAGGCTTTGCCGACAACGCGGATCGCCAGTGTTTCTTCCGCACCTTCAAAGATGGAAAGCACTCGTGCGTCTGCAAAATAACGGCTCACCGGAGATTCTTCCGCATACCCCATACCGCCATACATCTGCAATGCTTCCCGGGTCACCCACTCCGCCGCACGACAGGAGATGAGTTTCACCAGGCTGGCTTCCATCGCGCCTTCACCTCGATCCATAAGCGCCGCCACTTCATGAGTAAACGCTCGACAGGCGACAATATTGGCCGCCATTTTCACAATCTTCGCGAGAGACAGCGGATACTGCGCCACTGCCTGACCAAATACTTTTCGATCTGACGCATAGCTCACCGAATCTTCAAACGCGGCGCGCATCAAACCGCACGCACGCGCGGCAGTCTGCAATCGACCACCCATGAATCCACGCATGGTGAAGTAGAAACCTTTGCCGCGGCCGCCTTCTTCCCCGATCAGGCAATCGTCCGGCACAAAAAAGTCATCGTAGAACATTTCAAACGAATGCATGCCGCGATAGCCCAGCGTCGCGATGGCACGACCGCTCATCTTGCCGCCGTTGTCCTGGATGTATTCGATTTCGTGGCCTTCGTGTACCGGTTTCTCAACCACAAATAGCGACAGGCCTTTGTGCGGCGGTTTTGCATCTGGCTCTGTACGCGCCAGCACCAGGATCGCCCCTGCCTTTCCAGCAAACGTGCACCAGGTTTTGCCGCCGTTGAGTAACCAACCACCTTCGGTCCTGGTCGCTTTTAAGGCAACAGAGGCCACATCAGAGCCGGTGTTGGGTTCCGTAACTGAGATCGCACACAGCGGGTCGCCCGCGGCAATATCCGGCAGCCATCGAGCCTGTTGCTCATCAGTCCCGCCTTCCATAATGGCCCGCGCCATAATCTCCGGTCTTGTAATCAAGCTGCCAGCTGCACCTAAAGAGCCACGCGACAACTCTTCAGTCACAATCACCATGCCCACGCTGTCTTCGCGGTCATCGGGTTTCAAACCCCCAAAACGCTCAGGCACTGACAGACCAAAACACCCCATCTCCCGCAGCGGTTGCAGAATCTCATCAGGAATCAGCTTGTCCTGCCGGTGAATATCCTCAGCTAATGGCTTAACCACATCGTCTGCAAACTTACGGAAGGTATCGCAGATCATGCGCTGGGATTCGTTTAAGGGCTGCTCCGGCAGCCCCTGCGCCAGCAATGCGCGTCCTAGTTCGGCAATGTTCTGAGGTAACAGGGTGTCATTGTGGCCCGCTGAATTATGAATATCCGTCGCATTCAGGCCATAAGCCTGCGGCCGTATGCCTAACCGGTAACGCACCTCGGCAGCAATTTCTGCGCTGAAATAAGCAGAAAGGTCTTTTAACAAAGTGTTGCTGCTGGACGCTGCCAGTCGCCGCAGCGCGGTTGCGGCATGCAGGTTCGCCTGAGCGAAGGTCAGATCATAAAGCTCAATCTGCTCTTCGTTCAGATCACCACCCAGGTGTGCGGCGCCTCGGGTGACCAGTTGCTGCAGCAGGGTTAATTCATCGTTTTCTAATGTATTCATAGTTTCGATTATAAACGCCTTTCGGATATTACTAATACCACCCTGCACAGGACGGTGTGATATAAAGCGGCCACCCAGAGCAACGCTGATAAGTGCCATAACATGCAAACCAACGAGACGGTTCTGACCGTTCGCCAATATTTTATCGATTTACAGACTCAGATCTGTTCGACGCTCGAACAAGCTGATGGCAAAGCCACCTTCAGCCTTGAGCAGATTGAAGCGCCAAATGGCGGTTTAGCGCAGCCGCGCGTCCTGGCGGACGGTGCACATATCGAAAAAGCAGCGGTGCAGTTCACGCACTCCCTTGGAGACTCCCTGCCTCCGGCGGCGACAGAGCGCAATCCACACCTGGCGGGCTCACCTTTCCAGGCCACCGCCATCTCCATGATTGTGCACCCGCAGAATCCACACGTGCCCACCACCCATATGAATCTGCGATTTTTCATCGTCGATGCTGATGAACCCGTATGGTACTTCGGCGGTGGCTACGATCTGACGCCTTTTTACGGCAACATCGATGATTGTCGACACTGGCACCAGACAGCGGCTGATGCCTGCGGCGAACACTACACCGCCTTCAAAAAAGAATGTGATGAATACTTCTATCTTGGCCACCGCCAGGAGTGCCGTGGCATCGGGGGTATTTTCTTCGATGACTGGTCCACCGGTGGCTTTGATGCCAGCTTCGACCTGGTTAAAAAAATCGGCGACTCGTTTTTGCCCGCCTATATGCCGATCTTTAACGGCCGGAAAGACACCCCGTTTACCGAGGCGGAACGTGATTTTCAGCTGTATCGCCGCGGCCGTTACGCAGAATTCAATCTGGCCATCGACCGAGGCACTAAATATGGCCTGCAAAGTGGCCGGCGCATCGAGTCAGTACTTGCCTCGCTGCCACCCCTGGCGAAATGGCTTTACAACTATCAGGCGCCAGCCGGTTCGCGTGAAGCTGAACTGACTGATTACTATCTGAAGCCTAAGAACTGGCTCGAAGCTGTGGATAACTCTGGGGATTAATCGTTGACTCTTTTGGGTTAGATTTACCGCGCCACATGACGCGACGCGATATTGTTATTAATATCAATAGGTTGCAGAACCTTTAGAAGTGTATTTTTCAGTTTCACGCACAAATTAAGTAAATTGCACCTTGTGTATAAACTACTCAGGTGCAATGAGCGTTAACCGGTCAATCACCTGAACCACCCCTTTCGCTTCTCCGGCTAAGCGCAGCGCTTTACTGCGCGCGGCTTCCGAAGGTACTCGACCATAAAGCGAAACGATGCTGCGGTTAACCTCAACATTTATCTTGAAAGCTTTAATCTCATCATCGGCAATCAGTTTGGTTTTCACAGCAGATTCGATGACAACGTCATCTGTAAACTGGCCCACGGTTCGAGCGCTGCCATCTCTGTAACTCTGGCAGCCTGACAGCAACACGACCAAGCCGATTGCAATCCATATTTTTGACACGTATCTCTCCTCTGGTAAGAAAGCCTGTGGTATGAAGGAGTGATTCAATCAAGGGAACTCAGGGGATGCAACACAATCAAGTCGAACCGCCGTTTACGGTTATCGCAGAAAACCTGCAGTTTCCAGAAGGCCCTATCGCTTTAGCAGATGGGAGCGTGATTCTGGTAGAAATCGCACGGGGCACACTGACACGCATTAAGGACGGCAAAACCGAGGTCGTAGCTAACCTCGGCGGCGGTCCGAACGGCGCGGCTATGGGCCCCGATGGATGCGTTTATGTCTGCAACAATGGTGGGTTCGCCTGGCACAAAAGCGATGGCAAACTTTATCCGGGTGAAGAGCCACAGGACTACAGCGGTGGCCGCATTGAGCGGGTCAACCTGCATACCGGCGAGGTCGACATCGTATTTTCTGACTGCCGCGGGCAGCCTCTGCGCGGCCCCAACGACATTGTTTTCGACCAGACAGGTGGCTTCTGGTTTACCGATCATGGGAAAAGTCGCCCACGTGAACGAGATCGCACGGGCGTCTACTACGCCAAACCAGACGGGTCGTTCATCGAAGAAGTTATTTTTCCCATGGAAGGCCCTAACGGTATAGGTTTATCGCCAGATGAATCTGAACTTTACATTGCGGAAACAGTGCCCGGTCGCGTATGGGCTTTCCCATTGAGTGGCCCCGGCCAGTTAGCCGAACAAGGCCGAACACGCCGCCTTCTGACAGACCGCCCGGGGTACCATATGTATGACTCCCTGGCAGTGGACAGTACCGGCGGTGTTTGTGTGGCAACCATCATAGACGGCGGCATCACAACCCTGATGCCGGATGGCAGTGCACCCTCCTTTACCCCCCTGCCTGACCGGCTCACCACCAACATATGTTTTGGCGGAGAAGATCTATCCACTGCGTACATCACCTTGTCGTCAACAGGGCAGCTGATCAGCATGCCGTGGCCGACACCCGGCCTTGCCTTGAACTTCCTGAACAAATGAGTACACACATGCAGCTTACAAGAAACAGCGCAACAATTGACTATAACGTCTACGGCTCAGGGCCCACATCGATACTGCTCACCCACGGCTATAGTGGCACCCAGAAAATGTGGGATCCGCAACTGGAAGCTCTGGCCAGGGATCACCGGGTCATCACCTGGGATGCCATCGGGCACGGGTGTTCAGACAGTCCTACGGACACTGGACGGTACGCTTACACCGAGGCTCTTGCAGATATGGCTGCAATATTGGATGAAGTCGGCGTTGAACAGGCTGTTATCGGCGGCCTTTCCATGGGTGGTTACTTATCGTTGGCCTTTCATGCCGCACACCCGATGCGAACCCGTGCGCTGATTCTTGCGGACACAGGACCCGGCTATCGAAACGATGAAGCCCGCGAGCAATGGAATAAAATGGCCAGAGGCCGTGCTAAATACTTCCGCCTGCGTGGCCTTGACGAACTCGACGCTGATGACCTCGCTCATGGGGGTACACACCGTTCTGCGGAAGGACTGGCGCTGGCTGCGGAACATATGCTTGTCCAGCACGATGGTCACGTGATGGCCTCTCTGCCAGACATACATGTGCCTACTTTGATTGTTGTCGGCGAAAACGACACGCCTTTCATCCAGCCGAGTCAGTACATGGCAAACAAGATCCCCGAGGCTGAGCTGATCACTATCCCGGGTGCCGGCCATGTTGCCAATATCGACTGCCCGAAATTGTTCAACGACAGCGTTGTTGGCTTTCTGCAAAAGCTCGCATAAACTAGGCCGACAATTAAAGCAGTACCAGCATCGAGGGGCAGGAATGCGTAGACCATTTGGACGGGGACGAGAAGAGGAAGGTGAAGAGGCGATCAACCTCACGCCCATGCTGGACGTGGTATTCATCATGCTCATTTTCTTCATTGTGACTGCAACGTTTGTCAAAGAAGTGGGCCTGGACGTTAACCAGCCTGATGACGAAAAACCCAAAACCGTAGACCCGGATAAGAAGAGTATTGTGGTTCGGATAACCAACCGTGACCGCATCATCATCGCCCAGCGCGATGTGGATCGACGCGCAGTACGAGCAAACATCGAACGCTTGCATGCAGAAAACCCGGAAGCGCCGGTGATCATTCAACCGCACCCTGACTCAACCACTGATCTGATGATTCATATTATGGACTCAGCCAGGCAGGCGGGCGTGTTTAATGTGTCCCTCGCCGCGCAGTGACGCGGCACATCAGACACCAAAAGGCCGTTTTACGGCCTTTTTTTTGGCATATGATTTCTCTGTAACCCTGGTTCCCGCTACAAATAGAGTTCCCTTCCCAGATGATTGATTTACGCAGCGACACCGTCACACAGCCTTGTGCAGGCATGCGCGCAGCCATGGCAGACGCAGAGGTTGGAGACGACGTCTACGGTGAAGACCCTACCGTATCCAAACTTGAACAGACCCTGGCACAGATGCTGGGTAAAGCCGCAGCGGTGTTTGTCCCCAGCGGCACACAATCAAACCTGCTGGCGCTGCTGACCCATTGCGGCCGGGGTGACGAGTACATAGTTGGCCAGGAGGCCCATACCTACCGCTTTGAAGGCGGCGGCGCGGCGGCACTCGGCGGCATTCAGCCACAGCCCCTTGATTGCGCTGCGGATGGCACCTTGAACCTTGATTTGGTGAAAGCCAACATCAAACCAGACGACTTCCATTTCGCGAAAACGCAATTGTTGTGTCTGGAAAATACAATCAGTGGTCGTGCCCTGCCCCTTGTCTACCTGAATGAAGCGCGCCGCTTATGCGACAGCACTGGCCTGCAGCTGCATCTCGATGGCGCGCGTTTTTTTAACGCAGCCGTCGAACAGAATCTTACACCGCAGGCACTTGCAGCCCCGTTCCACAGTGTCTCGATCTGCTTAAGTAAAGGCCTGGGCGCCCCGGTGGGATCCGTGCTTGTTGGTGAACAGGATTTCATTCGGCGCGCACGGCGCTGGCGCAAAATGGTCGGCGGCGGCATGCGGCAGGCGGGTATCATCGCTGCTGGCGGGCTTTATGCGCTTGAGCACAACATCAACCGCCTGGCCACAGACCATCAACATGCACACAGAATAGCTGCGGCTTTAAGAGCGAAGTTCGGCGACGTGCAGGTCCGCCACGCGACAAATATGGTGCACCTGGATATTGATGCTGATGTTTACACACGATTGGCAAAACATTTTGAGTACTCAGGCATTCGAGTCGGCCGACCACGCTGGGTTTTTCATCTGGATGTTACACCCAGCGACATTGACCTGATCGAAGTGCAGATTGCTTCATTTACTCAATGACAAACACCGTCATGATCTGCCCTTGATGTTCCCGCCAGAAGCCATAACCACTCTCTAAGCGCTGGTTGGGTGAATGGTCTCCAAGATAGCGAATGGTGAAGGTTTGGTCTGCGGGGTGCAGGACAATTTCTGCTTCCAGAAAAGTGATGAATTTCTGCCCAATGGGATAGATTGCTTTATAACCCGCCTCTTTGGCGGAAAACATCACCGTCGCGGCATCAAAATCTGATGCGCTGATCTGCTCCTGTTCCGCATCGTTAAACAACACACGGAACAGTTTCTCTTCCACCCGTCCAGCAGCTTCAATATCAAGTCCGATACCGTTCAGTGAGGTAGACACAACCGCACCAGCGATCGTATCGCTGTGGGTTATACTGCCAATACAGCTTTCAGGCCAGAGCGGCACACGACTGTTTCGCAGAACAGGCTGCGGTTCCAGTCCAACCATCTTCTGAGCCAGATGCGCACAATAGCGTCCACTGGCAAATTCGAACTGGCGGCGCTCTGCCATGGTCTGGATTTCTGCAAGTTCCAGCGCATCCAATTCGCTGCGACGATCCTCAATTTTAGCCAGGACAAGTGCGGTACCCGCCAGATCGGGTAACGAGGTCGACAAACCCTCAAACTCTTCCAGATGGTGCCATTGCATAAAGACATAGAATCCAATAACCAAACTCGATAATATCACTTTTTGGGGTGGAAAAGCTAAAGCGACGTTATATCTTCTTAACGTAAGTCTCTAATGGGTAACATAATTTTTTTAAACGGATGTTCCAGTTCGGGTAAAACCACGCTGGCCATCAAGCTGCAGCAGCTCCTCGACGAACCCTATCAGCACATCGCGCTGGATCAGTTCCGAGACGGTTTGCCCAGCCGCACCCGCGGCCTGAATGCACCCGAACATTCATCCGGTTCGACCGGCCTGAATGTTGTGCCAAACACCGATAATGGCAATTGGGTGACACACATCCGCTTTGGCTCCCACGGCGAAAACATCCTCAAGGCCATGCGAAGGACCGTTGCCCTGTTCAGTGAGTTGGGGAACAACGTGATTGTTGATGACCTGTTATTCAAGCGCGAGTATCTCGACGACTACGTTGACGTGCTTGATCCTACAAAGGTCTGGTTTATCGGTGTGAAGTGCAAACTGGACGTTGTTGAAGCACGTGAAGCGAGTCGGATAGGACGTTTTCCCGGCACAGCCGCAGCGCACTTCGATCAGATTCATGGCCACGGCGAAGTATACGATCTGGAATTAGACACCAGTGAAGCCTCACCTAGAGAACTGGCTTTGCAGGTGATCGAACGACTCAAAACGCCGCCTCAGGCATTTGCATTGATGGCTGCCAAGCGCGTTGGCTAAAATCATCCAAACCTCAACCAGATTACGAATCGAAGACAAATCCTCCCGCCCAATGCTTTAAACTGCGGCAATACCAATCAGAATCAATCGATGAAAGTTTTAATCACAGGCGGCGCAGGGTTTATTGGCTCCGCATTGGTCCGCTACTTACTGCAAGACACAGACACCGAGGTCATCAATCTCGACAAGTTGACGTACGCGGGCAACATTCACTCACTGGGCAACGTGACCTCTTCACCAAAGCATACGTTCATCCAGGGCGACATTTGCGATAGGCAACTGGTGACATCCATTCTGACCGATCATAAACCCGACGCGATCCTGCACCTCGCTGCGGAATCACACGTTGACCGATCCATAGACGGGGCGGCTGAGTTTGTCCGAACTAATGTGGTGGGCACATTTGAATTGCTGGAAGCCGCACGCCATTACTACGAAAACCTCAACGCCGAGCTACGGGAACACTTTCGTTTTCTGCACGTCTCCACTGACGAAGTGTTTGGCGATCTGACCAACCCACAAGAACTGTTTACAGAGACCACAAGCTACAAGCCCAGCTCTCCCTACTCAGCCACCAAGGCAAGCTCTGACCACCTGGTTCGCGCCTGGTCTCGCACGTACGGTCTTCCCATTCTCCTGACCAATTGTTCAAACAACTATGGGCCGTATCAGTTTCCCGAGAAGCTGATACCGCACATGGTCTTAAACGCGCTTAAGGGAAAATCACTTCCAGTCTATGGAGACGGGTTGCAGATTCGCGACTGGCTGTATGTTGACGATCACGCTCGTGCACTGTGGCGCGTCTTAACTGCTGGCAAGGTTGGTGAAACCTACAATATCGGTGGACATAATGAAGTGGCCAATATCGATGTGGTTAGAAGTCTGTGCAGTATTCTCAGCGAAGAAACAGACTCCACATTTGATGCGGACAACTTGATTGAGTTTGTAAAAGACAGACCAGGCCACGATACCCGTTACGCCATCGACGCCACAAAAATCGAAAAAGAACTGGGCTGGCTGCCACAGGAAAGCTTTGACACAGGCCTGAGGAAAACAGTCCAGTGGTACCTGGCAAACAAGCAATGGTGGGAACAGGTACTGGATGGTTCGTACCAACTCGATCGTCTAGGTCAATAAGAGGAGACCGGTAATGGCAAATCGAAAAGGTATTATTCTGGCCGGTGGCACAGGGTCTCGACTACACCCGATAACCTTGGGCGTGTGCAAACAACTGCTACCAATCTACGACAAACCGATGATCTACTATCCGCTCAGTACGCTTATGCTGGCGGGAATCAGAGACATTCTGATCATCTCCACACCAGAAGATCTGCCTCGTTTTCAGACGATGCTGGGAGACGGGAAAAGGTGGGGCATCACAGTGAATTATGCAGAACAACCTTCCCCGGATGGTCTGGCGCAGGCCTTTCTGATCGGTGAGGCGTTCATCGGACAGGATCCATGTGCTTTAATTCTGGGAGATAACCTGTTTTTTGGCAGCGGTTTCGGTGGCCAACTGAAGAGAGCTGCAAACTGCGACGAAGGTGCTACCGTTTTTGCATACCCCGTCGTCGATCCTCAAGCGTTTGGTGTGGTCGAATTCGATGAGGATAACAAGGCTATTTCCATCGAAGAAAAGCCCACCAAACCCAAAAGCAGATACGCCGTCACCGGGCTGTATTTTTACGATAACCAGGTTGTTGAGATTGCAAAAACCATCAAACCCTCGCCCCGCGGCGAACTGGAAATTACTGATCTGAACCGGGTCTATCTCGACAGCAATACGCTGACCGTTGAAAAAATGGCTCGGGGCATGGCTTGGCTGGATACCGGCACACACGACTCACTGCTTGAAGCAGCACACTTTATCCAGACGCTGGAGAAACGTCAGGGTTTTAAAGTCGGCTGCCCGGAAGAAATAGCCTGGCGCAATAATTGGATAGATGACCACCAACTCGTGTCTCTCGGTGCAGATCTTTTAAAAAGCGGTTACGGTCAATATCTGCAGGACCTTGTTGAAAACCCATGAAAGCGATTCAAACAGCACTACCTGGCGTACTGATCATTGAGCCTGTTGTATTTGGCGACGAGCGCGGATTTTTTCTGGAAACATATCAGCAGAACCGCTATCGAGAACTCGGCATTGAATTCGACTTTATCCAGGATAACCATTCCCGATCCCAGCAAGGCGTACTGCGCGGTTTGCACGCCCAGAAGAACCAGCCGCAAGGGAAATTGGTCAGGGTCAGTCAAGGTTCAGTGTTTGACGTCGCAGTGGACATCGATCCAGCATCAGAGACCTTCGGACAATGGGTAGGTGTTGAACTGAACGACACTGATATGCGGCAACTGTGGATTCCACCAGGATACGCTCACGGATTCCAGGTACTCTCTGAAACCGCTGATTTTGAATATAAATGCACAGCCTACTACGACCCAAAAGACGAAATAGGCGTACTTTGGAATGACCCTACGCTGAATATTAAATGGCCCAAACCCCAACCGACTGTCTCTCCAAAAGACCAACAGTTACCGTTGCTGGAACATCTGGAAAAATGAAAATCTTAGTCATTGGAGAGTCCGGTCAATTGGCCCGCGCTTTGCAACACCTGCTACCAGATGCTCTCTTCTGGGGCCTGGATCAAATCAACTGGGACAATCCGGCAGGCGTCTCCAACAAATTAACCGAGGCAGCCCCTGACATTATTGTTAATGCCACTGCCTACACCGCCGTAGACCAAGCACAGGTGGAATCGCAAACGGCTTGGGCTGTTAACGTCGACGGACCTCGAATCCTTGCGGCCGTTGCTGAAGATCTCGGTGCCAAGCTGATACACATATCCACGGACTACGTATTTGATGGACAGTCAAAAGCCGACTATGTTGAATCGGATCCCACAAACCCGATCAATGTCTATGGCGCAACAAAGTTAGCTGGAGAACTGGCAGTCAGCAGCATTTGTACAGACTACGTCATCATACGAACAAGTTGGGTTTTTAGTGATAACGGCAACAATTTTGTCCTCACTATGTTGCGTCTCGCTGCAGAACGCGAATCATTGTCCATTGTGAACGATCAAATCGGTCGTCCGACGTTTGCTGGTGATCTTGCAGAGGCAATTGTTAGTGTTTGCCATTCAAGTGAATTTAAGCCCGGCACTTATCATCTATCAGGGGGTGAAGCCTGCAGCTGGTATGACTTTGCCGCAGAAATTTTCACCCAGGCCTTCGACCGCCAACTGATCAAACGCATTCCAGATCTTACCGCTATTCCTACCAAAGACTATCCAACACCCGCGGCGAGACCCATGCGGTGCGTGTTAGCACCATCGAGTGAACTCATGGCGTTAATGAAGCAGCCTCCGAATTGGAAGGAAGGATTGGCAGACGTTCTAGATAGCCTGAAAAACTGACTTGGCATCAAGGCGAATTAGAAAAATCCACTCGGAAAACATCAGAAACCCCCTTTCCCTCGCGTCGCTCCTTCGTCACGTACGCCCGAGTATCTGAACCGTGCGCAAAGCTAATCGACTCGCGCTGGCCGATAGAAGGCAACTTCACCCGTAAAGGGTCTTTCTCCAAATTCGCCAGACTATAGAGATAAGCATGCTGATACGTGGTGATCAGCAAAGAATCTCCCGCGATGTCCATACCACTGGGCATGTGCCGATAGTACGCATCATCATCAAGGGCATATTCCGCTTTGGTGTACTGCGGTATGCCATGCATTTCCTGGACAAACTCCGCAGTGACCTTTTGTGTTGCTCGAAGCGGCAGACGAAACAGCTCGGGCGGATAATGGCGCTTGCTTAAGACAAAAAACTGCCTGTTGCTGACATCTACTGCTAACGCTTCGCTGTCACGAAAACCATCCGGATAGGAAAACTCGAGCTTCCACGCGACATCCAATACCTTGTCACTACTGTCCAGATCAGTTGGCTCTGGAACAATCAGCAACCATACAACGGGCCGCCAACGAAGATTATCTCCCGTATCACCGATAACAAGATAGGACACGCCATCAAGGATAAAAGAATCCAGAGCCTCCCAGTCAACGGCCTTGTCCACGTTGATACGCCACTCGCCCAGGTCTACGCCTTGCTCATCCATGGCAAAAATTGTGGGTTCACTGCCACTGTCATTGATGGACCAGAGTACGTTTTCGTGTATCGGACTTGCCGTTAAACCGCTGGACTCTTTTAAATCGGCATTCTCAATATCTCCCAGCCAGGTCACCTGCTGCCAGGCAACATCTTCCAATACAGGATTGCTGACAACTGGGTCGCGCTTCAACTCCACCAGGTGCCACAGACCGGACCCCACAGCAAAGCCCTGCTGCCATCCATAAGCACTGAAAAGCCCGAGAAAAAGCAATCCCGCAGCAAAACCTAGCAACACCAGACGTTTAAAAATTTGCTGACTCATGGACGGTTCCAGAGGCTGAGGAGTTAAACAAAAATGTTAACATGACCCCTTCATCTATAAGAGTCATGAGAGTCACACAAACAATGAGCGAAGAATCGGTACAAGCGCTGGGCGCAGCCATCGACGCGGCACAGGCCATTGTCTGTTTCACCGGCGCTGGCATCAGCACCGAATCCGGTATACCCGACTTTCGCAGTCCAGGAACAGGTTTGTGGACAAAAATACAGCCTATCCAATTCCAGGATTTTGTATCGTCAGAAAGTGCTCGACAGGAATCATGGCGGCGTAAATTCTCCGGCGATCGCAGCTTTGCTGATGCCCAACCCAACCTGGGCCACCTCGCGGTTGCGCGCCTGGTTGAGATGGGAAAATGCCATGCGGTGATCACACAGAATGTCGACAATCTGCATCAGAACTCCGGCGTGCCAGACGAACTGGTCATCGAACTGCACGGCAATACCACTTATGCAAAGTGCCTGGAATGCCATCAACGTTACGAGCTGCCAGACCTGCAGAAGGAATTTGAAGAAACAGGCAACGTTTCAGCGTGTGCTGCGTGTGGCGGTTTGTTGAAAACAGCCACCATTTCATTTGGCCAATCCATGCCTGAACTGCAGATGCAGCAATCGCAACAGGCCATCGAGCGTTGTGACCTGTGCATTGTTATGGGGTCGTCTCTTACCGTATATCCAGCCGCAGGCTTTCCTGAATACGCCAAACGGCTGGGCGCCACCCTGGCAATTCTCAACCGTGAGCCTACTCCGCTGGATGATCTGGCGGACATCGTTGTACGTGAGCAGATCGGCTCAACTATGGCGTTGTTGGTGGGCCTGAACTAGGCCACGCGTATGCCAGCTGATCATCACTCGCCACTGTCCGAGACAGACATCGCAGAGCAAATCAGCATACTGATGCCGGATTGGGACTTTGCAGCAGTCGAAAACATCGCTTATCTGTCTGGTGGCTACAGCAACATTAACTATGCCCTGGATTATCAGCGTCAGCGTTACGTCTTACGCATCCCTCAAATCGTGCAACCCTTTGTTGATCGTGAACACGAACTGACTTGGTACAAAAAACTCCCAGCGGGCATCGGTATTCAGCCGCTTGCTTTGGATACCAGAACCGGTTCGATGCTGACACCATGGATCGCAGGGAAATTGCTGGCCGACGTTTTCCCCCGCTTTTCGCTGGAACATTACGCCCGCTACCTGAAAAATCTGCATACAGGTCTGCCGGATGCCCAGCGCCTTTACGATCTTGAAGCACTTATCTCAGCCTACTGGAGAGACGAGACGCCACCACTCAGCCTAGATAACCCGCCCGTCGAACTGGCAAGAAATTGCCACAATGATCTTAACCCGTGGAATGTGATTGTGACCGATCAAGGCTGGGTCACCCTTGACTGGGAATTTGTGGGAAACAATGACCCGTTATTTGATCTTGTTGCCCTCCATCACGGACTGCAGCTCGAGGAAAGTGCCCTTCCACTTTTTGCACAATTGTATCTGGGCAAACCTGCCTCAGACCTGCACGAGCGGCTTCACGCTGTACAAACGGCGTACTGGTCAAGAGAACTCGGCTGGGCACATTTCCAGGTTAAACGTGGCAATCAACGGGGCGAAATTGTTGCCCAGGTGCAGATGGCTGAACAAGCTTTGGAAAGGCTACTACTGAGAAGCTGACAATGCCTGGCTGATACCCTGCAGAGCGCTGTCCAGCCGTTGCTGGCCTTCACCCTGGATCACAGAATAAGCCAGCTGCCGGGCAGACAGATCTGCCAGGTAAATCTGCCACAAACGCTCACGGTCTTCGGGGTTTTCTCTTAACGGATCAGCCACCCATGGCAGATCTGGTCGGCACAACAAATAGTGTCTAGGCGCCTGCTGCGCATATGCCCTGTGCAACACTGTGGGCACGGGGCCAAAACGCTCCTGCCACCAGACATGGATAACCTGCAGGTCGGTATCGGCAATAGCGACAGTGGGCGCAGATGCCATTACCGCACGCTCCAAAGCCTGCTGCTGCTGAGCGATGTTAAGCAGATCTGAGGGCTGATAAGAGACCTTGTCCTGCAGGTATGTGCGGGCGGCTTCGCCCGCGTGGGGTGCGTTTAGCCGTTGTGCCAACAAGGTTGCCAGCGTCGATTTACCACTGGATTCCGGTCCCGTGACCACAAACAACACTGATCAGGCCACCGTGTTTTGTGTGACGAGATGCCGTCGCCACTGCAACCAGCCGTATACCGCCATGAACAGATAAATGAGATACAGCAACGCGTAGGCCTCGATGCCTTTCACGATATATAGACCTACCTGAATAACATCGATAACCAGCCACAGTATCCAGCTTTCCAGGTACTTTTTTGCCGACATCCACATGGCTACAAAACTTGCCACCGTGGTGAAACTATCAGGATAAGGCAGCGAGGCCTCGGTTTGAGTGGAAAAATACAGCCCCATCAGGACGGTACCAAGAACAATGACCCCAACGATCAAAGGCCATTGTGTTTTTGGCACCCAGGCCACCAGCAAAGCTTCTGAAGTACGCCTTTCCCGCGCCCCATAGATCCAGAAATACCAGCCGTAGGCATTCATGATCACGTAGTAGAGATTGAGGAGGACATCCGCAAACAGATTCGCCCGGGCAACCACCACAACAGTGACAACGGCGTAAATCAGACCGATGGGAAAAGTAAGCACGTTCTCGCGGATCAGGAGCCAGACACACAACAGACCCGAGAAAAGACCAATTATTTCAAGCCAGTTAGCTGCAAGGTAGGCCAATCAAGACGCCCCAGAAAGGAATTCGAGCAGCCTGCACGATATCCGGGGCAAATTGCAAGCTGGCAAGGTCTAGGCCGCAGCAGAGTCCAGTGTCGTGTTGAACTCATAGGTACCATCCAGCAGACGTACACATCGATATTCAAGCTGGAACGGCACCAGTTCACCCAACGGGCTGCCGGCTGCAGCAAGCAGATCTTCGCTGAAAGGTACAAACATTCTATTTTTATTCGGGCCCTGTTCTTCTCGGGAGAACTGGTCTTCTACGTAGCGTTGGGTCACGTCACATCCTGTGTTTCAAGTGTCAAACTTCATGTCTGATATTTCAGCACTGCATTCGCAAATCCCACCTGAGTAAAAAGTGAAGTTGCGGGAACAATGATGGAGGAATAAGGGAAACAGGGTGTGACCGTCGACACATTTTACGGCTCGCCGGGTTAAAAACCGTTAGAATTGGGCGCAACTTAAACGGCTCATTTTGACCAGGAGAAGAAATTGGCTAAAACCATTGCCATCGTTGAAGACGATCCGGATCAACGCTCCAACTACAAAGATGCCATCACCAAAAAGGGTTACGAAGTCAAAGCCTATGGCAGCCGTGAGGAAGCTCTGGCAGGTTTTGATGAGCAGCTGCCCGATCTTGCGATCCTGGACATCATCCTGGGTGAAGAGGTTGATGCTGGCTTCCAGATCTGTCGTGATCTGCTTGCCCGTTCGCCTAACCTGCCGGTCATTTTCCTCACCGAGCGCATCGATGAAATAGATAAAATATCCGGCCTGCGCCTGGGTGCCTGGGATTATCTGCCGAAACCTATTTCGCTGGACTATCTGGCCGAACGTATCTCATCGCTCCTGCGCATCAATGAAGCGCGCGATCAGGAAACACAAACAGACAATCCAGCCGCCAAGCTGATTGGTGACCTGTCCCTGGACCAGGAAGCCCTGCTGGCTTCATGGAAAGGTGAGCGCATCGATTTATCCGGCACGGAATTCCGCATGCTGGCTAAACTGGTGCGTATGCCAGGGCACGCGGTCAGCTACGAAACCCTGATGAACGCCACTATGCAATCGCTGGTCACCAACAACACGATCAACACCCATATGCGCAACATCAGGAAAAAATTCGAAAAGACCGATCCCGAATTTTCGTGTATTAAAAGCGAATATGGCTATGGGTATCGCTGGTCACAGCCGTGAAATTTTTCTCTAACTTCCGCGGACCCAGGCTCGGCACCAAGCTTGCCCTGCTGGGCATGGCGCTCCTGATCGTGCCCTGGTTCAGTTATCGGCAGCTTGTTGAGATGGAACGTCTGTTGATTCAGGGACAGTCCCAGGCACAGCTCCTCACTGCGGAAGGTATTTCCACACTGTTTAATGGCCGCGCAGATCTGTTCAATGATCTACCCATTGATCTGGACGACTTTGAACCCCTGTTCGCCCACCCCCTGAGTGGTCCTATCCGGCTGGATGGCAATGCAGACGACTGGGATACAGATCTGATGGATGACTACCTCAGCTTTGGTTCAGATACCGGCACAGAGGATGGCGACTTCAAAATTCTGTTAGGCGAACGCGCCGGACAACTCTATGCACACCTGCGCATCATTGACGACAATCTTGTCCTGCGCGATCCAGACTATCTGCGCCTGGATAATGCAGACCACATTCGCTTGAAATTCATCAAAGCAGATGCTGAGGATGGCCGTTTTACGCTGGTCTTACAGGAGTCTTCAGAGCTCTCCGGTTTCAGCATGGATGAACTGTGGCGCTATGCAGAGACCGGAGCTGCAGACAATCGCGTACAGGGATTTGTTAAACAGGAAGGTGGCGAGGTACTTATCGAATTTCGCTTCCCGCTCGAGCCGCTTGGCTCGCGGCGCTATTTTGGTTTGAGCTGGTTCGATGTTGACGACCCGGTTGATCGGGAGATAGTCAACTCCACCCAGACGTTACCCAAAGCCGGTCAGAGCGCATTCAATCTGGTTGTGTTGCGCACGCCTGAGGTCCGCAATATTATCCAGGGTCTGGGTTATTCCGGTGCGCGCATCATGGTCATAGATGACCAGCGACGAGTGCGCGCGGAAACCGGCGCGATACAGATCAACCAGGCACCAAGCTCGGATCCCCGATTTTTTGAACGTATCGCCAGAACTTTCGAGTCCATTCGCCCATGGGTCCACGCCCTGGTGATCGGTGAAACCTACAATGAACTGGATTATGGAGACAGCGAGGAAAGTGAAGCTGATCGCGCCATCAGTTCAAGTCTGTCTGGCGCGCCTATTGCACTACGTAGTCGCTTTGGTGAAAAAGGCGAAATAATCCTCGCTGCCCACCCCATTGTCACCGCAGACGAGGTGATTGGTACCGTTGTTGTGGAGCAGAATATCAACGACATTCTGGCATTCCAACGCACCGCCCTGGAGCAGGTTATTCTGTTGTCGGTGCTCAGCCTGTTTGCGGTTTTTATTGCCTTGCTGGCATTTGCCGGCAGGCTTGCCTGGCGCATCCGGGGTTTGCGCCGGGAAGCCAGCGCCGCCATTGATACCTACGGACGCCTGCGTACCAACGAACTGACTAACGAAATGTATGCGGGAGACGAAATTGGCGACCTTGCACGCAGTGTTTCCAACATGTTGTCACGCCTGCATCGGCACAACACCTTTCTCGAAAGCATGCCGCGCACACTGCGCCACGAAATTAACAACCCGCTCAACACGTTAAGCACATCGCTGCAGAATCTGGCACAGGAATACCCTGAGGTCGCTGAGTCAAAATATCTTGAAAGCGCCAAGCGCGGCGTCAATCGCATTGGTTCTATTGTGCAGAACCTGGCGGACGCGGCTAATCTGGAAGACTCCCTTGAAGCGGAAGAACTTGAACTGATCGATCTGAATGAGCTGATCGATAACTACGTCGCCAACTGCAAACTCGTGCACAAACAACGCAGCTTCGTCTATCGGGGTGCAGGCCGACCCGCTTTTGCACTGGTCTCGGATTTTCGCATTGAACAGTTGCTCGATAAGATCATCGACAACGCCATCGACTTTTCCCGCGCAGACAGTCCGATACGTGTACAGCTGGACGTTTTTGGTGACCAGCTACAGATCACGGTGGCCAACCGCGGCCCGGTTTTACCCAGCGCAGTTGAGAAATCTGTATTCGACTCCATGGTCAGCCACAGAGGCCAGCAGAACCGGCTGCATTTTGGCCTGGGCCTCTACGTCGTGCGCATCATCGCCGAGTATCACGGTGGTTTTGTGCGTGCCTTGAACCTTGCTGACGGTTCAGGCGTAGCGGTCATGGTCCAGCTACCCCTGGCGCAGATGGATGAGGAAGAAGACAGCGGTAAACCGCCGATTATCTCAGAACGTATTTCTGCCGGTTAGGGCGGGTCGGGGTGAGTCAGAGGAGTTAGGATCAGGCGCGTTGGAACTGCCCGTCGAGATTCAGCTTACCATCTTTCGCCGTCAGCACACCCCGCACCACCAGATACTCAACCGCGGCAAACACTGAACGCGCAGCAGCAGGATACATAAATTCAGGTGTGCCTTTGTACATCAGCGGCACCATGTCAGTGATGACTTCAACGCCTTCATCAATGCAATGCAGAATCTGTTCTTCGCGCTCCTTGCGATGCTCAATGAACGCCTGCACCAGCTCTTTTGGTTCGGTAATCGCTGCGCCATGAGTCGGCCAATACACCTCATCGTCACGTTCCAGCAGCAGCGCCAGACTGTCCAGGTAATCAGCCATATCGCCATCTGGAGGTGAAATGATGCTGGTGGACCAGCCCATTACATGATCACCGGTAAACAGCGCTTTTGCTTCACGCAGGGCAAAACACATGTGATTAGACGTATGACCAGGCGTATAAACGCACTCTACCGACCAGTCACCGCCTTGGATGATATCGCCATGGCGCACCTGCACGTCCGGGTCGAATTCCATATCACCACCCTCTTCGACGGGTACACCTTCTTCCAGTTTGCCTGCGCCATGGGGGCCGTATGCGTAAGTGGGTGCATCCGTGTGCTGTCTTAACAAACGACAGCCCGGTGAGTGATCCATATGCGTGTGGGTGACAAGAATATGCGTAATCTTCTCCCCCTCTACAGCCTTGAGAATCGCCTGGATATGCGCAGCATCTGCGGGACCGGGGTCAATAACCGCAACCTCGCCAGTACCAAGGATATAGGTCCCTGTACCGTACAAAGTAAATGGGCTGGGGTTTTGCGCAATGACACGCCGAATGCCCGGCGCTATCACTTCCGCCGCACCATAGGTGAATTCGAGCTCACGTCGAAAGGGTATCTCTACTGCCATGCTGACTCCATAATCTGATCGCGGGCGAAATATAGCAGTTCGTTATAGGCGGGTCACACAGAACCTTTTCTGTGGCTATAAAAGTCTATGGTTAGAAAGTCTGTGTCTAAAAAATCAGCGTAACCGCCAGCAACGCCGAGACGATCACTACCGCACCCACCAGCCAGGCTGACAGATGTTTGAGTATCGGGTGCTCTTCTACCCGCGAGGCTGGAATGTCTTTAAACACCAGAGACACGCGCCCGACTCTTAACACATCACCATCCACCAGTTCCGCACTGGTGACATCTGCGCCATTAACCTTTGTGCCGTTGGTCGACATCAGATTGGTTACCCTGACGCCTTCAGGTCGCACGCTGATTTTTGCATGCTCCTGGGACACGGTGGAATCCGCAATGGTGATGTGGCAATGATCTGCACGACCCAGCAGCGACTCACCTATGCCCAACCGCAGCACTTTCCCGTCTACTGACTCAGAAACACCAAGCAGAAATGCACCGGTTTCGCCTAATGCCGGCACCCCTGCAGGTGCCAGCAGCGGTTCCTCCACTGCCGTAAATTCAGTGGTATCTAATTGTTTTGGTGGCGGCTGGTTGCGTGTGCCTCGCAGGGGATCAACAAAGTGCTGCACCGGTGTCAGCGCGCCACCCTGACCAATCAGCTGATAGCGCACTTTGTCAAAGTAAATGTAGTCACCATGGAACATACGCGCACCGCCGATCACTGGCGTATTGTTCAGTCGAGTGCCATTGGCTGAATTCAGATCCTGAATCCAGATCATTTGATCGTGTTCCAGCAGACGGGCGTGATGCCGGGAGATATGTTCTTTTGGAATGGAAATGTCCGCAGAACTCGCGCGGCCGATGGATAACTCACCCCGAATTTCATGACGTGAATCATCGTCTCCGCGCAGAATCCAGCTTTGCGCCGCATCGGGGTCTCGCGCCTCGACCTCTATGCCTACCTGCAGCATCTCCTGACCGATACCCACAGTATCACCAATAATCAGCTGCACTGGCGAAGCTCGTTCCTGACCGTTAACGCTGACTGTTGCGTCCCCTAAGGGAATAACCACAGGTCCTCGCTCAGACAGATCAACACGGGCGTGAAAATCTGCAACATCTTCACCAGGCACAACAATATCGTTATCCAGATGATTACCGAAGGTCATACTGCCGTTGATTGGAATGGTGTCATCATCCCAGTAAAGCAGGTAAGAAATATCAGTCTGCATCAGCTTTCGTCCGTCTCCCAACTCTCGCGCAACGCAACCCATTCTGCGACTTCCGGGGTAATGGTCAACGCCAGATTCAGGTACCGCTCGGCAGCATCGGCCAATCCGAATTCGTAGGCTTCGCGTGCAACTTCGGCCAGGCGTTGAGCACATTGTTGCAGCAACGAAGCGGCAACCTCGTTACCTGGGTCCAACTGTTGTACTTCGCGCAGATAAGTAATGGCGTTCTCGTTGGTCGGCGCTGTGAGATAGCCTTGTGCAATCAGTTCCTCAGCCTGTGCCAGCCGCTGTTCAATGGTACTCAGGCGTTCCAGCTCAGTATCCATGCGCCCACGGATTTCGTTAACAATAGACTCACTCATACCTGCGGCTGCCGCTTGAGCAACCAGCATATCCACCGACGCCAGATCACCTTCGGCTAACAGCTGTTCCGCACTGGCTGTGATCTGAGCGGTGACTTCGTCCAGACCTTGCGCCGCAAACACATTATCCGGATCTGTAGCGAGCACACGATGATACAGCTCTGCCGCGTTTTCTCCTGACGGCTTTATCAGTTGTCCATCAGCTCGATATTGACGGGCCTGCTGTAACAGGTCATCAATGGCGGCACGTGCGGTGGTTGCCTGGGAAATTAATTTACGCACGTCATCCAGCATAGTCACCGTGGCATCCGCCGCTGTTGCCCGTTCCAACAGGTTAATTGCGTTCGCAACTTCGCCTGTTTCTGCCGCTGCGCTTGCAAGCCCGGCGTAATGCAAAGATATCTCGCTCAGCGCCTGCTGTGCTTCCGGGTGGCCTGGCGCCAGGCGCAGAACTTCCTGGTAAGACTGAATCGCAGCAGTTGCGCTGGGTAGATCAGATATTCCGTTACTGGTCAGCAGCGCTTTGGTAGTACTGACAATACGCTCAGCCCTTTGCCGGTCCTGCAATTCAATGTCCATCTGCATCCATTGCGGGTCATTAGGGAACACGTTTTTCCCCTCTTTCAGACGGGTTTGGGCCCGCTGCAGACTGCGTTGCGCAAATGCCTCTTCAATGCTTTCTTTCCAATCCGCATTAAGGCTCGCCACTTCGGACCGAGCCCCTGCATGATCGGGGTCAATGGCCAGCACACGACGATATGCGGCAACAATGGCTGTCAGCCCCTGATTTGGATCCTGGCGCATGGATTGCGCCTCAGACCAGGCCACAATCAACAGAGGATCTTCACCTATACCCAGTTGCGCAAGCACACGCTCGGGATTGATCAGTTGCTGTTCAAGGGCGTAATAACCACCTGCACCTAGACCTGCAAGCAGCACAATAACCAGGGCTGATCTTATTCGACGGCGACGCTTCAGACGCAGTGATTGACGCTCCTGACGGGCTGGATCTCTTGTCGTTGACAACAGATCGCCGCCAACCGCAATAATTTCCTGGGTATTGATCGGTTGAGATTTTATCGTGGCTTCAGGCACCGCCGCTTCTGAACGGATGCCATCCAGGGCTTCCACCAACGCTTCGCCGGTTTGATAACGCGCTTCCGGCTTCTTTGCCAGAGCTTTATCTATGATCTGCTGAAACGCGGCCAGATAGTTGGGCAACTTCGGGATGGGGTCCTGCAGATGTTTAATACCAACACCCACCGCCGTTTCAGCACGGTAAGGCAGATCCCCGGTTAACATCCGGAACATCACCACGCTGAGGCTGTACAAGTCAGAACGGCCATCTACCGGGCGCCCCGCCGCCTGCTCCGGGCTGATATATTCCGGCGTACCAAAAACCGTACCTTGCGCCGTTTTCGAATCCTCCTGAGAGGCTGCCACCGCAATATCAAAGTCGGTCAGTACAGCGCTGCCGTTTTTCCGGAACAGAATATTTTCCGGTTTAATATCACGATGAATGACCCCTACAGCATGTGCATAATCCAGGGCTCTGGCGATGTCTTTGATGATTTTAATCGCTGCCTGCAGATGCAACCCCTTCTGCAGCTGCTGATTCAGATCACCGCCACCAAGATACTCCTGCACAATGTATGCGTTACCCTGGGTTTCGCCAAAATCAAGGACGCGCGCAATGTTCGGGTGTTTCAGCTGGCTATGCAGCTTAGCGCCGTTCAGAAATCGTGAGCGAGCATAAGGCAGCGCGGCAGCGCCGGCGTTAAGAACCTTTACCGCTACTCTTTGCTCAGTACCTTTTTGCGTGGCGGCGTAAATCGTAGACATACCGCCTCGACCAAGAATTTCACCGAGGATGACGCCGGGAATCTCCACACCCAATTGCCCGTCGTTCAACGGCTGTCCGCCTGGTTTTGCACCTGGCTTTGCGCCCGTCGGTTCTCATCACTGGGCAGCGCCAGCAATTCACCTTCCACCAGCTGGCCGAGCACAAAACGCCCTTCGGGAATAATCATGCGCCCATCCAGACTGGCAGCAACACCTGTCCCATGTGCCATGCCATTTATGCAACGATCACTGGTAAACATCCAGTCACGCTCCAGGTGGCGCAGACTGCATTGCGCATGCGCCTCCAGAGGCTGGCTGAAAACCAGCTCACCACGGCGCCAGGTCTGCAAAACCTGCACCCCTTCCGGCTGCCGCTTGATACCCCAGCCATGCAGACGATTTTCAGCAAACTGACCGCGATAAACTGTACCGTCGCGCCAATAGAAAACGCCGAAGCCACTGCGTGCGTCTGCTACAAAATCACCAACATAGCGGTTGCCGTTAGGCCAGATAAAAACACCCTGACCAATTTTTTTACCTGCCTCAAAAAAACCCACATACTGACGACCATCAACCCAGGTGTAGCTGCCTTGCCCCTGCACAATACCGTTGGCAAAATCACCTTCGTAAACCTCACCCGTGTGCCAGACAAATCTGCCTTTGCCGGTGCGCTGACCTTCAACAAAGGTGCCCTGATAAGAGTCCTTATTCGCCCAGGTGAAAGCGCCCTCACCGTGCAGCAGATTGTTTTTGAACGCACCGACATAGCGATCGCCATTTGGCCAGGTCAGGCTGCCTTCACCCTCGCGTCGGTCTTCAACAAAATCACCTTCGTAGGTACGGCCATCTTTCCAGGTATAGGTACCCTGACCGTGCAAACGGTCATTGGCGAACTCACCTTCGTAACGATTGCCGTCTGACCATATGTAAACCCCTGCGCCGTTACGTAGACCGTCATACAGCTCACCTTCGTAAACATCACCGTTCGCCAGCTCAACACGCTGCCCAAAAGCAGAGCCCGCACATACCGCTAATGCAAAAATCAGTACTGCTCTGTTAATTATGTTCTGCCTGATCAACAACTTCGATAAACTCAAATTTCTTATCCTGTGAACATTACTGCAATTGGAACAAGTTTTCTTTATCTGCCTGTACATCGTACTGGGTTTGGGCAGCGGATTTATCGGCGGGCTGCTGGGCATTGGCGGCGGTGTTGTAATCGTACCGGCGCTGGTTATCAGTTATGACCTTTCAAACCGCTTTGCCCCGGAACAGAGCCTGCTGATCGCGGTAGCCACCTCGCTGGCCTGCATCATCTTCACTTCAGCATCCGCAGGCTACACCCAATATCGAGCCGGTAAGGTGCGCTGGGATCTGTTTCAGAAGCTGCTCGCATTTTTACTGCTGGGCAGCTTTCTCGCGGGCTGGATTGCGCCGTTGCTGCCGCCCGAGATCTTCCGCAGCTTTATTGGTGTTTTCCTGGCGATTGTCGCGATGATCATGCTGTCAAACTGGCAACCCGACGCAAAACGGCGCTTTCCCGGTTATCTGGGTTCGGCATCACTGGGTCTGGGTGGAGGAATTACAGCGGGACTGGCAGGCATTGCAGGTGGTAACGTCATTGTGCCCTCCCTGGTATTTTTCAACACGCCGATTCATAACGCCACCGCCACGGCCAGCGCGCTAGGTGTCCCCATCGCATTGATGGGCACTATTGGCTATCTTTCCGCCAGCGGTTTTGCACTGAACAATGGCACCCTGGGTTTTATTGACCTGTATGCCTTTGCACCCATAGTGGTGGGCGCATTGTTTGCGGCACCCCAGGGTGTGCGATTTGCGCACAAGGTACCCGCTGCAAAACTGAAAAAGCTGTTCGGTCTGCTGCTGGTGCTCGTCTCCGCTCGCATGCTGTATTCAGCAGCGACTTTTTAGCAGGGCGAATCAGGTCAGGCGTCGAATCTGGATCGCGTCACTGGCTTTGTCTGCAAGCACATCTGATATCACCACCACTTTGGCATCATCGTCCAGGCCCTGACGATCACGCAGCACATCAAATGCGCGTTGCAGGGTTTTTTCCGGGTCAGAGCTGAATGCAGTTCGATAAGCGTAAACCGCTCGATTCAACGACAACCGACGGCGAGTCTGACTGTGATTAGTAAACGCGAAAATGGGTACGTGCATCGGGCGTGCGTTGGTCACGTAATCTGCGACAAACCCGCGCCGGGTAATGACAACAATCCCGCTGGCGTTAATCGCTTCAGCGAGCGCTACAGCATGCACCGCCACGTGCTGCTTATCGTCAGTCACAATCAGATCTTTCTCATACCCAAGGCCCGGGTATCGTTCCGCCTTGGTAGTAATCGCGCGCAGTTGTTCAACACATCGTATCGGGTAATGACCGACGCTGGTTTCGCCGGACAACATCACCGCGTCAACACCTTCGTATACTGCGTTTGCAACGTCTGTGACCTCAGCGCGGGTTGGAATCGGGTTCTCGATCATCGACTCCAGCAGATGGGTCGCCACAATACATCTGCGCCCCCATTGAGCCGACGAATGCACAATTCGGCGTTGCACGTTAGGCAGGTCAGCTATATCGGTCTCAATACCGAGATCACCACGGGCAACCATCACGCCATCAGCCAGGCGCGCGATGTCGTGAATATGGGTGACACCTTCCTGGTCTTCGATTTTCGCAATAATCTTTATGGTGTTCTGTTTGCTGCCGAGAAACTCGCGCAGTTCGGTGACATCGTCGGGGCTGCGCACAAAAGACAGGGCAATAAAATCGACCTCATTTTCGATGCCAAACGTGATGTCTTCGCGGTCTTTTTTGGTTATTGCGGGAAGGTTAACTCGTACGCCGGGAAGGTTGACGTGTTTCCGACTCCCCAAAGTGCCGCCGTCTACCACGCGACAGGTCAACTGATTATCGGATTTCTCCAGCACTTCAAAGTTAAGCAGACCATTGTCTACCGTAACAATTTTGCCCACGTCGACAATGTCGACAATTTCGTCGTAGTTTACTTTGATCGACTTGGTTTCAACAAAAGTGGAGTCGCGTACAAACAGCGTGACAATTTCGCCTTCCGCGAGCTCCATGGGCTGCTCAAGATCGCCAGTACGAATTTCCGGACCCTGGGTATCCAACAGAACAGGTATAGGGTGATCAATCTTGCGATTCAGGGTTTTCACCCAGTTAATAATCTGCTTTGCGCTCTTGTGATCTGAATGGGACATGTTCAAGCGCACCATGCTCATGCCTGCTTCGTAGAGCTTGCGTAACATGTCGTAGCTCGCCGTTGCGGGGCCAATGGTACAAATAATTTTTGTGCGATGGATGCTCATTGCAAGTCGCTTTCCTTGTGATCTGCGGTAATTTGCCAAAATTGTTTTACGTGCTGCTGCACATCGGCAGCAGCAATTGTCCGAGGTTGCCAGTGGACGGGGAAAAATCGTTGCACGTGTGGCGCGCTAAACCTCGGATCGACGAGACAGATTACGCCGAAATCCTCAGGACTGCGAATTAATCGCCCTGCAGCCTGCAAGTTTTTTACCAGCGCGGGCTGTGTATACGCCACCATCTGACCCCAACCCGGTCCTTCTGCCTGCTCAAAAAACTGTGCCATCAGGTCGCGTTCCAGCGAAGGCGGCGGCAAACCTAACCCAACCATGACCACGCCCTGCAGCGAGATGCCGGAAAAATCCACGGATTCAGCCAGCACGCCGCCCATGACAATGCAGATAATACCCGCATCGAGTGATCTGAGTTGATCTAGGAGCTCACCACTGCGCATCTGATCCTGCCCGGGTGTTTGTGCAAGGGTCACTACGTCTTTAGCAGCAAGGGCATTAACCAGTTTCCTCAGGTAACTGAATGAAGGCAGCGCCACCAGATATCGACCGCTTTTTGCTTCAAGCAGATCCATCAGAAACCGGACCAGCTTCGGCAAACTGGCGTCACGTTGATTGAAGTAGGTGTCAATGTCCCTGATCACCATCACCGCAGCCTGCTCAGCCTGAAAAGGATTCTGGGCACGTTCACCAACTGCTGCAGCCTGGCCATGAAGGCGCTGGTAAAGGGGCAATGGCGTCACGGTGCCTGAAAATCTCACCACTGCACAATGACCTGCGAAGATCTGCTGCAGGTAAGGACCGGGATCAAGACACACACGCGACACCCGGATTTCTGAATTTTCCGAATGAACAAGGTGAACAAATTCAGTCTCACTGACCCACTGTTCAGATCGCAACCAGCGCGAAACAGCAAAAATCAAAGCCTGCAGCTGGGGATAAGCGCCCAGTTCGATTTCCTGTTCAGCAGCCGTTTCCAGCAGGCGAGTACACGCACGCTGTAACGCATCGAGCCGCGCTTTAACCGGGGCCTGCAACTGGACATGCGGACCACTCAGAACCTGTTCACCTTCACCGGATGTGCGTTTCAGGGCCAGCAAAGCCCTGTCGATGGACAGCACTTTCTTCTTCATGATTTCATGGGTAGTGGCTTTGGCGTCGCGCACCAGAGCCCGATCAAACCGCACCGTCAGCATATCGCTGACACGAGGACTTAACTGGTGAGATTCATCCACCAGCAAATGCAACTGTCGGTGTTCGGCAAAGCGTTTTAGGCGCACAACCGGATCAAATACATAGTTGTAGTCACCGACAATCACGTCAGCCCACAGTGCCAGATCCAAAGACAGCTCAAACGGACACACCTGATGTTCAAGAGCAACCTGTTCGATCCTTGCCCGATCCGCATATTTGTATTCCAGCAGGACATCAACCGCCGGGTTTACGCGGTCGTAATAACCTATCGCACGCGGGCAGTTTTCTGGATCACAGGCGACGCCCTGATTGAGGCAGACTTTTGCTTTTGCCGTCAGTTCCACAACCACCCAGTGAGCAGCCTGCGGGTCAATCTGTCGACAGGCCATCAGCGCAGCGTCAGCACCGGCATTGCGGCTGGTGAGGAAAAACAGTTGCTCTTCCAGTTTTTGCGCTTTTGCCGCAGGGAAAAGTACCGCCAGGCTTTTGCCACTACCCGTAGGCGCTTCGAGCAGCAGATTCTCCTGTCTGGCAAGCGCCTGATAAACTCGCCTGGCCAGTGCTTGCTGGGCAGCCCTGAAGGCCTGCATGGGAAACTCCAGCGTCGCCGCCCAATCAAGGCGGGCCAGGTTGCGCGCATAGTGGCGCTGTAACCGACAAACCAGGCACAGCAGCATGAACTGGACACTGCCCGCAACAACGGCTCGCTCTAATGTCTCAGTGAATTCGGCCGTCTGACGTGTGTCGGCATGGACATACACCACACGCACCTTGTAACGCGGCGTATCTGCATCGTCCTTCAATGCCAGCATGCCGGCGTAGATCAATGCCTGGGCAAAATCCACCGGATCCGCCTGGGCAGGCAGCGCGCCACGGCACTTGATCTCTTCGACAACCAGACAATCAGCTTCTGTTGATAAGCCGTCAATTCGCCCCCTGAGCCTGCGTTCCCCAGGCAGCGTTTGAAACACCAATCCAACGGCTACTTCGCACTGATAGTTCGGGTCAGCTGACAGACGTAACTTCTGCAGTTCCCGCTGCACGACAATGCCCTCTTCGGCATCCACCGCGCGCCCCTGCCGGGATGGGTAAAGATCGCCAGTACGACAAGTGAACTCTGCAAGGGCACGCACCGACAGATCGCCTCTAATCAAAACAACTACCGCGCGCCGCCAGTTTCAGCTTGACCACTCGAGCCGGAATACCAAGCCGTTGCAGATGTTTGAACCAGACCCGCTGTCCCGGCTGTAGTTGATCGTTAGGGCCTTTAACTTCGACCAGCTCGTAGGTGTTGGGACCATAAGCGATGAACAGATCAGGCATACCCGCGCGACGTTGCGACAGATTCCGTAACATGAATGCGCAAAGTTTACGTATATCATCCAGCGGGACAGCTTCAAGCAGATCATCCAGTGACACCGAATCCAGCAACGGCCAATACACCAGGGCGTTAGCTCTGCCCTGCTTTTCCCTGATGATATGGTGTAGGTGTGTCGCCAGGTTGTTATCGTCTGCCAGACGTTGCTCCAGCGCTTCAATCAAACCCGCACGGACCTCAACAAAGTCATCATCAAAAAGATCGTTAGGTGCCGATTGAAAAGGGTTGGTAAAAGCACCAGGAATGTCTGAAAAAATCACTGGCCAGTAAATCAGGCCGGTTAATGTTTTGAACAGGGTATTTTCTGCATGTATACCCCAGGCCCCGGGACGCAACAGCAGCTCTAATGCCTGAGCTTCTATGTTCGGTTCAGCCTGGTCAATTTCAATCACCGTTGTGGGTGGCTGATAGCCTGCCTGGCGTCGACCAAAACGTTCTACAAACTGAGCTTCTTCCTCACACAGCGGCGCACGGCTGATTTCTTCCAGCCATCCTGCAACGGCCAGTTGGTCGCCTTGTTTGTGCAGCACTCGAACCAGGCGTTCACGTGCCGGATGCCGTTCAACCTGCTGGTAAACTTGCGCAGCATCGGACCAGGACTGACTGCGTTCGTGCCATCGGGCAATACGCATCAAGGCCCGAGCACGTCTGCGCCTGAGAAATCGATCAGAGACTGTCGGCATCAATTCGGCTGACAGCGCAGCGGCTAGATGGGTGTGTTCGTCGAGCCGCTGACTGAGATCACCCAGGCGCTGAAACTTAAGTGTCTGTTGTAACTCGGCGCGATTGGCAAACTGGTGGGTGTGCATGGCCACAGGTTCATAAACCACCATGCCAAGATCTCGCATCACAAAACTGGACCAGTCGTGCCTGCGGCTGCCGAAGTACAGCAATTGCACCAGATCCCAGACCTCACGCCGCGCAACCCGCAACCAGCTGACCGTCTTCCGCACACGGATACGCACCTGTGTATCGCAGCGACCATCCAGCCACGCCAGTTGCAGATCAGCCTTCTTACAACTTTTGGGTAAATTTTTTACCTCGGCGTGCAACTCTGCTTTGCGCAGGAGATCAAGCACTTCAAGCGCGGCCACTGCTGGATTCAATTCAATCAGCGCGGCCACTGTCAGCTCTTCAAGGGCAGCAGCCAGATCACCCACCTCGGCATACTCAATCTGATCGATACGCACAAGTGGCTTGCGGGTCAGCAGTCGCGCAAACAGCCGTTGGCTGTCATCGCTCAGGCTGATGAAACGTTCCAGCATCTGGTGCTCAGTAGCAATCAACAGCTGCGCATAGCGTTGCAAGACAAAGCTGATGAGGACCCGACAATTGTTTTGGTAGTAGTCTTCCGGAGGCGGCCTGTCGGGCGTTAACATAGCCGCTGGCACTGACTTCGCGACATCCATGGCGTGAGCGTCGTTTCGTTACACATTTAAGTTAGGAAATCACTCCTTGAACAGATCTGCAAGCCATCCTTTCTGTATCGCCACAATCGTGACAGACAAAGCTATCGCAGCGATGCTGGAAGGCAGTGGCAGTGGTCATTACACAGATGAATCACCCTGGTTGATTGCCCGGGAGATGCTGCAAGTCGCATCAGGAGATAATCAGCTGCTACCCATCCTGTTTGCCAGCAAAAGCCAGGACAGCCAGGCTTTCTTCAGTCACTGGAGCGTCATCCAGGACATTGACGTTGATGAGCTCCACCGCGGTCAGTGGCTGACACGCTGCAGTTTCAGCCAACTGCAGCCGTTTAATCCGATTTTCGAAGCCATCGACAGCGTATTTTTAAAAGCCGGCGCTGAACAGATGGCCAGGGAAGTGCAGGAAGGTATTCGTGTCTATCGGCAGGCTCTGGATGAGTATCATATTCACCCATACGCGTTGTGCGAAACCCCGGCTTTTATCGCCGAGGCATTATCAGATTAGATTTAATTTACATTAGATCCGAATGGATCCAAGGGGATGGATTAAGCTTTTACCGCGGACGCCGCTTGGGGCTCGCCATGAATACGCAACCATACTTCTTTGCGATGCACAGTCGACTTTTTCGGTGCATCTATCCCCAAATGCACCTGGCTACCGCGAATCTTTAATACTTTAAGCTCGATTTCGTTATCGATCATGATCGATTCGCCGGCTCGTCTGGTTAACACCAGCATAGACTTTCCTCTCGCAATCCATTTCTACAACGGAAGTAAATTTACCGTGTCTTGCAGATGTGTTCTGTGACCTTTAAGACGTTTCAAGTGCTCGCAAGGAATTAAAAGTGAGAACCTTGCCTCATTCCTCTTCAGGTAGAGAATCAAGCAACTTGGCAGATATAGGCTTCTTCACCACCGCACCTAATTCACGCAGCTGCTCAACCTGCCGCACCAGATTACCTTTACCGGATACCAGCCGACCGTGAAGTACATCAAAGGTACGCTCTACGGTTTGCAGCTGACGTCCCAGGGTCTCCAGATCATCAACCAGCAGACGCAATTTATCGTAGAGAGCACCCGCACGCTCAGCAATCTCCTGTGCATTGTCGCCTTGTTTTTCAATCCGCCAGACATTGTTGATAATCCGCAGTGTCATCATCAAAGTGGTTGGACTGACTATAACAATGCGCTGATTAAACGCTTCATTGAAGAGACGCTCATCCGTTTTCATCGCACTGGCAAAAGCAGACTCAATCGGCACAAACAACAGCACAAAATCCAGCGAACGCACATTCGGCAGCTGATCATAGTCCTGCTCAGACAAACGCTTCACATGGTTACGCAGATTGTTGGCATGGGTGCGTAACAGACGATCGCGGTTCTGCTCATCCGATTCGGTGTGCGCCTGTTCGTAGGCGTTCAGGCTGACTTTGGCATCCACCACCACATCTCTCTGCTCCGGCAGCCTGACCACCACATCCGGACGCTTCAGGTCACCCGCCTGATTACGCTCGCTGCTCTGCACAAAGTATTCATGGTCTTTGCGCAGCCCTGAAGATTCCAATACCCGTTCGAGCACCAACTCGCCCCAATTACCCTGCAGCTTTTTATCTCCTTTCAGTGCACGGGTCAGGTTTTCCGCTTCGGCATTGATCCGTTCGCTGGCTTGTTGGAGATTTTTCACCTCCCCCAGCAGGGTAGCTCGCTCTTTGATGTCGGCGTGATAAACCTGTTCAACCCGCGCCTTGAACTCACCCAGCTGCTCCCGTAACGGCCCCATCACCTGAACCAGAGAAGACTTCTGTCTGGCTTCCTGATTTTCAAAGACCTTCGCTGCAAGGCGTTCGAACTCCTGCTGCAGCTGCGCGCTATTCTGCTGCAACAGCTGCTCACGTTCATGAAAGTGTTTGCTGGTTTCTTCCAGACGCACCGCTGCGGTGGCCGCAGCAGTCTGGGCATCGCTGAACTGCTGCCTCAACGTATCAAGCTGTTCACGATAGGACTGTAACTGCTCCTGGTACGATGCGTTCTGGGCATCCGTAGCCGCCTCGAGTGCACTCATATCAGCCAACGCTGTGAGGTGCAGCCGATTAAATCTCCGCTGAGCTGCAAGATAAGCCGCAAACGCACCGACAAGCAGCCCGGAAAGAATCAGCCAGACTGGATGCAACGACTGCAGCCAGGTATTTAACGCAGTTGCTATTTGTTCGATGGGTTATTTCTCCCTTTATCTGGTCGGGCAAGCCTTTGACGTCGGGCAAGACTCCCAAACCCAGCGGATTCCGAGTATGCTTATCTTTTCAAGCACTGTGTAAACAGCGAGGTTCACGCTGCACATACTCATTGTCGATGACGATGTCATTCACGGCCGCAGTGTAAGGGACGTTCTGGCGGCCCACAATTACCCAGCTGACGTCGCCACCACCGGGCATGACGGGCTTGCGCGACTGCGCAAGGCACACACCGACGGCAATCCTTATCAGGTTCTCATTCTCGATCTGCATATTCCGGATCTGATGGGCGTTGATGTTTTAAGCGCAATCAAAACCCACGGCCTGGCGGTAAAAACTGTTGTGCTCTCAGGCGAAAGTGAGCTGTCGACCATCGCCCCCATTCTGAAGCTGGGGGCCTACGACTATCTGCGCAAACCGTTTCAGGTACCTGAACTGATCACCAGCGTTGCCAACGCCTTGTCAGCCTTCCAGTTGGAGCAGGAAAATAAAAGCATGCAGGCAGAAGCAGCCAGCAATGCCCGTTTGTACCAGTTCCTGCTGAATGCCTCTCCAGACCTTATCTATATGCTGGATGAACATGGTCAATTCAGATACCTGAATCACCAGCTCGACGGCGTTTTTGATGCTGATTACAACAGTCTCACCCAGACAGACTGGCAACATCTGTTTGTTGGCAGGCAGAATCTGGTTGATCAGTTACAACACCAGTTCAACGAACGTCGAACCGGCATTCGTGCAACTGTTGGCGAAGAGTTCACCTACACGTCCAGCGTCGGCAACCAACACACCCTTGAACTGTCCGCCATTGGCCTCTACGAAGGCCGTTCATCTGACGCACTGGGCAAATTTATCGGCACTTATGGCGTTATACGGGATGTCACGGAAACCAGACGTACCCGCCAGGCTCTGCACCAGAGCCAGCGAAAATTTCACAGCCTGTTTGTCGACAGCCCGGATGCCGTTTTTATTGCGCGTATCGAAGACGGTCTGATCATTGAACGCAACCCGAACTTTGACAATATCTGTGCAGTGATGGGTGTCAGCGACGATCGGCATGACAGTTTCCTGTGGACGCCTGAACACCAGCGTAGTGATTTCATCAGCGGCCTCGCCAGGAATCCGGAACATTTCGACTGGACCTTTGCACGCGACGTCCAGGGCGAGCCGCGTTTTTTCGAGATACGCGCGCGACAGCTGGAGCTTGAAGGTGAGCTGTGCATGATTGCAACGGTTCGCGACCGCACCCACGAACGTCGTGCTGAGCAGGACCGTCTGACCTTGCAGGAACAGATGCAGCAAGCCGGTCGTATGGAAGCTATCGGTCAGGTCGCCGGCGGTATCGCACATGATTTTAACAACATTCTCGCGAGCATCATCGGCTACGCTGAACTCATCATGAACGCCCGTGCTCGCCTGAGTGAAGATCAGGTTGACCAGTACCTGGGAGAAGTGGTTACCGCTGGCCATCGCGCCAGAGATCTCATCTCCCAGATGTTAACGTTTACCCGCGCGCAACGTGGTGAAGCCCATCCCGTAGATATCCGCGAAACAATTTCCGATGTCTCGCGTATGTTACGCGCGGCGATTCCAGCTTCGATCACCATCGATACTGTATTTGCAGATCCACTGCCCGCTGTCATCGTTGATCCTGTGCAGATCCAGCAGGTTGTCATCAATTTACTGATCAATGCCAGGGATGCCATCAACGGCAACGGACGAATCACAATCAATGTGTTTGAGGAAACTCAGCCGGCTGTCTGTCACACCTGTGGTGAACCCATCACACCCGGCAATGTGGTCATTCGAGTCAGTGATGATGGCCACGGCATATCAAAAGAACTGCTGGCTAAAGTTTTTGAAATGTATTTCACCACCCGAGAGCCCGGTCAGGGCACGGGCTTTGGTTTGTGGATGATTAACAATCTGGTACACGAACACCACGGACACATCACGCTGGACAGTACCGCCGGTCAAGGTACAAGTTTTGGTATCTATCTGCCTACCGCGGAAGTGGACGCAACTGACAATCAGCTCCTGCAGGTCCCCGCACCGCAAATGAGTGGCCGCATTGTGGTTGTGGATGATGAAGTATCAGTGGCCAACTTCATTGGTGAGGTGCTGCGGGACAAAGGGTATCCGACCCTGGTATTTACGGAAAGCCCCCAGGCTTTGGACTATCTGGAACGCAACATTGATGATGTTGCTCTGCTGCTCACGGATGGTTCCATGCCGTTGATCACCGGCGTCGAGCTGATTCAGAAATTACGCACATTCAATACACAGCTGCCGGTGATTTACATCACCGCATACACTCAGAGCACAGACAGCAAAGCCCTGACAAAACTGGGTGTGAACCGCTACCTGCAGAAGCCATTCAGTATTGACGATATGCTCGCCGCTGTTGCCGATTTGACCAAGACTGAAGAAACCGCAGAAAGTTAAACCGCAACGTGTCAGCTTACAACACGCACAAAAAAGCCGGGACCAGCCCGGCTTTTTTTAACATCAACCCAAAGTTTTAACGTTCTGAAGCATCGCGGCCGTCTTTTGGCGCACCGGTACCGGAAGAGCCCATAAAGATTTTACTGCCATCCTCAAAGGTAACGTCACGACCATTAGCTCGTTGAGAGCGGTCTTTTGACTGGTAACCGTCAACTACAATCACCGTGCCGGGCATCAGCGACTTACGGCTCAGGCCTCGTCGCAGCAGTGTATTCGGAGTGCCACCTTCCACCATCCAGGTCTGTTTTTCACCGGATTCAGTGGTGTGCTCCATATGGATCCAGGCGTGTGGGTTAACCCATTCCACCTTCACCACGGGACCACGCAAAACCAACGGTCGGTTAGGGTCAAATTCAGCACCAAAGGCGTGGTGTGACCACGATTGGGTAGAACTTAGCATCAGACCGGCCAGGCCAGCGACTGCGACTACTTGTTTAATTGAAAACACTTTCAATACTCCTTCCTTGCTTTGAGGAACGCTTTGGTTGACCTCATCATACTTAAACAATCCTTCGGGTTGAAGGTTGCAATTATCCGCCACTACTCACCTGTGCATCTTTCACATCCTGCTCCAGAACGCGTGCGCCCCGCATGATGTTGCCTAATGCGTAGTTACCCTCATGACAGGCATACTCATAAACCTTGTCATTTGACGCCGGCCAGGGATATTCACCCGACCAGGGCTCCTGCCAGGCGCTCGGGTCATCTACTGTAAATTCGTAATGCAGGTCACCATCCTGCTGCAGCGTAAATCGTTCAACCACATGCAAATCCTGGGTCGCTCCAGACAAGGCTGGTCGCTCACGGAAGTTTCTGGTGTCCACTACCAGCGTGTCACCTTCCCAATGGCCGATTGAGTCACCCATCCAGCTGCGGATTTCCTGCGGTGGATGCTCGCTGTTCAATCGAATAACGCGGGCATCGTGAATCATTTCCGCCATAATCATGACATGCTCGTCTGTCTGCACAATACGCTTCATGTTGTTGTAAAGCGCCGGGAGCATGGGTGGGCCGCTCGTCGAGCCGAAACTGAGCAGACAACGCTCACCATTAGGCCGCATTTCCATGTGATCGTAGGGACCGGGTCCGGGCTGATCTAACCACCAGGCGGTACCGGTGTTACGGCCAAACAGGCGGTAAAACGCCGCCATACGCTGCTGGTTAGCCGGAGTCATAGCCGGACGACGGCCATTTTCCGGGTAAGTAATGATCGAGGTGCGGAACTTGCCATCAACCTCCGCCGCAGAGTCGCCGTTGTCTATCCAGAACGTGTTGTAACCACCCACATTACCCGCCGCACCAGCAGAACCGTCGCCGCCCGCCGGTGGTGCTTCACGGTTCGGATCGCTCTGTTCGCTGTCAGCGGCTTTTGTAGCTGCGACCTTCGCCGCAATGGCATCAGCCTCTTCGCGCGTCATGAATAATTTGTTGCCAAATTCCGCAGGACGCTGCAGTGGCGTTAACGTTGCAACGTTGTAGGTACCGGTTAAATCCGGCTTACCTGCAGGCGTGCGCGGCAGCTCGCTCGCCTGGGCACTGAGACCGCACAGGACCAGAGGTACAAGCAAGGCCACCCAATTGGGCCGCCAGATCAAAAGTCGTGCTGGTTGAATGTGCATGACAAACCCCTGCTTATCGCGGCAGCGGTTCGCGACGCCATTCGCCATACATCAGTTCTTCAACAAACTCGACACAGCGGAATTCCATAAGCTGAGCATTAGGTTCCATGCGACGATAAAGCGGCATGCGGATGGTCCAGGGCTTGGTAAACGTTACCGGATCATCAATGGTCGCTTCATACATCAGGTGATTTTCCGACATGGGCGTATACCGTTCAGTGACTGTCATGAATGCACTGTGATGATTACCCGAGCGATCAAACCAGGTGCTGTCCAGCTGTCCGGTGACTTTCACAACCAAGGTATCGCCTTCCCAGGTTCCATGAGACCAGCCCATCCAGCTATCAACTGGCGCTTCGCCTGGGTCTTCCATGTAAATTTCCCGGGTGGCACCTGCGTACTGGTAAGCTATGAACACGGAGTCGTCACTCTGAAAAATCTGGAAGGGCTGTGGCATATAAGTCGCCCGCGGCACACCTGGTAGAAAACACTTCACTTCAGGATCCCGGTCAATCCAGTTCGCTTTGTTTTCATCTCGTATGGCCAGCGCTTCTGGCTTATAAGGAATTTTACCTTCAACCACGACACCCATACCCGGAGGTACTGCGGCAACTGCACCTAAGTACATGGTTTTGATAGCAGGGACAGGGCCCATCGGACCTTCACGCATCTGCAACGAGTGGCTCGCCGTATGCATTTCCAAATTGTAATTTGCTGTATTTAACGCCTGCCAGATCCCGTTCAGATCCGGGTGAACGCCATCGGGCCCGCGCGGCGCTTTGTAAGCCTCCGCTTGCGCAGTAGACGCAACCAAAACCATCGCCAGAAAACAGCTCATCCCAAACACTTTTGTATGCAGACGCATATCCCTCTCCCCCAAAAAACTGAAAAGCCCCGTTTGCAGCGTTGCCTTGTGAGGCAACCACAAAGCACAGGATCGTCCCATTAGCCGGCGCGGCGGTCAAGCACCGTCCACTGCGTTTACTGCCAAGAGGTTATACAATGTTGCTGCCTGATCTGTGGATTGCCTGAAAATGACTACTGAAACGACCGACCAGCCCGATGCTAGCCAGAGCGAACTGGCAGCAATCCGTGCAGCTGTACGGAGCCTCTGCGCCGGTTACGGTGAAGACTACTGGCTGCAAATGGATCGTGAGCAGGGTTATCCAGCAGATTTTGTTGACGAACTCACCCGCGCCGGTTTCCTTGGCGTACTCATACCGGAACAATACGGTGGCGCCGGCCTGGGACTTATGCAGGCTGCTGCGGTAATGGAAGAGGTCTGTCGCTCCGGCGCTCATGCAGGTGTCTGCCATGCGCAAATGTATGTCATGGGTTCTGTACTAAGACACGGCAGCGAACAACAGAAACAGTATTACCTGCCAAAAATCGCAAAAGGCGAGCTGCGTTTGCAGAGTTTTGGTGTGACCGAGCCCGGCACCGGCAGCGACACCACGCAACTCACCACCACCGCCCGACGTGAGGGTGATGAATACGTCATCAATGGCCAGAAGGTCTGGATCAGCCGTATCCAACACACCGACCTGATGTTATTGCTGGCTCGTACCAGCCCTGCATCAACCAGTAAAAGTCGGGGGCTCTCGACGTTCATCATTGATGTACACAAAGCGGTTGGTAACGGCCTGACAATCCAGCCCATTGAAAGCATGATCAATCACCACTCATGTGAGCTGTTTTTCGATGACCTGCGCATTCCCGCAGACAGCCTGCTGGGTGAAGAAGACGCAGGATTCAGGGTTATACTTGATGGCATGAACGCTGAGCGCGTACTCATTGGCGCCGAGTGTGTCGGGGATGGACGCTACTTCATCGACAAAGCTGCCGCTTATGCCAGCAATCGCGAGGTGTTCGGGCGCCCGATCGGTAAAAACCAGGGAGTACAGTTTCCCATAGCTCGCGCATATACACAGATTGAAGCCGCTGCTTTGATGGTTGAACAGGCAGCCAAACGCTTTGATGCAAACCTGCCTTGCGGCGCCGAGGCTAATATGGCGAAAATGCTGGCTTCAGAAGCATCCTGGCAAGCCGCCGATGTGTGTATGCAGACCCATGGCGGGTTTGCATTTGCCAAGGAATATCATATCGAGCGCAAGTTCCGTGAAACGCGGCTCTATCAGATTGCGCCAATCTCAACCAACCTTGTGTTGAGCTACATTGCCGAGCATGTTCTGGACATGCCGCGATCATACTAACCAGCCACTAGGAGAATAAGGCATGGGACAATTAGACGGAAAAGTCGCTATCGTAACCGGTGCAGGGGGAGGCCTGGGGCGAGCCCACGCTTTACTGCTGGCCCACGAAGGTGCACATGTTGTTGTTAACGACCTGGGAGGCGATCGCCACGGCACCGGGGGTGGCACCAGTATGGCAGACGGCGTGGTGGAGGAAATCAACGCCGCAGGCGGATCAGCGGTTGCACACTATGGATCTGTCACCGATGACGCTGATGCCGCAGGCATGGTCAAAACCGCGGTCGACACCTTTGGCCGCCTGGACATTTTAATCAACAATGCCGGCATTCTGCGCGACAAATCATTCAAGAACATGAGTGACGATGAGTGGGATATTGTCATCGACGTACACCTGCGCGGCACCTACCTGGTCACCAAGCATGCGTGGCAACAGATGTTGACCCAGGGCGAAGGTGGTCGAATTGTCATGACAAGCTCCACTTCCGGTCTGATCGGTAACTTCGGTCAGGCGAACTACGGAGCGGCAAAAGCCGGTATTGCCGGTTTTATGCGGGTGCTGGCCCTCGAAGGTATGAAGTATGGCATCACCGTGAACGTGCTCGCCCCCGCGGCGCTTTCTCGTATGACTGAAGACATCATGCCCGATGTACCAGACCTTGGAGAACGGCTGGCGCCTGAAAAAGTCTCACCAACTGTTGTCTGGCTATGCACAGATGATGCCGCCAAGGTCACCGGTCGCCAGTTCTGTGTCAGCGGCAATCGCACTTCCCTGTTGTCCTGGCAGGTGGATGTGATTACTGAGAAAGATGCTCTGGATGCACCCTGGACCGTTGAGGAAATGGGTGAGGCCATGGCCAAGTCTATGGATGCCTGGCCGAAACTGCTTAAACCCATGGAAGTTTAGTCGCGCCGACTAATCAACTTATGCGACATGGAACAGGGAATTGAATCGTGAAGTGATCAGCGCAGCAGTCCTGTTACTGCTGGCGCTTGCCCTGGGCAGCATCATTGACGCGTATGGTTGGGCGTTGTTTGCCGGTTCGGTCACCTGGTCCGTGCTGCAGTGGCGGGAATACAGAAAAATAAAGGTGTGGGCCAAACACCCCTTGCGCGCACCTCCAAACACCTCACGGGGCTGGTTTAAACTGGCCAATTCGCCGTATCGCTCCCTGCAGCAGGAGCGCGCCCGCTCAAAGCTGTTCATGACCCGACTGCGGGAGGTGATGGCGCTGGTTCAGGTGATCCCGGATGCCGTGATTATTCTTAACAAAGCCGGTGAAATTGAGGGGTTCAATATCGCGGCCCGCAACCTGTTATTCCTCAAAGACAGCGATCGCGGTATTGGCCTGGCATCCGTGGTACGCAGCCCGGACTTCATCGCCTTCTTAAAATCCGGCGCGAGCGACAACCTGCTGGAATTCACCTCCCCTTTCGACCCGGACAGAAACCTTGAGGCCCGCAGTTTCCCGGTTGAGCAGAATCGTTTTGTCGTACTGGTACGCGATAACACCGAACTCAACCGCTTGCTGACCATGCGACAGAATTTTATCGCTAACGTTTCCCATGAACTGCGGACGCCTTTAACCGTTGTTGCCGGCTATCTTGAAACCATTGCCGACAAGGAGCAGCCTGACGAATTGCGTCTGAGCCTGATTGACAAGCTCACCTCGCCGTTAAGCCGGATACGTTCGCTGGTCGACGACCTGCTGCTTCTGACACGTCTGGAATCTACCCCGGTACCTGCACAACTTGACCCTGTCGCAATGACAGCAGTAATCAGCAATGCCGTCAACGAAGTCAGGGGGCTGGCTCAATCACCCGGCCAGATCAGCGTAAAAATAGAGACTCAGGCGCGTATCAAAGGTATTGAAACCGAGCTTTATTCCGTATGCGTTAACTTGTTAAGCAACGCGCTGCGTTACAGTCAGGAAGGCAAGCCGGTGACCATCAGCTGGCGGGAGATAGACGGCAAAGCGCAGCTTTGCGTGATTGACCAGGGCGTGGGTATCGCCCCGGAACACCTCAATCGCATCACCGAACGTTTCTATCGTGTCGACATGGCAGACGCGCGCACACGCGGCGGCACGGGATTGGGTCTGGCTATCGTCAAACACGTACTGCGCCGCCATCACTCCGAACTTTTTGTGAAAAGTACGGTTGGTCAAGGCAGTGAATTCTACTGTAACTTCGCCATCGCAGAACCGGTACAGACGCTCGCTGCCGCAAGCCGCAATGCATAAATCACAGGCACGAAGATTTGCCCGCCAACTGGTGCAGGTCGGTTTCCTTACCGTCGCGATAGCGGCGTGCGACTCGGGGCCGGCAGAAGAGATTGAGGTGCGCGGTTTACCTGTGATCGAGATCGAACCGATCCCCCTCACGCTCAGTCAGCCACAGCAACCTGACCAGCAAACGCAACTGCACAATTATCAGAGAACGGCAGGGCTTTCAGGCAACATCAGCAGTGCCGGATCCGACACTCTGGCTAACCTGATGACGCTTTGGAGTGATGCGTTTAAGCGTGAATACCCCAGTGTGAATATCCAGGTTCAGGCGGCAGGCTCATCCACAGCGCCGCCCGCGCTGACTGAGGGCACCGCCAACCTGGGCCCCATGAGTCGAGCCTTCAAGGACAATGAGCTGGAAGCGTTCCAACAGCGCTACGGCTACAAGCCAACGGCTATCCGGGTCGCCATTGATGCTGTCGCGGTCTATGTCCATAAAGATAATCCTCTGGATGCCATGTCTATCGAGCAGATCGATGCAACGTTTTCCGTCACCCGGCGTTGTGGCGGACGCCAGGATATTCGCTTCTGGGGCGATCTCGGGCTATCCGGCGGCTGGCGGGAGCGCCCGATCCAGATCTATGGACGTAATTCAGTGTCCGGCACCTACGGCTACTTTAAAAGTGTTGCCCTGTGTGCAGGTGACTATAAAAATTCCCTCAATGAACAACCCGGTTCAGCTTCAGTGGTGCAGGCCGTAGCTTCTTCACTGAATGGCATCGGCTACTCCGGCATTGGCTACAAGACATCGGGTATCAAATCTGTACCGATAGCCCGTCGCGGCAATTTTCCGATTCCAGCAACCACGCAGACAGCGGCCGACGGCAGCTACCCACTGTCACGCTATTTCTACATCTACGTTAACAAACCACCCAACCAGCCGTTACTGCCTGTCGAACAGGAATTCATCCGCATGGTGTTGTCGGCCCAGGGGCAGGCGATCGTCGAAAAGGATGGTTACATTCCAGTATCGGCACAAATCGCACACCGCGAATTGCAGAAGCTCAACTGATGTCCCAAGACCCTGCCCAGCTTCCCGGCTCTGTTGCCGCTGATACAGGAAAAAGCCTGCTCCAGGGGAGACGTTTATCGCGTCGGACGCTGTTTGATCGAGGATTACGCTATCTGGTGACCTTGGGTGGATCCACAGTACTTGCGGCCATTGTGCTGATTTTTCTTTATCTGTTGTGGACCGTGGCACCTGCTTTTGCACCGGCAAGCATTACGGATCGGGGGCAGATCGCCTTGGTCAGCCGCGAAGCCCGCCTGGTTGATTTCAATGAGGCGGGTGATGTTCTAATGCGTCTCGCGGCTGATGGCATCACGGAATTTGTTGAAGTAGACAGCGGCATTCCACTAATCAGTTATGACCTGGGATTTCGGGTCAACCAGGCCCAACGTGTTTACCCGACTTTGGACATCTATGCCGTCCTCGACGAAAACCAGCGACTGTGGCTGGTGCGTGCCAGCTATGAGGTAGATATCACCGCTGGCGTTCGCAGTGTGACCCCCCGCCTGGAAGCGGCCTTTTCGAACCAGTTTATTCCACTGGGCAAAACCAACACCTTCGACGTTCACCTGGCCAATGACAGCCTGGTCATTGCCAGTATGAACGACACGCAAATGTCACTGTTGCGCTATGACAATGCGGAACTGGGTTTACCTCTACTGAATGCGACCCAGGCAAATCTGACCGTAGACAACAGTGTTGAAAAAATTATTCTGGGGCCACGCAACGAATGGGTGTACCTGCAGGACAACGACAACAGCCTGCACGTCTACGACATCACCGAACCCAACCGCATGCGTGAGTTGTTTCACACACAACTGGCATCAACGACCCGCAGCTTGACGGCAACAGTGGCGCTGCTGGGACGTCAGTCTATTCTTGCGGCAGACGACCGTGGTGTTGTCACGCAATGGACCGCTGTCCGCGACGATCTGGGTTTCCGGATGCAACCTATCCGAAACTTCGACCTCGGTTCAGCAATTCACACGCTGGTCAACGAACCCCGACGCAAAGGCATTCTTGCCGGCACCAGCGACGGTTATCTACATTTAATTTACCCCACATCAGGCAAAGCTCAAACCCAATACGCAGCAGATCAAACGCAACAGCGTGTCAACGCTGTATCACCCCGGGCAGATCAATTTGTCACCGCAGACAACAGTCGTCTGCACGTATTTCAGTTAGATAATCCTCACCCGGAATTGTCATTTTCCGCTTTGTGGAGCGAGGTCTGGTACGAAGGTTACAGTGAACCTGTTTACAGCTGGCAGTCATCTGCTGCAGACAACGATTTTGAGCCGAAGTTTTCTCTGGTGCCACTGGTGTTTGGCACCTTGAAAGCCGCTTTCTATGCACTTCTGTTTGCTCTGCCTCTGGCGGTCATGGGGGCGATTTACACCGCTTATTTCATGCCCGCCCACATCAGGGCCTGGGTGAAACCCGGCATCGAAGTCATGGCTGCCCTGCCTACAGTCATCCTGGGATTTATTGGCGGCTTGTGGCTTGCACCGATTGTTGAACAGGAGTTAGCCAGCGTCCTGTCCGCGTTTGTTCTGGTGCCCGGCGCCCTTATTGGTTGCGCACTATTCTGGTCCGTTCTGCCCACCTCAAGGCGGGACAGAGTTGTGGGCGGTTATGCGCTGCTGGTGGTACCGGCCATTGTCGCTGCCATCACTTTAGGCTTTCAGATTGGCCCGTGGTTCGAAAACGCATGGTTTGGAGGAGACAGCCGCACCTGGCTAAGGGAAGTGGCTGGCCTGGATTATGCTCAGCGTAACGCCCTCGTTGTAGGCATGGTCATGGGGTTAGCGGTAATCCCACCTATTTTCTCCATTGCCGAAGATGCAATCCACGGTGTGCCGGCGCACCTGGTGAACGGCTCGTTAGCACTGGGCGCAACACCCTGGCAGACCTTAAGCCAGGTTGTGCTGCTGACCGCAGCACCCGGCATATTCTCTGCCATTATGGTCGGCGTTGGTCGAGCTGTTGGCGAAACCATGATTGTTCTGATGGCCACAGGCAACACACCCATCATGGACTTCAATGTGTTTGAGGGCATGCGTACTTTTGCCGCCAATATCGCTGTGGAATTGCCGGAAACAGAAGTAAACAGTTCGCACTATCGGATTCTGTTTCTGACCGCGTTTGTACTGTTCATGATCACCTTCTTTTTCAACACAATTGCTGAAATCGTTCGTGAGCGCTTGCGCAGCCACTACGGCAATCTGTAATGGCACTACTGCTGAACAAAACACATCGTAAACGGCTGGACCGCAATGAAGTCTGGATCTGGCTGAACGCTGGCGCACTTGCTCTGAGCCTGTGTGCGGTTGTGTTTATCGTTTTGCTGATCATGCGCAATGGCCTTATACACTTCTGGCCCAATCCAATTTATGCCGTTGAATATACAAATTCAGCTGGGAATCCGGAAAAGCTGATAGGTGAACGGGTCGAAGTCAGCACACTGTCGCGGATTCAGTATCTGGAAGCTGGCGGTGACGACAACCGTCTGTCCGCTGATGCGCAAGAGGTTGAGCGATGGTTGTTCAACACCGGCAACCGCCGCACCAACCCACCCGATTTTCGCTGGGTTTATGCCCACGATGTCACGCATATAGAAACACCGGTAGAGCTTGCCAAAATCGAACGGATTGAATGGGGCCCCGCTTTCGGGCGTATTCTCGAACTGCGCTTTGACAACGCAGACGGCAGCAAAAGAATTGTCAGTGGCGTTGAACTCAACACCCTGTTACAGACCACACTGGCGCGCCTCAACACCAACCGGGCAGCCATCGCCAGCCTCGAGCGGGGCACCATCAATCAGATTAACGCTGACCTGAAAGCCATTCGTCTGCAGCAGCGTGCACTGAACATGGACCCTCCTGCAGATGCTGCAACTCGCCAGCAACAGCTGGCAGGACAGGAAGCTGTATTGCTGCAAACCTACCGGGAACAGGAGCAGGTCCTCAGCTCTTTGCTGAAGAACCTTGAAGGCAGCGCACTGCTGCTTGAAATACAACGCAACACTGCCAGGCAGATTGAACTGGCTGACACCCTTTATGTGACCTACCCCAACAACATGAGTAGCCTGGCAAAAGCTGGCACTTTCCTGTCGAACATCGGTCGCTTTCTGAGTGACGACCCACGCGAGGCAAATACCGAAGGCGGCGTTTTTCCCGCCATTTTTGGTACGGTGTTGATGGTTTTGTTGATGTCTGTGGTAGTCACCCCGGTTGGCGTGGTGACAGCGATCTACTTACACGAATATGCCAGCCAGACCACTTTAGTGCGTATGTTACGTATCGCCGTCAGCAACCTGGCTGGTGTACCTTCTATTGTTTACGGGGTTTTCGGGCTGGGATTTTTTGTTTACTTCCTCGGCGGCAACATCGATCAACTGTTCTACGCTGACGCTCTCCCGGCCCCGACTTTCGGCACACCAGGCCTGTTCTGGGCATCACTTACCCTTGCCCTGCTGACCGTACCGGTTGTTATCGTCTCTACTGAGGAAGGACTGGCACGCATACCGAAAAGCTTGCGCGAAGGGAGTTTGGCACTGGGCGCCACCCGCGCCGAAACTCTGATGCAGGTTGTACTACCCATGGCCACACCCGCCGTGCTGACTGGCGTTATTCTGGCGGTAGCCCGCGCTGCAGGCGAAGTTGCACCGCTGATGCTGGTTGGGGTTGTTAAACTGGCACCCGCCCTGCCTATCGATGGCGAATTCCCATTCCTGCATCTGGACCGCAAATTCATGCACCTCGGCTTTCACATTTATGACGTTGGTTTCCAGAGCCCTAACGTCGAAGCTGCCCGACCACTCGTGTACGCTACCGCACTGCTGTTAATCAGTATTATCGTTGGCCTGAACTTAGCGGCCATAACTCTGCGCCATCGTTTAGAAAAGCGTTATCGCAGCTACGAGTAGAACACCATGACTGCAAACGATCAGAACAGCATTCCAGATACCCTGAGCGCGCCAAAAGTCAGCATCAGCGTTAAAAATCTGAACATGCAATACGACAACAGTTTTGCTTTGAAAAACATCAACGTCGACATACCCGCGCAGAAAGTGACCGCCTTTATCGGCCCTTCAGGCTGCGGCAAATCTACCCTGTTACGTTGTTTCAATCGTATGAACGATCTGATCAACAACGCGATGATCGACGGCAGCATCGAACTGGAAGGGGACAACATCTATGACCCGAGAGTAGATGTCGCAGAACTCCGACGCCGCGTTGGCATGGTTTTCCAGCGTCCCAATCCATTCCCTAAAACCGTTTATGAGAACGTTGCCTATGGGCTCAGAATCCAGGGCGAGAAATCTACCGCAGTGATTGATCAGAGCGTGGAATGGGCACTGCGCAGCGCAGCGCTCTGGGAGGAAGTGCGCGACCGCCTGCACGAATCTGCACTGAGTCTTTCTGGCGGGCAGCAGCAGCGATTGGTTATTGCACGGGCAATCGCGGTAAAACCATCTGTACTTCTGCTGGATGAGCCCGCATCCGCACTGGACCCGATTTCCACTCTGAAAATTGAGGAACTGATCCATCAGCTCAAAGATGATTACACCATCGTGATTGTCACCCACAATATGCAGCAGGCGGCAAGAGTTTCAGATTTCACCGCGTTCCTGAATCTAGGTGAGCTGGTGGAATATGGCGACACGGATACGATTTTTCGTTTCCCGAAAGAAAAAAGCACCGAAGACTATATAACCGGACGTTATGGATAGCCGCACGCGACAGCAGGAGGCTGAGGCAAACAGATGAGTAGACACATCTCAGAACAGTACGACCTTGAACTGGGTGGTATCCGCGACCAGCTGATGGAAATGGGTGGCCTGGTTGAACAACAGGTGAAAGATGCCTGCCTTGCTTATTTCACCCATGACCTGTCTCTGGCGGAAGACGTTCGCGTAAATGAGAAAAAACTTAATCGCATGGAACTGCGTCTGGATGATCAATGTGTAGGCATCATCGCCCGGCGTCAGCCTGCGGCCGGAGATTTACGCAATATTGTTGGTGTGATGAAGGCCATCACTGACCTGGAACGTATTGGTGATGAAGCCAACAGAATCGCTAAAATGTCGATCAAGATTGCCAGTCACGAAATTCCTACCCATCAATATGGCGACTTGCGTGCCATGCACGACAAGGTCAACGTCATGCTGACGGAAACCCTTGATGCGTTTGCACGGGTCAATGAAGACGTTGCGCAACTAGTGATTCGCGCTGATGACGCCGTTGATGATCTCTATGATGCGATTGTCGCCCAATGCACCCTTCAAATGCAGAAGGATCCCGCTAACATCCCGCACCTGCTGAGCACAATCTGGGTTGCCCGTTCGCTTGAGCGTATTGGTGACCATGCAAAAAATATGGCCGAATATGTCATTTTCCAGGTATTGGGCAAGGATGTACGCCACCCAAGCAGTGCAAAGACCTGAACATCGACGTTTTCTGCTAAAGGAAAGGCCCGCATGGCTTGCGGGTAAGACCCCGGCACCGTAACATTCGCGCCTCGCGTGCCCAGGTGGTGAAATTGGTAGACACGCTGGTTTTAGGTACCAGTGATAGAGATATCGTGTCGGTTCGAGTCCGACTCTGGGCACCACTTACATCCCCGAGGCCCGGGTGGTGAAATTGGTAGACACAAGGGACTTAAAATCCCTCGAAGGCAACTTCGTGCCGGTTCGAGTCCGGCTCCGGGCACCAACGCTCTAAGACATTTATCGTATCAGGAACTCTGACCCGAGTTTTCTTCAGCAGCCTGCTGGCGTTCGGCCAACAGTGCCATGCGACGCATCACCGACGGACGCAAGGCCTCTGCCCCTGGTGACATTCTGCTGGACATGAATTGCTGATAAGCACTGAGCGCGGCGTCAAACTCACCCAGGCGTTCCAGGCTGTATGCTCTGTTCAGGTAAATCTGCGCGGCTTGCGCATCAATCTGTTCAGCAATGCCGATGTATTGCAGCGCCGCAGCGTGGTTATCCAGCTCCTGCTCTAAAACCGCAAGCTGCACCCAGATCTCTACAACCTGGCCTTCTTTAGAGACAGCAACATCCAACATGCGACGTGCTGATTCAATTTCACCCAGGGCGAGATAAGCGGTGCCAGTCCAGAACCACGGTTGCCAATCAGAATGATTCTTGGCGGCCACTGATGCCACCAGAGAATCCAGCGTCAGCAGTGCAGAGGCAGGATCGTTATCCAGCACCTGCAGACGTGCAAGCGTGATGCGCGCTTCCCGATGTGTGGGATGATCGTCGAGAAACCCGGCAACCAAAGCTTGCCCATCAGCGAATGACATCTGCGCGAGCTGCGCACGGATGTTTTGAAAGTCCTGGGGGTGAAGGTTCTGTTCCGCCCTGGCGGGTATTTCCGCAACCGCTTGCTCATCAGCCCTTGGTTCAGAAGACCTGGACGAACCAGGCGCTTCTGATTGTTCCGTTTTGACCGTTTCTGACGGACCCCCTGTGGAGGTGACACCTTCAAGCAAGACTGCTAATGCATCATTCGCCTGTTCCGCTTGTATTCTTTTAGTCTCTAACTCAGCCACAGACGCAGCGCTCAGTTCACTGGCGCCAAGTGCTCCAGAGTCTTCTTCTTCAGCATGAGCTGAACCCAAACAGGCCAGAACAAGCACACTGCAGATAACTCGCATCTTATCGCTCTCCTGCTACTAAATTAGGCGTCAGAATCATGATCAGCTCTTTGCGGCTGGACGCTTTGTATTCACCGCCTAACAACTTACTGAACGGCCCAAGCCGGGTCAGGCCAGGCACACCGCGCTTGGTATTCGAATCTGCACTTTGAATCAATCCACCCAGAACAACCGTATCGCCACTACGCGCACGAACCAAAGAGGACACCTGTGCCACATCCAGGTTTGGTGCAGAACTCTGGATAACCCCATTAACATCTTCAACCACGCTGACACTGGACACCCGGGTGACTACCGGAGAAATGTCCATCATGATCCAGCCCGTGTCACCAATTTGCGGTGTAATCGATAACACCACGCCTTCCGTGACCACCTGGGGGATGTCGGTTGCCGTGGTAATAGAACCCGCCGAAGTAGAATCTGTTGATTGTTCACGCCGGAAAAACGTTCGGTCGGTGCCCACTTTGATCAGCGAGGTCTGGTTATTCATTGTTCGCACATGAGGCTGGCTTACAATTTCGACATCACCCTGCTCTTCTAAAGCTTCTACCACGGCTTGTATGCGAGTATTGCCATCGTTTTTCAGGTTGAACGCAGACAGATTCAGTACCGATGACAGTGGCGCGATACCGCCAGCAGGCGAAGTTACAATACCGGACGTGGAGAAATCCACATTCGTCCCCGAATCAAGTACGCGAGACACCCTGGACCAGTTAACCCCCAGCGCAGAACTGTCTTCCAACACCACCTCAAGGATTTTGACTTCGATATCGACCTGGCGATGAATCGAACGATTCACATGGTCTATGTAGTTGGCCACCGATTCGACGTGGGCGTGTTGATCAGTCACCTGCAGCGTTCCGGATAAACTGTTCATCACGATGCTACCGGATTCGCTCAACAGCTGTTCCAATTGTGCCTGCAGCTCTCCCCAGAATTCAATTTCATCCGTCTGTGCAATGACGATAGAACCCGCTTCGTCATCAGACCCTCCACCTGGGGAACTGCCTCCTTCCGACGAACTGGAAGATACTTTGGCTGAGCTGGACCCATTGCCTGAGCGCACCAGACGAAGGTAATCAAGCTGTATTCGGCGGGTTTCCTGAGATCTGGCGCGAATGACGCCGTCGTTGATCTCCCAGTAATAATCCAGACTATCCAACATCAGGGACAATGCCCTCTCCAGAGGTAAATCTCTGAATTCCACGTCCAGAATACCTGTCACATCTTCATCAGCAATAATGTTTAGCCCGTAAGCCCGCCCGAACTGACGCAGGCCCTGCTTTACCGGCATGTTATTGATAACAAAACTGTAAAGTGGTTCTTCACCTCCATCAGTTACCGCGTTTTTAGGCTGAGGAAACGAAAGTCGTTCTTTAGTTGATAACTCAATTGGCGCAAGGGCGGGTGAAGGCCAACTGTCCTGCGTATGATATCGAGGAAACGGGCGTTCTGGCTCCGCGGTTAATGTGGACAACTGGGTACACCCAGACACTAACAGGCATGGGATAACAATCAGTGCCCGCAGCGTCTTAATGGCGCTTCCTGCGCCAACAATAGTGGCCATCCGATGGCCTCCGTTTAAATTCATACATCCGGCTCCAACCGATAAAACTTGCCATTGCGACTGACTTCCACGTGTTCAGCATCTATATCGGTAACGACAAAACTATCAATCGCATCTCCGATTCGCAGCAGTTTGTTGTTTAAAACTGCCGCCTTAACACCACCACCGAGAAAAACCGCGCCAACTTTCGGAAGTGTTTCATGTAGACCTATTGCATGCGCCTGCGCATCCAAAGCGCCGCCGTCAAACGGATCGCGTGCAACATCGTTGAGCCACCCAATGGCATCACGCGATTCGCCAATACGACGTGTGGTCACCGCAACATTGTTAGCAACAGAAAACTCATCCAACATGCCGATCTCTTCAACGCTACCCATGCTGGCAGTGCTGCTGCCAAACAGCGGTTTTGTCACTGAAATACCCAGATAGATGGCGGCAAAAAGACCAAGCGCACCAACAAACCACGGATTATTGAACAGGTTTTTCATCTGCCTTCTTCGATATATCTATTGTTCAAACAACTCGTCAACATCCTGATTCTCCGCAGGGATCTGCGCTTGTAGAGCAGCCAGATCAACAAAACCAAATCGATCGCGCACCCATACCTGGGCCTGGATGCTGATGGCATCAAGACCATCGCCGTCTCCTAACGCCTGGGTTTGCAACACATCCATATGCCAGTGATCGCGCAAAATGAAACCAATCAGCGCCATCGATTGATCAAATAGGTTATCGGCCGAATCCGGCGCGGCTTTAAAAGTCAAAGTAACAGGTACTTCGAGCACATCGGGCACGGGAGATAAATGTGGCACCTTCGCCTGATAACTGAAGACCATTGACCGATCTGCAGCGATCGCTGCCAGGTTTTCCGCCCAGGCTGCCAATTCGGGAAAGCCTTGAAAGACCTTATCGTTTTCTGCCTCAATCGCCGTGCTGAGACTCTCTACATCAATACTGGCCAGTTCCAGTTCCAGATCATTGAGCTGGCTGTCCAGGCGATATTCTGAGACCTCCAGCTCCACCAGTTCATCCAGGATAGAAAGCCTGTCGAGATTCCATAAGATCAAACCAAAACAAGCAAGCACAAGCGCGCAGGTTGCAGCAATGCGAGCAGGTGTTGCAAACCATGCATCAACAATCATGTGAATATATTTTTTGATGCCGCCGTGATATTGCATTCTTTCTTCAGGCGGCATCGCGTCTTGATCTTGATCCAGCTCCAGCGTATCCGGCAGTTCGATTTCCATATCCAGACTCATCGCAGTTCGCCTGCTATTTCGAACCCATTTTCACCTTCACGCTGCAACTTTCCCTGGGCAAACTGTTGCATCCAGGTGTTTGTGAAACTTTTACTGAAGCTGATCTGCCAGGGCGGTTCGCTTAACTGCATTTCTAGATTAGCCAGGATGCGGGCACTTTCACGCAGATCACCTGCCACCGTTCCGTTGATCAGGACCCGCCAGGCAGATTCCTGACGCGCAACATTGACCCTGGTCAAAGTGACTTCAGGCGGCGTAAGCTGACCCAGATGCACCACCAGCAACGCGGGCAAATTTTTACTGGTGGCTTGCAGGCGTCCAAGGTGATCCTGTTTCAAACGCCCTTCCCACAATTTCTGTTCTACCTGTTCAATCAACACGCGCACTTCTTCTGTTCGAGATTCAATACCGCGAATCTGATCCGCCCGATGTGTCACCAGACCACCGGTAAACAACGTCATGACCGTGGTTACCATCAACACCGCAGCGGTTGACCAGGCGGCAACTCTGCGCACCGCATCCGCGGTAATGTTTTTTTGCGCAAAAACGGAAATGAAGTTAGCTGATAGCTTGCCTGACAGCCGGGTTGCCCATAATGTCCAGAAGTACGGGTCGGATGCCTGCTCATCAAAACTGACTGGCACGTCTATATTGGTTTCGAGAGGTTCAACCAGTTCCGCACTGATATCACCCATCATCAAAGCTTTGGTCACACTCCGGCCAAGCTGCTGCCGCCCATAACGCAGAGTCCGATTGACGTCAGTAACAAGCCGCTCATAAGTGCTGGCAGACAGGCCGTAGTTGAGCTCGCGCACAAACAGGGCCTCACCGTCTGCCAGTGCAATAATGATTTCTGTACGCGCCTTGAAACACGCCACCACGACAACCATGTCGTCAACGTTTAAGTCTAGTGTGGGCAGATAATCAGAAACAATTTCTGTCAGCGGAACATACTGTTTGGGTGCAAGCCCCACAGCACCGCATGCGGCCAGGGTCGATTTAACAATTCGCTTCGGTAACAGGTGCAGCAACACACCTTCTTTGCCGCCAGCGTGGGCGACCTGATGGAAACACCAGGCTGCCTCTTCATCAAATGACTTATCCTGCTGCACTCGACGATGCAGATATCTTTCCAGATCCCGGCGCTTCATGGCCGGCACTTCAAGATATTCGTGGGTGTGCAGATCGTGCTCGTGAACGACGGTCACGTCACCTTTGTCACCAAGGTTAATAGCCTGAGCAGCCTGATCAAGTACTCTTACCAGATCAGCGTAACTTTCAACCTGCTCAGGTGACTCCCACTGCTCGGCTATTTCATCACGATGAAAACGGGCAATGCGGAACTCACCATACAACCAGGAAATGGCATAACGCGTACGACTCATATCACCTTTCCCATGTCCAGCTTGCACCCACCATCTGATAACGCAGGGACATGTCCTGGTGCGCAATCAAACGGCGTTGTGTGGCCCCGCCGGGGTAAGGTGCGCTGGTCAAACCAATCTGCGTACCTCTAAGGACGTAAACCGTTCGCGCGCCGTCTACACCCCCAGAGGCAGCTGATACGGCATTCTCGCCGCCGTTTTCCAGTGCAAAGCCGGCTTGTGAGGCATTGGCGTTATTCAGCAGGATTCGGACAAACAGCGGCGCGAGGTTGATGCGTTCGATCATCAGCACGTCATCTTCAACCAGCAAAGCGCCGATATTCTGCTCCCAGACGTCTGTGAACCGATCATGTGTATTCAGATTCGCAGTGACGTTACCCGCCAAACTTGAGACAACCATTAAGCGTGGTGAATAGGGTACATTTGCCAATCCCGAGATCTGTGTATAACCGGGAAAGTTCTGATTGCTGGCATTAAAAAACATCGGATCCGCATAAAGTCTGCGGGAAAAATTCTTATCGTTAGTCGTAATACGTGCAGGTGGCAGCGAAGCGTATTGTGCAACCGCATTGCTCCAGTCTGACAATGTTGTTGTAGGGATGCGCCTGTCACGAACGATGGACTTTTGCAGGGCATCAGAGATTGTCCCTAAGCTCTGTTGCTCAGCGGTCTGATAGCCTTCTTCAATGAGTTGAAAAACGCTGGGCGCCAAAGCGCCGGCAAGAATGGCCATCACAGCCATCACACCAATCATTTCCAGCAGAGAGAAGCCCTTGGATTTATTCATCCGCGTATGCCTGACATAAGGCTGAATAGAGGCAGGAATATCGCCGCGGCAACCATCCCGACAATACCCAGCAGTACCAGGATGATCACAGGTTCGAGAATACCGAACAGGCGTTTAATACGTCGTGGTATCTCATCGTCCATCCGCGTGGACACCTTTTCCAGGCAGCTATCGAGTTTGCCGGTTTCTTCACCGACCACAATCATACGCATCACAATAGGACTCACGACATCATGATCGCTGAGTGCTTTAGACATGCGACGCCCATCGGTAACCGCCTGCTGTGCGCTGTCTAAAGCAGCTTGCATGACCCGATTGGCCACCACACCAGAGACAAGGGATAGCGCTTCGATTATGGGCACACCTGCTTTAAGCATCAGCGCCATGTTATGAGCAAAGCGCGATAGCACCAGCAACTGATTTATCGGACCAAACACCGGCATACGTAATTTCACCTTATCCATGGTGTATGCCATCTTCGGCGAGTAAACCGGTCCAAACTTGAGACCGGCAAAAAGTCCGCCGATCGCCAGCAGCATCGCCCACCAGTGGCTGTTACAGAAAGCACCAATAGTCACCACAACCTTAGTAATGGTCGGTAGCTCAATATTCAAACTGTCGAAAATGACTGAGAATTGAGGGACTACGAAGCTGAACATCAGAAACACCAGACCCATTACCGCAGTTGCAATCATCGCCGGGTACATGGTTGCCTGCTTCACGTCACCCATCAGCTGATCCAGCCATTCAAGATGCTCACTGATGTCGTAACAAGCCGCCACCAGCTCACCGCTGTGTTCACCAGCCCGCACAAGATTGCAGATCTCCGCTGTAAACACTTCAGGGTGGGCAGACATCGCATCAAAAAAATTCACACCACTTTGGATGTTCAAACGGACATCATCCAGAATCTGCTTGAAACCCTCATCAACGGTTTCATTAACCAGTACGTTCAAACTTTCCGCGATATCAACACCCGCATCTACCAACGTCGCCAGGCCGTTAAAAAAATCGACTAAATCTCTGCGTGTAACGTTTACTTTGAGATTTGCCCTTTTACCCAAAGCCTGAGGCTTGGCTTCGACCAGCCACAATCCAAGCGCCGCCATACGACGTTCGAGCACAGTTTCAGATTCGGCAATAAGAACACCAGTGCTGACTCGGCTGTTTTTATCTACCGCTCGATAAGCATATTGAGGCATGGCAGCTTTACCGCAGCACGCGCAGCACTTCAGCCACCGAAGTCAGGCCCTGTTGTGCTTTGGCTAGTCCATCTTCCAGCATAGTGGTCATGCCACCCGCGCGCGCCAGCTCCAACAGCTTCGATTCGACGCTACCTTCCAACATAGCATCATGAAAAGAGGTATCAACCAACAGAACCTCATAAACAGCCATACGGCCGCTGTAACCGCTACCGTTGCATTGATCACAGCCTACGGGTTGCCAGTGATGATCACTCACATCCGTCACATCAGCCAGATCACCTAACAGAAGTGGGTTGGCGCCCTCCACCTGGATTTTGCAGCTTACGCATAGTTTACGCAGCAGCCGCTGCCCGACAATGCCGACCAAAGCAGAGGGCAGGAGGAATCTATCGATCCCCATATCTACCAGACGCGGGATAACGCCAACGGCTGAATTGGTATGCAGCGTTGAAAAAACCAGGTGACCCGTCATGGCCGCGCGGGTAGCCAGTTCAGCGGTTTCAGCATCACGTATTTCACCAACCAGAATAACGTCTGGATCCTGACGTAAAAGTGAACGTAACCCTGCAGCAAAATCCATTCCGATGTCTGCATTGACCTGTGTCTGACGAATCATCGGCAACGTATATTCAATTGGGTCTTCCAGGGTAAATACACTGCGCGCTTCACGGTCGATGGTGCCCAACGCGGTGTATAAGGTGGTTGTTTTACCACTTCCTGTTGGGCCGGTTACCAACACCATCCCATAAGGATGGCTGATGGCCTGCTCAATACGCCTTAAATCATCAGGTGCAAAGCCAAGCTCAGCCAGCGAGAGCTGGACCGCTCCGCCATCCAGCAGGCGCATGACAATACTTTCGCCATGATTGGTCGGCAGTGTTGAAACACGCAGATCAACATAGCCGCTGCCGAAGGTGAAACGAATGCGCCCATCCTGGGGCACACGCTTTTCAGTAATATCCAGATTGGCCATCAGCTTTACCCGCGCCAGTACGGCGGATTGGATGGCTTTGGGCACAACAATTTCTTCGCGCAGAATGCCGTCCACCCGCAATCGCACGCGCATGTTGCGCTCTTCAGGCTGCAGATGAATATCGGTGGCTTTGTGTTTGATGGCAGTGGCAAAAATCTGATCGACGAGCCGCACCATCGGCGAATCCTGATCCGCCGCAGTGACGTCCAGGCTGTCTCCAGACAGCACCTGCTCGATCGTTTCATTAATGCTCGATGAGCGCGCATAGTTGCGCTCAATCGCTTCCAGGATATGCGGCTCGGGTGCTGTAGCCACGCGGATGGTTCGCTTGCTTTCGCGCTCCACGGCATCCTGTGCAACCACATCTAACGCATCAGCAAAAACAACGGTCAGCTCACCATCGTCTATCGCAAGCGGAATCAACTTGTGGGTTCGAGCGGTCTCATAAGAAACCAGGCTCAAAAGGTCAGGCGAGACTTCCAGGTCGCGCACACTGACCATTTCAACATCGTTTTCCAACGCCAGACACGCGGTGATGTCCTCTTCGGTCACAAATCCCAGTTCAACTAAAACCTGCCCAAGGAATCCACCGTCGCGTTTCTGTTCACGCAGTGCAAGATCCAGTTGCGGTTCCGTCAGCAATCCCGCTTCCACCAGGCGTTGGCCCAGCGGTTTACTGACACGAGGCGTCGCCGATCCCTGGCTGTCCCGGAGTTGAGTCATAGCACTGTTTAGCCCTAGTTATACCCGAGCAAGACACATCACCAGAATCGAAGCATGGTTGCCGCCATATCGTTTTACACGACCAGCTGCCTGCCAGGCCTCGTCACCAGTGGTATTGGCGCCGTCTTTATCTAACATCTGCGAAATATTCTGCGCCAGGTTATCCGGCACACCGTCAATTCGGTAGGTGATAAAGGTGCCATCACCATTACCGTCGCCATCCAGATCACAGGCGTAGTTGGCATTACTGGTTACCTGCAGATCCAGGTACCCTCCTGGGGTAATCGGATTAGACAGCTGTGATTCAATGTAGGGACCATTCCACCCTGCAATCGCATTTCCACTAGAGTCGCTATTGCGCATCAGCTGGTTGAAATGGTCTTCATTGCGCGTTGGGATATGACGTGGCCAGGTACCTGTATCTTTGTAGTACCTGGCGACGGCTGCTTTGAGATCATTTGCCTCCTGTACAAGTGAGGTGACCTTGGCATCCTGGATTGCCTGAAAGATCTGCGGCGTGGCGACCGCCGCAATGATTGCAATCACCGCCAGAACGCCGATGACCTCCATCAATGTAAAGCCCGAATTTTTTGCTTGCATGACCAAACTCTTATCCTGTTAATTTGATTTCACCTATTAGGCCTTAGAAGCATAGACAAGATATTTAGATCACAAGGTGGAATCTGCGTAACTGATATCGGCGTCACAGCATGGCTGCAAAAACCACCATAAGGTGGTCTCATGAATACATTAATACTTGTGATTATCGCTACCCTGGGATTGTCTGAAAGCATCGAAACGCGACTGCCTGAAGACCCCGGAATGATTTACACCGTCGGTTTTACCCATCAAGGTACTCACGTAGGCCTGGATTGGAAGAATCGCCAGATTGTGCCTGAGCGCGCCTGTCGCAAGTCCAAACTTGCACAGCGGCCAGCCTGCCAGGAAGCAGCCATTGAATGGCTGCAATCCGAGTGCAACTGGTATGCGGGAAAAGGCCGCCTCTCGACAAAAGCCAGGCAGATGCAGACCGCCGTTTGCAACGGTGCCGACGCGCTGCGCACCTATGTTGCAGGCAACCAACTGGCCGATCGCTAAGCAAAAACAAAAACTATTGCCTGAGACTATCCCAATCCCAGGCATTTACCGCTAAACTTCGCGCCCACTTGGAAATGGCGCGATGGCAGAGTGGCTTATGCACTGGTCTGCAACACCAGGTACGCCGGTTCGATTCCGGCTCGCGCCTCCAATTTCAAACCGCTTGCAGAAGAACTCCCCACTTAAAAATACAGCATATTCCAGGCTCCCAGGTCCGCGCTGAAGCAGCACGGAACAAAGTTCCTGTAGGATCGATGTTCCGCGGTGTATCTCAGCCCATCCTTGTATAGAATCCGCCGCGCGCAATCGTCAAATCCAGAGCTAAAATATGCGCCATGAGCTGGGGGGCTAATGCAACTGACTGAAGTATTTATGGTGCTGGGATTTGCCCTGGCCGCTTATTCAGTCGTCTCGAACGACTCCATTCAAACCCTGGGTACATTTTTAGCCGCTAACGCAAAACGACCCTGGTGGCATTTGTGGCTGTTTGCATCCAGCATTCTTGTCGCCGTGCTGTGGTACAGCTGGCTGGTTAACAACGGTGACCCCTCATACGGCAGGTTGACCAAATTTCCCGAGCCCGCAGGCGGCGTCACGTGGCTGCACGTTATGGCTCCGCTGGTACTGCTGATATTGACCCGGTTTGGCATTCCCGTGAGTACAACGTTTCTGGTCTTGAGCGTATTTGCGCCGGGCAATATCGAATCAATGTTGCTGAAATCCGTGTCCGGCTATGCCGTGGCTTTTATTGCCGCTTTCCTGCTCTATCTGATGATTCGTAAAACCGTTCAATATCTGATGGACACCAGTGAGGAAGACGCGCCAGGCTATTGGTACGCCATTCAGTGGGCTTCTACGGCGTTTTTGTGGAGTCAGTGGTTAATTCAGGACCTTGCAAACATCTTTGTGTTCCTGCCGCGGGAATTGTCCGTCAGCTGGATTGCTTTTGGCACAGCCCTGCTGGTGGTGATGCAGGGTGTGATTTTTTATCAGGCTGGCGGCCGCATTCAGAAAATTGTGACCTCAAAATCTAACGTCAGCGATGTTCGATCTGCCGCCATCATCAACTTTGTTTACGGCCTGATTCTGCTGGTGTTCAAAGAGTGGAGCAATATGCCAATGAGCACCACATGGGTGTTTCTGGGGCTGCTGGCTGGTCGGGAAATTGCGATCGCGCTACAAATTGAGGGCCGCACCGTCCGACATGCTGCGGGGCTGATTGGCATGGATGCTGCCAAAGCGGGTACCGGGCTTGTGGTCAGTGTCCTGCTCGCTGGGTTAGGCATCTGGGTTGGCATCTGAAGCGGTTTTAGACCACTGGAACAGGCATAAAAAAGAGGGCTGCTGCCCTCTTCTTCCTTAACTAAAATCCCAACCCGAACGGGCTGAATCGCTAGTCTTGACCCGCGTATGCGGTGAGTTCGTAACCACGGTTGACCATACACTGCTTGTACGCCACAAAACTCTGGCTACCCGCTTCATAGGCTTTGTTGTGTGATTGCGCATCAGCCTGCATCTGACAACGCGCATGATCATTGCGATATTGAACCTCATCCGCTGCAGTGGTCGATTCCCAGCGATGAGTTGGGCTCTGAGTGCTGTTAGAAGTCATACAACCAGTGGCCAAGCCCGCTAACAACATCATTAATAGTGTCTGTTTCATAATCTTTCTCCTGTGCCTGCCTGGGAGGCCGCTAAAATTTGCTTAAGAGGCCGCCAAGATGGCCTCGTGCTCCCCTTCCAAGTGTTTTTCTAGGTCTTCTTTCCTAGGTGTTTTATTCCTACGTCACTGCTTTATAAAAGTTCGTATTGTTACAGTAATATGACAGTCGTGTGACAACTATAGAGTGTTAGACAGAAAAAGCAAAAAAAAAAGATAAAAAATCCTATGGAACTATTTTCCTAACAAACGTAGGATTTTGTTTCCGCACGAGGTGCTGCAGAAGATCCACGACCCGGCATGAAGAAGTATCCGCCAACCCCGGAAGAGCTGAGAGAGTGGATGGACCGCAAAGGTTTATCAAACAAAGATGTGGCCAAAGCCCTGCACTTGTCAGATGGCCGAGTGGTGCGGTTCTGGACTTCAAAGAAGGACGCCCGCCCTATTCCTTACCCCAGCTGGTACACGCTACGCCACAAGTTTGGCAAATAACTCAATGCTTGTGCCCGCCACTCTGCAACCCTCTTTTCAGGGTTGGCCAGGCAACGGACAGGTATAACGTCATAGACCAAAGCGTCATGAACGCGGCCACATACAGCAAGATGTAGGCGCCTATCACCCACAGTGCATCAAGCACCGGTGGGTAAGCAAGCAACATGAAGATGGCAATCATCTGGATGGTGGTTTTGACCTTACCCAGAATATTTACCGCGACCTCTCCTGAACTGTTCATTTCTGCCATCCATTCACGCAGAGCACTGATGACAATTTCACGACCAACAATAATCAGCGCCGGCAGCGTCAGCCAGACGTTACTGTGGTTAGCAATCAAGAGCACCAGGGCGCTGACTACAATCAGTTTATCTGCAACAGGATCGAGAAAAGCGCCAAAAGGCGTGGTTTGATTCAGCCGGCGTGCCAGATAGCCATCCAGCCAATCGGTAAATGCTGCCAAACCGAAAAATACCGCGGTAATGATGTAGGTCCACTGCCCGGGCATCAGATAAGTAATCACAAACACGGGCACCAGCAGGATCCGCGCAAGGGTAATAATATTGGGTAGATTCATACCGGCCATGGTCATTGATGCAGCGTGCCATAAACAATTTCCGCTAGTGTACGGTTTATACCCGGGACTTTTGCAATTTCTTCCATACTGGCACCTTTCAGACCACGCATACTGCCAAAATGAGTTAATAAGGCTTTACGACGTTTGGGACCGACGCCCTCAATGCCGTCCAACTCTGATTGGTTGCGATTTTTCTGTCGCCTCTGCCGATGGCCGGTAATCGCAAAGCGATGCGCTTCGTCACGGATATGCTGTAACAAATGAGCTCCTGGAGAGGCGCCATTGATCCCCACCTCTTCTCCATCCAGGAAATAACGCTCCAACCCTGATTTACGATCCGGGCCTTTGGCAATACCCAGAATCTGCACATTGGATATCTGCAGATTCTCCAACACAGCAACCGCTTTGCCAACCTGCCCGGGACCGCCATCAATGACCAGAATGTCCGGTAACTTACCTTCGCCCTTCTGCAGGCGCGTATAGCGCCGCTGCAATGCCTGCTCCATCGCTGCGTAGTCATCACCCGGTGTGATGCCTTCAATGTTAAATCGCCGGTAATCAGACTTGAGGGGACCATTGGTGTCAAAAACAACACAGGAGGCTACGGTCGCCTCTCCCATGGTATGACTGATATCGAAACATTCGAGCCGTTCCGGCATGGCGTCCAGTTGCAGGTGTTCCTGCAGATCTACAAAGCGGGCAAACATATTGCGACGATCGGCGAGATAGCTTTGCACACTCAACTGAGCATTCTCCAACGCCAGCTGCAACCAACGTGCACGCTGGCCGCGTGGCGCCTGGATAAGTTCGACTTTGCGGTTGGATTGCTCAGTCAGTGCCTCGCTCAACAGCGCACGGTCTGCACCACGATGAGAGGTCACAATCAGCTTTGGTACGTCTCGATTCTGCGAAGCCAGATAGTACTGTGAGAGGAAAGCTTCGAGGAAGTCACCATCATCAAGCAGCAACTCATTTTTCGGGTAGTAGGCGCGCTGACCCAACATCCGTCCGTTGCGGATAAACACGACCTGCACACAATAAGTGCCGGCAGCTTGAGCCAGAGCAAACACATCCACATCGCCAGCATCACCGTGAACGTATTGAGACTCCTGAACCTTTCGCAGGTGTGTAATCTGGTCACGCAGGCGCGCCGCGCGCTCATAATTCAGGTCAGCCGCCGCCTGCTCCATTTTCTGTTTGAACTGCGCCAGCACATCCTGACTTTTGCCGGTTAAAAACAGCACAGCCAACTCTACATCTTCCTGATAATCCTGTTTTGAGATCAAGCCGACACAAGGCGCGCTGCAGCGCTTGATCTGATGTTGCAGACAAGGGCGCGAGCGATTCTTGAAATAGGCGTCATCGCAATGACGTAACTGAAACAGTTTCTGCAAAATATTGAGACTGTCTCGCACCGCATAAGCTGAGGGGAATGGACCAAAATAGCGCCCATTTTTACGCTTTGCGCCACGATGGAATGTCAGGCGGGCAAATTCATGCGTCTCTGCCAGATGGATGTAGGGGTATGATTTGTCGTCTCGCAGCACCACATTGTAAGGCGGTCGATCCTGTTTGATCAGACTCTGCTCAAGCAGCAAAGCTTCAGTTTCGCTGGTGGTAACCGTCACTTCTATCCGTGCGATTTTAGCCACCATCGCCATGGTTTTTGCCTGCAAACCTGAAGCGCGAAAGTAACTGGTGACACGGTTTTTCAGATTGCGGGCTTTCCCCACATACAAAACGCCGTCAGCGGCGTCAATCATGCGATAAACACCAGGCTTCTTAGTCAGGGTTTTGAGGAAAGGTTCGGCGTCAAAAGCGGGTACGGACATAGCGCAGCACTATAACGCCCAAGGCTAAGAGGGGCTAGCCATGACATCATCACGGACCAGGCTGCGGACATTCTGCAGCACCTGATCAAACATCGGCTTGGTCAAACGGCCGGTATTCACATTGAGTCGGCTGGGATGAAAACTACTGACCAGCGCGTGGCGGCTTCCCAGAGGCACCGTACCATTGTGTTGGAAATTTCCCGCAGGTATCCCCAGCGTTCGACACACTGCACGATGGGCAACGCCACCCAACGCCAGCACAACCCGGGGCTGACGCGCTTGCGGACGTAGAAGTTCTGCCAGCTCCTGAGCCAGAAAACCAGCACATTGATTAATCTCACTGGCAACCGGAGCATTACCCGGCGGCAGACACTTAACCACATTGGTCAGCCGCAGGTTGATCAAGCTGGCTTGTTGCGGATCGGCGTGGGTGGCAAAACCATTGTGATACAGGCGCTCGAAAAGAAACTCCCCACTGGCATCACCCACAAATGCTTTACCGGTACGGGCAGCGCCGTGAAGACCGGGCGCCAGCCCTACCACCAGCACACGACAACGCCTGTCTCCCCAGTTGCCAACCGGACGGGCATGGTACTCAGGATAGCGAACAACCACCTCAGCGTGGTGTTGTACCAGGCGAGGACACGCCCTGCAGGCTGAGAGTTGTGCGAGTTTCAACCGGAATCCACCTTAGCTGTTTGCCAACCGGGGGCTAATGCAACCTGTCTTGGTGCTGGCAATGGACCGCGATGAGTTGCAGACACCATGCCGTGTTTCACCGCCAGCAGAACCAGTTCAACATCTGAAGAGATTTTCAGTTTCTCGAAGATACGGTAACGATAGCTGTTAACCGTTTTGGGTGATAAGTGCAGACTGCCGGAGATCTGACTGACCTTCTGACAGCCAACCACCATCATTGTTATCTGCATTTCCCGATGTGACAGAATCGCAAACGGACTTTCAATATTGTCTTCAAAGGCATAACTTGCCAGCTCTTGAGCGACTTCATTACAAACATATCGCTTGCCGGCATAGACCCGCCGCAGTGCTTTTTCCAGCTCCTGTAATTCAACCCCTTTGGTGAGGTAACCCAGGGCCCCTGCCTTCATCATCTGCGTTGGAAACGGCGCGTCACCATGAGCCGTCAGTGCCACCACCGCCGTGCGTTGTTGTTGTCTTACTATTCGCTGGGTAGCTTCAAGGCCACCCATGCCTGGCATGACAATGTCCATAAGGACGATATCAGGCGATAACGTGCGTGCGAGCTGAATCGCTTCTTCACCGCTTGCCGCTTCGCCGACTACCTGAACGTTGGTCAGCTGTTTCAACAACGCAACAATACCCTGCCGAACCAAACCCTGATCATCTACACATATAACCCTGATCATCTTCACCCTCACTCCCTGTATGAGGCTTCAACATAAGAGCTGTTTGTCAGGCAAACAATTGCAGATCGGCAAATTCAGACTAACTTTCAGGAAATCTCCATATTGCGATAGCGTGGTGATATCACTTTCAGCCGCTGAAAGCCTGCAATCCGGTTAACGCTCGCCCCAGAATCAATGCATGAATGTCGTGGGTACCCTCATAGGTGTTTACCGTTTCCAGATTCATCAGATGGCGCATCACATGATATTCGTCAGCAATACCGTTGCCGCCATGCATGTCACGTGCAACGCGAGCTATTTCCAGAGACTTACCACAGTTATTGCGCTTCATCAGCGAGATGACTTCAATAGGGAGATTACCTTCGTCAAGCATGCGCCCCATACGCAGCGCGCTTTGTAAACCCAGCGTGATTTCGGTTTGCATATCCGCCAGTTTTTTCTGTACCAGCTGAGTTGCCGCCAACGGCCGATTGAACTGCTTACGCTCAAGGGTATACGTTCGAGCTGCGTGCATACAGAATTCCGCCGCACCCATAGCCCCCCAGGCAATACCATAGCGTGCTTTGTTCAAACATCCGAACGGACCACCCAGACCTCTGCCTTCAGGCAGCAGATTTTCTTCCGGGACAAATACATCCTCGAGCACAATCTGGCCGGTGATCGATGCGCGCAGACTCAATTTACCTTCAATTTTTGGTGTACTGAATCCTTCAAACTCACGCTCCACCACAAAGCCTCTGATTTCACCATCAAGTTTCGCCCAGACCACTGCGAGATCCGCGATTGGTGAATTAGTAATCCACATTTTTGCACCATTGAGCAGATAACCGCCGTCGACTGCTTTTGCATTGGTCACCATGCTGCTGGGATCGGAGCCATGATCAGGCTCAGTCAGACCAAAACAACCCACCCATTCACCGGTAGCCAGCTTGGGCAGATATTTTTCCCGCTGCGCCTCATTGCCATAAGCATGAATCGGATGCATGACCAGAGAGGATTGCACACTCATTGCAGACCGATAGCCGGAATCCACTCGTTCCACTTCACGTGCCATCAAGCCATAACAAACATAGTTAACATTGGAACAGCCATATTTCTCGGGCAGCGTAGCCCCCAGCATTCCCATTTCGCCAAACTCATTCATAATTTCGCGATCAAAGGTCTCATTCCGATTGGCCATCAGAATACGCGGCATCAACTTGTCCTGGGCGTAGTTATGGGCGGTAGTTTGCACCATGCGCTCTTCTTCGCTGAGTTGCTGCGTAATGAATAAAGGGTCTTCCCAGGAAAAGGGGGCTCTGTCGCTGCTCATCTATTTAATTCACTGTACTTGAAAACCCGCCAGGCTAATGCAGCCTTGGCATAACTGCAATCCTCACCACACAGACGTCGTACACCACGGTATAATTCCATTTTTGTGCGACAAGAGAGCAACATGCCTTTAGACACCGAAACCCTGGTTCAGTTAAGACAGACAGTCCGACGATTTGTTGATGAACGCCTCATCCCACTGGAACAACAGGTGTCAGAAACCGACCAAATGCCCGCGGAACTTGTGCAGGAAATGCGCGAACTGGGTTTGTTTGGCCTGACCATTCCGGAGCAATATGGTGGCCTGGGATTAAACACTTACGAAGAATGTCAGGTAGTCATGGAACTGGGTCGGGCCGCTCCGGCGTTTCGATCGATCATCGGGACCAACAATGGCATTGGCTCGCAAGGCATTGTCATGGATGGCACCGAGGCGCAAAAAGCACATTACCTGCCGCGCCTGGCCAGCGGCGAATACATCGGCTCCTTCGCTCTGACCGAGCCGGATGCTGGCTCCGACGCTGGTGCTGTAAAAACCAAAGCCGTCAGAGACGGTGACGATTTTGTCATCAACGGCACCAAACGCTATATCACCAACGCACCCAGCGCCCAGGTCTTTACGGTTTTTGCGCGCACAGATCCTGACTTACCAGGCTCTCGCGGTGTTTCTGCCTTCATCGTCGATGCCAACACAACAGGCATCTCCCTGGGTCCGGCAAACAAGAAGATGGGACAACAGGGCGCCCACGTCTGCGACGTCATGTTTGATGATGTGCGTGTGCCCGCAGATAACATCATTGGTGGGCTACCCAACATGAACAAAGGGTTTCTGACGGCGATGAAAACCCTCGACCGCGGGCGATTACATATCTCCGCACTGTCTGTAGGTTGTGCAGAGCGATTGTTGGATCTGTCGGTAAACTATGCAGTGGAGAGGAAACAGTTTGGCCAACCCATCGCCGAATTCCAGCTGCTGCAGGGCATGATGGCAGACTGTAAAGCGGAGAGTTATGCCGCACAGTGTATGGTGCTTGATGCTGCCAAACGACGGGATGAAGGGGAAAACGTGACTACCCTTGCTTCCTGCTGTAAATTATTTGCCACCGAAATGGTCGGGCGAGTAGCGGACCGAGCCGTTCAGATCCATGGCGGCGCAGGCTATATGGAAGAATATGCTGTGGCTCGTTTCTACCGAGACGTGCGTTTGTTTCGCATTTACGAAGGCACCAGCCAGATTCAACAGGGCATTATCGCGCGCAATCTGATCAAAGCCGCCAGCTAGCGTTTTAGCTTTCTGTTTGTGGTATGTCAGCCCGCGGCAGCAGGCTCGCGGGGCAGGAACAAACTGAAGGTTGTGCCCTGCCCTGCCAGCGTGCGGACATCCAGAGCACCTTCCAGTTCAATTGCCAACCGGAAAGCCACCTGCAAACCCACGCCCTGGTGGTCTCCGCCTTTGCTGGAGCGCTTCGCACCTGCAAGGTTGTAAAGCACTTCATCCGCAAGCCCCGGACCTTCATCCTCAACATAGATCTCAACACCAACACTACCATCACGGTAAACGCCGGCACGTGCGCCGACGCTGACATCATCTCCTGGCTGGCAGGCTTCGATCGCATTCTTCAGCAGGTTATTGAGCAATTGCGACAGCTTATCCGCTTGAGTAGTCAGGGTGCCAACGATACCTGTCGTCTGCGAAGACAGCTCCACCCCGGCGTTTGAGGCATAGCCGGAAAAAAGCTCTACCAGATTTTCCAAAAAAGACGCCAGATCGACTTCGGTAACCGTGCCGACGGGCAAAACCTGTACATCTGTCTTTAGCGGTATATCTCGCGCGCGGGTAAACACTTCTCCCGCCCGCCGCAATTCATTGCCGATCAACTCCAGTTGTTCAACAGCTTCGGGTTCATGCTGTAAGCGAAGCTCCAGAATATGCAGGTAATTATGAACAATGCTGAGCGGATTGTTCGCCTCGTGCACAATTTCACGCAAACGATTATATTCTGCGGCGCGAAACTGTTCGAGGAGATCCTGATCATCATCAACCATCAGATCTGCGTTAGTCGAAGCGTCCCGACAAAGCCGCTCAACATGATTCTGCAGATGCTCTACATAAAGTTCTGCCTGCAATTCGACATCACTGTCTTCGTCCGAGGCAACCAGCATCAAGCCAGCACCGTTTGTCAAACTTAGGGGTACAGCGACCGCCTCCTCGCAATCGAGTTCGCGCAACAGCAAACGGTCAACAACAGCCAGGTCATCACTTTCCGCCACGCTGAGGGTTTTAACGCCCCGTGCCGTCGCGGCCAGAATACTGGTCCTGCTATCGAGTTTGATTGCGTAATCCGGATATCCCAATACATGCAGAACACTCTGGCCGGTCTCGTCCACAAGCAACAGGGGTGCTTGCAGAAACAGACAGCGGCTGACCAGATCATGCTGCAGCTGCAGTGACTGCCAATCATGACAGTCCGCCATACCTTCAGTCATGATTGATATCTGCTGACGGAGCCAGATTTGCTGCGCGGCATCGTTCTCCGTATCCGGAGTCAGACCAACGCCGAAACGCGCAACAAGCTCGCTGGCGGCCCGTTCAGAGTCCTCCAGAAGGCCAGCCAGAGTTTGCCGCGACATATCCAGCAACTGTTCAGCCAGCTCAAATTCGCGCCCGACCTCCAACGCATCGACGACCGCAAAAACGCGCAATTCCAGCAGCGCATCTTCCAATAAGGCAGGGTTGGTACCACGGTATTTGATCAGGGCTGATAGCTGCGGATCATGTGGCAGCTGCACACCCGATACCGCCAGTAGAGCACGCAGCCGCACATTGGCATGCGCTTCGCCATCTTCAACATCTGATTGCGGCTCGAGGTGATCAACCAGCAACTGGGCAAGACAAGCTGCCCGCAACACGGACATCCACTGGTCCAGACTCAAACGCGCGCTACCAACAATCGGTAAAACCGACCAGGCCTGGGCACGCGCCAGAGCAGAACGTTCGTGGCCGTCAAGGTTGGCTATCTGAGTACGCAGCGCATCCAGATCTGCAGGGATGTTGAGCAGTTTGAGCCAGCGGGTAAGCAGATCAGCGTCTGCAGATAAAAGCAGGCACAATTCATCGATATCGCACCGCAACGGCGCAACAATCTGTAGGTAGCGTAAGATGACCGCGTCTGGGGTCACGCGCCGTGTCTCCCTCTTGCGCCAAAGATGACGCTGTAACTGAACGTCACGGCCGCGCTAACCCTGCACAGCGGGTGAATGTGACTGTCATAACCACCACTTTTCGAACACTGCTGCTCGTTAGTTTTTATTGGATATGCAGGCAAATTATTATGCGCGCCACAATCTTTGAGCGCTCAGGGCACCTATATTAATGATCGTCCCAACAAAGGCTATAGGAAGTTTGTAGCGTATTTATTATTTTTAAATTTCAATTAGTTATAAAGTTTATCTATAATAATTTATCGATTTTTTAAGCGCCGCAGCGGCCTCACCCGCCGCACTTTCAAAGCCTTCACCTGAACCTGCATAAAGAATTCCACGAGAACTGGAGATCAATAGACCCGTCCCGAACCGGTCAAGACCATTTTCCATCACGGCCTGCAGATCGCCACCTTGAGCACCGATACCCGGTACCAACAGCGGCATATCCTCTACCAGCTTGCGAATTTCTCCCAACTCCTGAGGATAAGTGGCACCAGCAACCAGCATGCACTGACCCGCAACATTCCACTGGGCAACCCTTTGCGCCACACGCTGGTAGATCGGTGGCGTGTCTCTACTGTCATTCTGCAACCAGTTACTGTCCGCATTACTGGTACGGCAAAGTACGACCACACCCCGGTCATGATGCGCCAGATAGGGCGCCACACTTTCATAACCCAGATATGGGCTTAACGTCACTGCGTCTGCGTCATAACGCTGATAAGCCTCCTGGACGTAATATTCAGCGGTGCTGCCGATATCGCCTCGCTTTGCATCGAGCACAACAAGAATATGGGGGTATTCGGACTTTATATAGGCTATCAGCCGTGCCAGTTCGTTCTCCGCACCCTGTGCTGCGAAGTGTGCAAATTGAGGTTTAAAAGCGCACACATGCTCAGCTGTTGCATCCACTATCGCGCGACAGAAGTTAAAGAACGGTTCCTCAGACCCGGCGATAAAATCAGGCATACGCGCAAGGTCGGGATCCAACCCCACGCAAAGTAGCGAGTTCTGACGTTGCCAGGCGGCCGCCAGTTTTTCATATACTGTCATTTTGTACGCCACAATTTATCGCCGCGCATGGTACGACAAAGCACCCCCAAGCACCAAACAGCAGCACTGAACGGCTGCTCCTATCGCATTGGAGTCGCCGCCTGACCTGCCCTGCAGCGTCATTTTGCGTCATAAAAGGCCCGCGAACTTCTACAATTAAAATAACATATGGAACCTATCCTGTTGTTATTAAACAATTTATTTATATGGCATAGAATTAGCATTCTTTCCTTGCAACCAGCCCTACCGATGCTTCAGGATGAATGCACCAAGTCGCAAGGGTTAACCCAGAGGCTTTGCTTACATCAGGGACAATGTGAGGAAACGTCGGGAGAGTCAGATGACAGACAATATAATTGAATTTAATCGCGCCAGGGTCCGCCGCATGTCGAATAACGACAAGCGCATGCATCCACGTCTGGAAAGCGAAGATCGTCTGTTCACCCAGGTTGTACTGGCAGCTGATGAGCCGGATCTTGTGGGTGCAACACTGGCTTGCACGGCGGTCAACATGTCTATGGGTGGCATCCAGTTTAAAACTGTGCAACCCGTTCCCGTAGGTACTCTGCTTGACCTGTGGGTCGATGTAGCCTCGCGCCCAGGCAAATTTTTCCTTGCCGGCGAAGTACGCTGGAGCCGCCCTACTGCTGAATACGATGAAAACGGCACGGAACTTCACTTTGTAGGGGTTCAACTGAAATCTGGTGCCGCAACTGACATCCTTGATTGGCGTGATTTCCACGCAACTGCATACGCACGCTAACCCGAACCAGACATCATTGAAGGTGTGAACAGCACCGCACTTCAAACGTGTGACAGCACTCAGTTCCAAAGCCAGGAAATTGGTGTAATTGGGATCAAATAAACCCGTCGGGCAGCACCGTGAGCCAAGTCAAGGTCGTAGAATTAAACGTTGAAGGGAATCAGAAAACGACGCTTCCCCCTATCGTTCATACCATTCGCCAGCAAAGCAAAAAGCAGATCAATGAGCTGCTGCAAAACCTGTTCAACAACACTGACGATGCATTGTTCGAGTTAGCTGACCGTTCCCAGTCTGACCAGCATCAGGAAATGTATTTCGATTCGATGCGGATGATCCGATTACATCGTAAAACCCTGGCGTCTAATTTCGTCCGCGGACTCAATGATTCTTTTCAGGATGCCTTTAACTCATCGGGCACAGCTGGCGCAGACGAAACTGATGAGATCGACGCCGAAGATTACGCCTTGCTGGATCAGGACGAGTTAGAAATGACCGTTGCCGTTTCAGGCATCGTTTCAAAAGTTACCAGTCAGTACAGTCTTGCGGTCATGCAACTGACCAAGCGTCTGGATTTCCTTGCGAAACGCCAGACGATAACCGAACGCAATAATCCACTTGGGCCCCAGGCGTTAAGCAGTCTGTTCGCAAACGCACTGGACACACTCGAAGTCGATATCAAGATACGTATCATTCTGATGAAGTTATTCGAGCGTTTTGTCATGGAACGGCTGGGACCGGTCTATGAAAATGCCAATCGCGCACTGATCGATGCAGATGTATTGCCGGAGCTGAAAAACAAGGCGCCTAAACGAGCAGGGCCAACGACCCGCAACACAGGGACAGGCAGCAGCCATCAGCAAAGTAACAGCAAGACAGGCCGTTCCGGCGGTTTTAGCGGCATGTCCGGTGGAGCTGGAAGTTTTGGCTTTGATACCGTTCAGGCGCTTCTTTCAGGATCTAACGCTTCTTCAGGCGGCGGCGCTTCCGAGCATCAGTCCGGCGGAGCTCAAAATGGCTATGGCGAAGGTTCGGGCACTCCGATGATGGCTCTGCCCCGACTGGATTCAGGCGAATTGATTCAAGTGCTAAGCCGACTGCAGGATGCCGCGCAGGTCGACCCCATCAACATCGAGCAAATACCAGAACTCAGCGATGTTCGCTCGCTGGTCCTGGCGCAACCGAGCGCCGCCAAGAAATCGCTGGGCCAGGCTGATGATGATGCGGTGAACTTTGTGGGCATGCTGTTTGACTACATCCTCAACGATCGCAATCTGGCGATCCCTATGAAAGCTCTGATTGGCCGATTGCAGATCCCGATTATCAAACTGGCAATCATTGATAAAACTTTTTTCGAAAAAACAGCCCACCCGGCCCGCGCGCTCCTTAACGAGTTGTCCAGCGCAGGCATTGGATGGAGCAGCGCTAATGAACTGAAGCGCGACGCGTTATACAACAAGATTGAATCTGTCGTGTTGCGTGTTTTAAATGAATTCAACGACAATCCGGACGTGTTTGCAGAACTATTAACCGACCTGCGCTTATATGTCAGCAAAGACAGCCGGCGCAGCGTGCTGGTTGAGCAGCGCGTCAAAGAATCTGAAGTTGGTAAAGCCAAAACAACGGCAGCCAAATTGAAAGTGCAGAATCTGGTGAATCAGAAGGCCTGCGGCCTGCGTTTACCCAGCGAAGCCGGCAAATTTATCAGTGAAACCTGGACGCGGGTGCTGACGCTACGCATCATAAAACAAGGCGAAACCTCTGCGCAGTGGAATGCCGGCGTTAAGACTCTGGATGATTTGTTATGGGTCTTACAACCATTGTCAAACCTAGACGAGGTCGAAAGCCGCGACCAGCTTACGCAAAGCCTGGTAACAGAAATTTATACGGGTATGACCGAGCTTGGTTGTCCTGATGAGGAGACCGAAGCGTTCCAGACCTGGCTGACAGAACACCTCTACTCTCTTTCTGCCAATGATCGCGCTTATCTTGAAGAAGACGAACGTCCCGAGCTCGATGTCGCTGAAGCACTTATGGAAGAAATCATCCTGACATCACCACCCAAGGTGGTTGATGAACGTGCGTTTCCAGAGGCTACTTTAGAGCAACTGAAGCTCATCACCGAAGGCACCTGGATCGAAATTTCTACGGATGACGAACGGATGCTACGTTGCAAACTTGCCACCATCACCCAGCCCGGGAACAACTATATTTTTGTTAATCGAAGAGGCATGAAAGTGCTGGAGAAAAACCGCGGTGAGCTTGCCGAAATGGTTGAAAACAAGACCCTTAAGCGCATCGATGAATCTCAGGTTTTTGATCGCGCACTGCAATCCGTGATCGGTAATCTTCGCCAGCTACAGCGAGAACGCAGCCAATAACCCATCGGCTACGTTACTGGCCGAGAGCCTGTGCACGCCATGCTGGGTCCGCAAACAAGCGTTCAACTGTATCGACCGCGGTCACGGTTTGAGCGTCGACTTCAACATTGATCAGCATACCGCAGCTCGCATTACCCAAAGTTGTTCGCGCCAAAGTCTCCGGGATCAAACTCACCTGAAACTGGTGTTTAACCTTGTCCACTGAGGAAACCGTCAGGCTGGCGCCATCCAGGGCAATAAAGCCTTTGTGAAAAACATATTTCATCCATTCCGGAGCAAGGCTGAATGTCAGCACCTGCTCGTGCCCATCTGCGTGCCGATGTACCAGTTCTGCGGTTGTAGTGACATGCCCGGAAACAACATGCCCACCCACTTCGTCCCCAACTCTGAACGACCTTTCAACGTTCACCCTGGAGCCTTCCATCAGCGCGTGCAAATTAGTCGTGCGCAGGGTTTCAACAATAACATCAAAGGTCACACAACCCTGATCGACACCGGTCACAGTCAAACAGGTGCCGTTGACAGCAACAGAGGCCCCCTGGACGAGCTTATCCGTCATACCATCCATGTCTAAGGTGAGTCTTACCAGATCACCTTGATCATCAATTTTCTGGACGGTTACAAGATCCTGAACAATACCGGTAAACACAGACGTTCTCCGTAGATGGAAACAATAAGTCGGACACAAAAAAGCCGGCGCTTAGACCGGCTTTTTCGACATGAAACAGACGATCAACCAGCCGCTGCGAGTTGCGCCTGACGATCCTTCTCACGATCGATAAACGTAATCCACTGCAAACATGTACGCTGATTGGTTTCATCGTCTTTTGCTCGGGCCTCATTACGACAGGAAACAAAAGAACCACGAGCTTCGTTCAGATTGTTCTGGTTATACAGACACAAGCCGCGCACAAAGTACGTACTTTGCTTCTTCCGCACGCCACCTTTGTCTAACGCTCCATTAGCTGAGCGAATGCAATCGTCATAGCGGTCGGATTCGAGATATAGATACGCCAGCTGATCAAAGATCTTGCCGTCATCAGCCAGCTTTGCGGCATCTTCCAGAACCGGAATTGCTTTATCAACTTCCTGCGCCAGCTGCCAGGCCTGGCCTAGAGCGCGCAGGTTTTTGGAGTCGCGTTCTACAACCTTATCTGCCAGTCCTTTTTCAAGCACCTTAGCCGCTTTGTAGGGAATCTCTATCTGCATCAGCAGACCTGCAAGGTTTGTCAGGTCAGTTTGCTTGTCCAGGTAATCTCCAGCATAGGCTGCCTGAAGGGTTTTGAGCTGCAAATCTTCTCGACCTTCCTGGCCATACATTCCTGCCAGCCGAACCCAGTAGTCACGCTTCGGAAAATCTCGGACGAGAATTTCTAAAGTCTCGATCACCTTAGGCATGTTTTCCTGTTCATAGTAGAGATAGTTGATCAGCTGCCACCAGTTCTCTTTGATATCCAGCCCACGCTCTCGGGCCATAGCAATGCCAGATTCCATCTGCCCGATGGCCTTGCCAAAATCTTTCATCTGATAATAAACCTGGCCCATGAAAATTCGTGGTTCGGGACCGGGGTTATTGGCTTTGGAGATGAACGTCTCCATGAAACGCAGCGCGTCGTCAAAATTCTCTTCAACAAAAGACAGCTGTGCAAGTGTATAAAGCGTAGTCTGCTCAAGACCTTCCGGGATGTCTTCGCCCTGCGCTACAACCATTTTGTATTCTTTGATCGCGTTTGCGTAGTCCTCTTTGAGGAAGTACACATACCCCATCATGCTGTGGACCTGACCGATTTCGTTACCATTATAACGCTTGGATCGATCGAGCATATCCTGCAAAACCTGCAACGCAAGGTTGTAATCTTTTGCATCTATCGCTTCCTGGCCCTCCGAAAGCTTTTTGTAAACCATTTCACTCATTGACGGCACGCGACGGGTTTTCACCGGTTTTTCGCTTTCTTCCGCTGCATTGGCCGTACTGATACCCAACGGGCTCAGAGTCAGAAAACCCATAACAACAAGAGCGACTGTGATTGCTCTAAGTAACTGATTCATAACCAACTCCTATCCATCAGCCAGTTCAAAGGTGATGCGGTTACGGACCCCGGCTACGTCAATGGCATCGCCATTCACCACCTTAGGCTTATATTTGAATTTCAGCGCGGCGTTAATTGCAGATCGGTCGAAAATGCCCGGTGGTTTTGCTTCAATGACCACCGGATCGCGTACTGCGCCGGTTTTTGTCACGATGAATTCAAGAACCACGTAACCTTCAATACCACGTGTCTGAGCGCGCCGGGGATAAACCGGTGCAACCTTCACAATAGGCAGGTACTCACCGTCAGAGCTGAACCCACCCCCACCAACGTCTAACGAAACGTTGACATCAACTGCGCCGATATCCACACCTTGGGAGACATCAGAGGAATCAAACTGAGGTTTGGGCATATCCGGTGGCGGCTCATCCGGTGGAGGCGGAGGCGTGGGTTTACGCTGCTTCGTTTGTATATCTTCATCTTCGGCAAGGCGCACCATGTCCAGGAGTTTGCCTTTCACGCCATCTTCAATTTTTGCCTCATCGTTGGCGATTACCGCCTGCATGATCAAAAACAGTAGGAAGGTGATTATTGCACCAAGCCCAACGCCAATTGCATAGCGTACAATCATGAGATGCCCTCGCTAGTTTTTCTCAGTCGAAATAGCCACTTCACGTAACCCTGCGGCTCGCGCCGCGCTAAGCACTGCCATAAGCTTTTCGTTGGTTGATTCTTTGTCGGCCTGAACGACCAGTCCGCCTTTGGGGTTTTCCGAGTGAAGGCGTTCGATGTGTGCCCTGACCGTTGCGGGGTCGACACGCTTCTTATCGATCCAGATGTCGCCGTTTGGCGCAATCGCGATCAGCATCGCCACTGTAGGCTTCTGTTCCCCTGTGACCGCTTCAGGACGTGATACTTCAATACCAGCCTGCTTAATGAAAGTGGCTGTCACAATGAAGAAGATCAGCATGATAAAAACCACGTCCAGCATCGGTGTGAGGTTGATATCTGCATCCTCATCTCCGCCGCCCCTACGTCTCACTCTTCCTCTGCGCATCTATTCCTCCTACGCCCCATTAGTGTGCCCGCAAACGGGGCACCTCAACAGATCTATACCTGGTATGTCGACTTAGTGATCCAACGTCAGGTGGTCTTCGAACAATTCAACTTCATAATCCACTTTACGTCGCAACCAGGTGCTGCCAACAAGACCGGACAATGAGGCAATCATACCTGACATTGTTGGTATGGTGGCCATCGACACGCCGGCGGCCATAGAGCGCGCATTGCCGCCCTGGGTCGCCATTGCGTCGAACACCGCGATCATGCCGGTAACGGTGCCCAGCAAGCCAAACAGTGGACACAATGCCACACATGTCTGAATGATGGGCAACGATCCTGTTATACGATCCGACGCGTCAGAAATCATGGCTTCACGTACTTGGCGCGCGCTCCATGAGGTCCGCTCTGCACGTCCTTCCCACCTTTCGGTGGACTCTCGTACCAGGCTTTTGTGTTCCGTATAGAAGAACCACATTCTTTCGAAGATGAGGGTCCACATCAGGAAAGTGATGAGGGCGATGAGCCAGAGCACATCACCTCCCATTTCCATGAAGCGGATAATCGCGAGATAAGCGTCGCCTAACATCTATCGATTGCTCCTATTTGTTATGCCGATCATCCAGCCCTTAACCTAAGGGCTGGCCGGATTTTTCAGCGTGATCCGCAATAATGCCTGCACTCTGCTCTTCAATAACATGAATAACAGACTTCGAGCGGGCATTAACCAGTGCGTGCAACAGCGTTGTTGGAATTGCAACACACAGACCCAGAACGGTGGTCATCAAGGCTTTTGAAATACCACTCGCCATAGTCTTCGGATCACCTGCACCAAACAGCGTAATTGCCTGGAACGTCTCGATCATACCGATAACCGTTCCTAACAGACCGGTTAACGGAGCTACTACAGAGATCACCTGAATCAAGGTAATGTTTCGCGTCAACTTCGGCGTCTCCCCGAGAATCGCTTCACCAAGCTTCAGCTCCAGCGTCTCGACATCAACTTCTTTGTTTTCATCATAAACCTTGAGGACTCGACCCAGTGGGTTGTCGTCGCTTGGCGTTGGGTTCTTGCGCTGAGCGTTCACCTTCGCGCCAATCATGGTCAGAGTTAACAGGCGTTCCAGCGCAAGCAGGACACCAATAAATCCACCCAGAATAATAATCGCGCCTACCGTACCACCCTGTCCATCACAGAAAGGCAGGTAACATTCAGCAACTGCGCCTAACGAACCAACCTGCTCACCGATAGTGGCAGCCTGAATCAACAGCGCGAGCAGAGAACCGCGTAATGGGTCAACAGAAAATTCAACAATCTCGCCAGCGGCAGATTCCTGTACCGCAGCCGCAGTGGAGACGTGCCGGCCGGAAGGTTGGCGAGCCAGTTCAATAATAGATTGAGTGTCTGCATCCCATTGCAGGTATTCACCTTCACCGAGCAACGCGTAAGACCCCACGCGAACGATATCGGTATTAACTTTTTCGCCAGACAGTTTGGTTATGGTGCCCGGGAAACGTGAAACTTTGCCAGATTCAGTCATTTCACGCTGAAGCTCGAACCAGAGTGTTTCCATTTCTTCAATGGTTGCCAACTGGCTTGCGGTACCCATCTTCTTAGCCAGCGCATCCAACCACTCACCGCGGTTAGGATATTGTGACGAAATCAATGAAGCCTCGAACAAACCACGGGTGTCACCAGCTACCTGCTGCAGCACGCCAAACAATTCACGCAAACTGCCTAAGCGCTTGTCCAGCTGCTCGGTAAGATCGCCGATGCGAATTTCGTTTTCTTCAAACGTGGTCTCAAGCCGGTCCGAGCGACGCTCTTCACGTGTGCGTTCAGCCTGGGCATCCTGTAACAGTTTCGCCTGGTTAGCACGATCCTGAGCAAAACGACGCTCGCGTGCGGTATGCTCTCGCGATTCAACCACTCGTCGCTGCTCAACATTGTCGAGCAATTGATCAAGTGAGTTCGCCTCGGTTACCGCAAGGTCACTCGCTGGTGTAGCTGCATCAGCAGCTTCTTCGGCAAAGCTTGCCGGTGCAATTGCCAGCAAGCCGCTCAGTAGCAGACCGCGTAACAGTGTCATAATTTTCATAGAATATGTGCTCATTGTGCTGCCTCCGCGCCGTGTAACGGAATGCTGAACAAATCCTGCGTGGCTTGCTGCCGCGCCATACGAATACCCTGGCGGATAGAAGACTGGTATTCGTCATCAATTGGTTCATAGGATTGTGAGTTGCGGTTATACATACCCGTCTCACCACCGTCAGGTGTCTGGTAGACCAGGGCAATACGGCCTACTTTAAGGATGTCCACTTTGCGCTCGGTACCGCCGATAACAATCGTGTCACCGTAAGTTTCCATTGTTCGTCCGTAGTCATTCTCAATCTGGAATGCACGTAAAACCTGAGAGAACTTCTCGGAGACCGCCACATCTGCACGATCCATCATTTCACGCAGACGATCAATGCGATCAGTGCGTTCATCCAGCAGGAACGGAATATCAAGCTCCACAAACTGTTCGAGACCATCGATCATCCGCAGCATAAGTGGCGTGATCTGGCGCTCAATGACCGTTACTTTGTCGATGGCAGCTGCCAACTCGGTCATTTCAGTTTCCTGGTTGCCAATCTGCTTTTCCAGCTGACGGTTGTAAACCCGCAAGCCTTCAATTTCTTTCAGCACCGTTTTGTAGGTGCTCAGCAACTCGCGCGTTTCTTCGGTCAATGCATCAATTTTTGACTGCGACCGAATAGCGGACTGATTTATCCGTTCTGCAACCTGAAAGATATCCGACAACGTCGTCGCGGATACGGTGGCTGTGCTAGTCGTGAAAACCAGCACCCCAAGCAACGCCGTGACGCGCCGTAAGGTGGTTAACCTTTGCATATGATTTTTCATTACAACTTCCTACTGGAAAGATCCGTTCTTTCTTTTCACTTCACACATACCCAACGCCGGTCAAGTAGCGGACTACCCGACAGGATTCGTTGATTGCATGCGGCAAGTGTCTTTTTATTCACTGATCAACGCTTTATGTCACCAAAAGTTACACAAAACGCTTAGCAGCGCTAACCGGGGAGAAATTTGATTCGCCCACCCCATTCCGTGCTCGAAGGATCAACAAACCCCCTGTAGATGTCAAGCACGAGGGCATTCGATATGTAAGCAATGCTCGCCCACCGGCTTGATATTGAAGTTTGTTGTTCACGATCACCTGACGTTTTGCAGCATTAAGCAGTTAAATGACTGGCGAAATGATCCAGCGTTCGCTGCAACGCCAATTTGGACGCCGCCTCGTTGTAGCTCTCACGATGATCGCAATTGAACCCGTGATCCGCGGCATAAACGTAGACTGGTGAATCTGGTTGAGCGGCTTTAACGGCTTCCACATCACTCATTGGAATATGCACGTCCAGTTCTCCAAAGTGGAAAATCACAGGACACTTTGGCGTATTGTCCAGTTGTCCGGCAACACCACCGCCGTAGTACGAACTGGCCGCCGCCACACCTTCCAGCTGGCAACTGCTGAGCCAGGTCAGGAGGCCACCAAAACAGTATCCGACGACGCCGACTTTGCCGTGTTTGCCTGCTTCATTAATCGCCACCTGCAGATCCGCAAGCGTCTGTTGCATATCGAGTTTCTGAAATGCCAGTTCAATCCCTGTGCCCATGTCCGATTCGGTGTAACCCAGTTCAATATCTGCTTCGATGCGATCAAATATCTTTGGCGCAATTGCCCAGTAACCCGCCTGGGCATAGCCATCGGTGACTTCACGGATATGGCTGTTCACGCCAAATATTTCCTGGATCACGACAACGGCACCTTTAGGCGGACCGGCAGGTTCGGCAATGTAAGCGCCGAGCTTAAAGTTGTCCGGCGTAGTCAGTGAGATATCAGAGCCCATATTCAATTTCCCCGTACTGGTTTAATTCCGCAAGAACCCTAAAACTCCCAGCAAATTGTCGCAAGAGGATTGTCCGAAAAAGGCAATTTTTCGATAACTGGCAGGTCGCTGAAGCGCGTTCCAACGTCATCCAAACGTCATATTTCGTCGATTTAATGCAAACGTCGATTTAATGCGAACTAAAGCCGGATGATTCATACTTCTGCTGGAAGGGTTTTTCCAACATCAAGAATCACTCACAGAACTCAGTAAAAGAAAGAGTAAACCTGCATGGCGCCTTCAATTATGGTGGTCGAAGACGAACCGGAAATTCGCGAATTACTCAGCTTCACTATCACTCGAGCGGGTCACGACGTCGTCACCGCTGAGTCCGCTGAGCAGGCGCTGCAACTTCTCGATCGGGGCTTGCCGGAATTGTTGGTCGTAGACTGGATGTTACCGGGAATGAGTGGCATAGACCTGGCCAAGCGTCTGCGGCTGGACGAGCTAACGGCTTCCCTGCCGATAATCATGCTTACCGCACGAGGCGAAGAAGCGGACAAACTTAAGAGTTTCGACTCTGGCGTTGATGACTACGTCACCAAGCCATTTTCACCCAAAGAACTCATGGCCCGGGTAAAAGCACTGCTGCGACGCACCGGCGCACCCGAAGATAACCTGTTAGAAGTCGGCGGAATCAAACTGGATCTGACCAGCCATCGAGTCAGCATCGGTGACGAGCCTATTCATATGGGACCCACTGAGTATCGTCTGCTGGAACTACTGATGCGACACCCGGAACGCGCATTCGATCGCAGCCAGCTACTCGATCGCGTGTGGGGCCGCAGCGTCTATGTGGAAGAGCGCACCGTCGATGTGCATGTTTTACGCCTGCGAAAAATTTTGCAGCCCTATGACCTGCATCACCTGATCCAGACTGTACGCGGAGTTGGATATCGTTTCTCGCCGAACTAGAACCAATCCGCACCTGTGATCGACATAAAACTTTGCCAAGGCTTACCGCAAACGCCTATAGTTCGCATTTTTTACAAGCCAGGCAGCTGCCTGAGCGTCAGTTTGGAGTGACTTTTGACCCAGTCTATATCAGCCATTTTATGGGACTTCGGCGGCGTCCTGACATCCAGTCCTTTTGAAGCATTTAACGTCCTAGAGGCCAGTATTGGTGCACCCAAAGACTTCATCAGAACCATTAACGCAACCAATCCCGAGTCCAACGCATGGGCCCAATTTGAGTCAAGCCAGATCGGCCTTGAAGAATTTGATGAACTGTTCGCAGCAGAATCACGTGCCGCCGGGCACCCTATTCCCGGTCGCGACGTCATCGCCCGTCTCAGTGGCGACCTGCGACCACGCATGTTTAACGTGCTCAAACTATGCAAACAACATTTTAAAGTGGCGTGTATAACCAATAACGTGAAAGCAGGACATGGACCAGGCATGAGCCGCAGCGATACCAAAGCAGCGGCTATCGCCGAAGTGATGGACACTTTCGACCTGGTCATTCAATCCAGTGAGGAAGGTATTCGTAAACCAAACCCGGACATTTACACTCTCACCTGCAAGCGCCTCGGTGTTGCGCCTGACCAGGCCGTGTTCCTCGACGATCTGGGTATCAACCTGAAACCTGCCAGGGCGTTAGGTATGCAGACGATAAAAGTGTTGAACGAAGATCAGGCCATAGAGGCTTTAAGCTCGATTACCGGTCTACAGTTCCCATAAACCCAGAGTCTGAGCAGAAGAACTTGTCTGCTTCAGGCTTGAATGGCGTGGGGCTGAGCCTCCAGCAAAGCAGTTACCGCATCGGCGCTGGGAATTGATGGTGCAGCTCCTGCAGCTGTCACAGCCAGAGCCCCTGCTGCACTGGCCATGGGCATCGCATCCAGCAAAGGTTTGCCATCAACGAGCGCCGCCAGGAGATACCCAACAAAGGCGTCGCCCGCAGCAGTTTCATCTACCGGGGTAACATCAAATGTACCCATTTCATGCTGCCGCCGGGTATCTGCGTCATAGCACATGAGACCATCTTTACCCCGGGTAAGCACAACATGGGTCTGTGGATAACGCGCAAGCAGACTTGCAAAGGCCGCCTGCGGCGTGTCCTGCCGAGCCAGCGCCATAGCTTCCGGCTCATTCACCACCAGCAGTTTCAGCAACTCGATCGGATACTCGAAGATTCGCTCATCCGGGGGTGCGACGTTAAACGCGATGTTTGCACCCGTCTCAGCGGCCTGAGCCATGATCTCGCCAACGTCATTGACTTCATTCTGCAACAGCACCCAGTCGCCCGGTTGTAACTGCGCAACCGCCTGTTTGATCAGTTCGGTAGAAAGCTGCCGATTACTGCCACCGCTGATGACAATTGCGTTTTGCCCTTGGGCATCCACCTGGATAATGGCCTGGCCAGAGGGTCCCGTGAGGCGCTGTACACCCGTCGTGTCCACACCTTCGCGCTGCAATTGCTCAAGCAGCATATCGCCGTCCTCACCCACAGCACCGAAGTGTTTAACTTCAGCGCCGGCGCGGGCTGCCGCAATCGACTGGTTTAAGCCTTTACCACCAGGGAACACCTGGCGCGCACCACTGGCCAGTGTTTCACCCGCTTTTACGATCGAGGGCACCGGATAGACCAGATCGATGCACAGCGAACCAACGTTAACAAGTTTAGCCACGCGCAGTTAAGCCGGGTGAGCAAGTTCTTTAGCCGCGTCCTGAACTGCGCGGATAATTTTATCGTAACCGGTACAACGGCAAAGATTGCCTGCTAACCAGTAACGAATCGTCTTTTCGTCAGGATCAGGGTTTTTCTCCAGCAGCGCCTTGGTGGCAACGATGAAACCAGGCGTACAGATACCGCACTGCAAAGCTGCATGTTCGAGAAATTTCTGTTGAATGGGATGCAGTTCATCACCGGCAATGCCTTCGATGGTTTCGACAAGCTTATCCTGAGCTTCAGCACCCAACATTAGACAGGAGCAGACCAGGCGTCCGTCGACCAGCACGGAACAGGCACCACAATCACCTGTAGAGCACCCTTCTTTAGTACCCGTTAAACCCAGCTCATCCCGCAGGACGTCCAGCAGGGTTTGATTGGGGTCACAAAGAAACTCACGTGCTTCTCCATTAATACGACTTGTGACATGCATTTTTGACATGGTTCAGGCTCCCAAAGCTCTTTGTTTAGCAATTGCAGTCGCACGTCGAGCGAGGACCGCCACCACTTTTTTGCGGTATTCAACGGTGCCGCGTTTATCCGAAATTGGAGAAGCTGCAGCAGTGCACGCTTCACCCGCTGCATGAATAGCTGCATCATCCAAGGTTGTGCCAATCAGCGCGTCTGCCGCCGCAGGTACCAGCAGAGCGGTTGGCGCCACCGCACCAATGGCAACCCGAGCAGCTGTACAAACACCTTTATCGTCCAGAGTCAGACTGACACCACAACCGGCAACAGCAATGTCCATCTCGGTTCGTGGGATGAAACGCAAATAAGCGCTACTCTGCCGCGGTCCGGGGACCGGAATTTTCAAACCGAGGAGCACCTCGCCTGGCGCCAGCGCGTTCTTGCCCACACCAACCACAAATTCTTCCACCGGTATGCTGCGCGGACCAGAACCACCGGCAATATCACATACCGCACCCACAGCAATCATCGCCGGGATACTGTCACCTGCCGGACTTGCGTTACACAGATTGCCGCCAATGGTGGCGCGGCCCTGAATCTGCGTAGAGCCAATCAAATCCGCAGCCTCCAGCAGACCTGGCAACAGCTTATGCAGCGCCATATTTTCATTCATCAGGGCACTGCTGACGGCTGAGCCGATATAAATTTCAGCATCGCCGATTTCGCAGCGGTTGGTTTCAGCCAGTTTTTTGATGTCGACAATCGTGCGCGGGGTCTTGTCTAAAGAACGCATCTGCACCAGCAGATCGGTACCGCCGGAAATGACCTGAGCGCGCTCGCCGCTTTTTACGTGTTCATCAAGCACGGCAACAAGTGCATCCACCGTTGCAGGCGCCACATATGCGTATGCTCCCATCAGTATCCCCTTAGAAAAACGAGCAGCGAATCTATCACGGCGCGTGGTTTGCGAAAAGCTCTCTGGCGGGTTTACTGCCACCGCCTTACACTCACACCTTTATGAACCCGAGGAGCGCTACCATCACCCTTGACCAGACCACCGCACAGACTGCTGAACCAGACCAACACCTGGCTGATCACATCCGGCATCTTGAAAGTCACTGGAGCCGGGCCCTTGAACAACATCAGTTTGATGGTGCCTGGCTGAGTGCCGGCGAAGCCATTTTTGATTTCCAGGACGATCACGGCCCCCGCTTCAAACCGAATCCGTACCTGGCACAGTGGGTAGCACCAGAATTCCTTAATCCAGGCGCGCGACTACTGATACGACCTGGACATAAACCGGTGCTGTTCCTGCACCAGCCTACAGATTACTGGCACGCCCACTCACCGTTACCGGAAACGCTGGCGCCTTTTCTGGATATCCGTCCTTTTGCGGAACCGGCGGAGCTTTTGAATGCCTGCCAGCAGCACGTGCAAGCTGGCGATACAATGGCGTTCATTGGGCCCGAAGACGGGTCGAATGAGTCGTTCGGCGAGGCCAACCCAGCCGCTCTAACTGCCTATTTGCATTTCCATCGCGCGCATAAAACAACCTACGAGCTTGCCGTAATGCGCATCGCCAGTGACATAGGTGCCGCCGGCCATCTTGCAGCAGAGGCCTGTTTCCATCAGGGTGGCAGTGAATTTGACATTCACATGGCCTACCTCGTCGGTTCGAAGCAATCAGAGGTTCATCTTCCTTATGGCAACATTGTTGCTCTCAACGAACACGGCAGTGTGTTGCATTATCAATTCCAGGATCGCACGGTCCCGGAACCCTGCCGAAGCCTGTTGATTGACGCTGGTGGTAGTTACCGGGGTTTTGCATCAGATATCACCAGAACTTATGCCGCAAAGGGTGCTGATCATGAGCTGTTCAGAAACCTGATTGATGCCATGGAGACTCACCAACTGGCACTGATTGACAGTGTCCGACCGGGCGTGACTTTTGCTGACCTGCATGTGCAGATGCACCAGCAACTTGGACAGGTTCTGGCCGATGCTGACCTGGTTAGCTGTAGCCCTGAGCAGGCTTTTGAGGACGCTGTTACAGAAGATTTCTGCCCCCACGGCTTAGGTCACTTGTTGGGGCTGCAGGTGCATGATGTTGGTGGCCACCTGGCGGACGACAAGGGCAACAGCGCGCCACCCCCAGAACAGTATCCAAACCTTCGCTTTACCCGAGCCGTTGACCTGAATCATGTATTCACCATCGAGCCGGGCTTGTACTTCATTCAGTCACTACTGGCAGATGCAAAAGCAAACACACGAAAACGAAATCTGATCAATTGGAACGTTGTCGAGGCCCTGCAAGGATATGGTGGTATTCGTATCGAAGACAATGTCAGGGTGCTCGCAGCCGGTGTTGAAAATCTGACCCGTAACGCATTCAAGAACATCAGCACATGAGCATCGATCGCCTGACTCCGAAGCGACTGTTCAGTGATCCGCCGCTAACAGGTGGGCTGCCCGGTGAGTTGAAATTCTCCCCTTGTGGTCAATTTGCCTGTTATCGCCGGGCGGCCGAAGATGACCGCGAACGCATGGATCTGTGGCGCGTTGACCTGCAAACTGGGGCGCACGAAGAATGGATTGATGCACGTTTGCTGCAAGGCGAAAGCCTCAACGTCGCCGAACTGACTGATGCTGAACGCGCTGAACGAGAGCGACGTCGCCAGTTCAACCATGGCTTTACCGAATTCAGCTGGCACCCCGACAGCGACGTTTTGCTTGCTCCCATGAATGGTCAGGCTCTATTTATCGACGTATCGAAACCTGCAATCAACAGCGTTGTGATGACACCTGAAGATAAACGCCAGAGTGCTTTTCAGATTTCTCCAGACGGGTGCTGGCTGAGCTTTGTGCAGAACGGTGATCTGTTTGTTTTACCCCTGGATCCGGAACAGCCATTAGCTAAATCCAGCAGCGGCGTGCGTCAGATTACTGCGGATGCTAGCCCTACCTTAAGCAACGGTCTACCGGACTTTCTAGCCGCTGAAGAGATGCACCGTTTCCGTGGCCATTGGTTCTGCCCTAACAGTCGTTTTATGGTGTATTGCAAGGTTGATGAATCGACCGTAGCGATAAGCTACCGTCTGGAAATGCAGGCTGATGGCGCGCAAACCATTCAACAGCGTTACCCTTACGCCGGCGCCGACAACCCCAGAGTCAGTTTGTGGATGTTCGATCTGCAAGACAGCAGCAACCGGTGTATCTGGCAGGACAGCACAGAAATTGACAACGATGATGCTTACCTCGCCCGAGTACAGGTAAAAGCTCACGGTGTGTACATTCAGACCCAGGACAGACGCCAGCAGACCCTGAGCCTGAAACACCTGGACTTGAACAGCGACGATACCCAATGGCAGCTGCTGCACAAAGAAAGCAGCTCAAGCTGGATCAATCTGAATGACGATCTGACTATCATTGAACCGAACCGGATTCTGATCAGCAGCGAATCCAGCGGCACCAATCAGTTATATTTACTCGACGGTGCAGGCGAGTGTATTGAACTGGCCTGCCCGACACATATCAATGGTATACGGCACATCTGTGACGATCGCGTATTCGTTTCCGGTTGGGACCAGACACCCATTGAAAATCATCTTTTTGAAATTTCACTGGCCGGCGACCCATGGCGCCAGATAACCACACAGGAGGGTTGGCATGACGTTGTGATTGCGCCGGACGCCAACACCTTCATTGATCGATACAGCCATGAAAGTCTGCCCCCAAGCATTGATCTGCGTGACATTGAAGGTGGCCCGGGAAAAGTGTTGTGGACGGAGGCATTTGGTTCTACACACCCCTACCACCCATTCCTGCCGATGCATGCGACCGCAGATTTCGGCAGTGTGACTGCAGATGATGGCCAAGAGATATTTTATAGGCTGACACCGCCGTCAGAAATATCCGGCCAGCACGCCACTGTCGTTTATGTTTATGGTGGCCCGGGTCCGCAGAAAGCAAAACGCGAATGGAGTCCGTTAACTGTACAGCTGTTTGCCCAGAATGGCTTTGCGGTTTTGGAAATCGATAATCGCGGCAGCGGCAATCGCGGCATCAATTTTGAGTCACCTATCTATCGCAACATGGGTCACGTCGAAGTGCAGGATCAGGTGACAGGTTTGCAGGCCTTGAAAAAACACGCCTGGGCTGATTTGAATCGCGTGGGGATTTTTGGCCATAGCTACGGCGGCTATATGACCCTTATGAGCTTAAGTCTGGCCCCACAACACTTCGCGGCTGGCGTAGCCGTCGCGCCGGTTTGTGATTGGCGGCTGTACGACACACATTACACCGAACGCTACATGGGTTTACCTGCTGAAAATGAACAGGGATACGCCAACGCCAACGTTTTGTCTCACATTGATGCGCTGAGCGCCCCGCTGCTGTTAATGCACGGCATGGCTGACGATAACGTGCTGTTCACCAACAGCACCCAGATCATGGCCAGGTTGCAACACCTGGGCAAACCTTTTGACTTGATGACCTACCCAGGCGCAAAACACTCTATGCAGGAGCAGGATGTATCTATTCACCGGTTCAACATGATTCTCGGGTTTTTTAACCGGCACCTGAACACGTGAGCACTCAGAACCACAGGAATGACATTGTTGTCAGAGCGGCTGGCGTTTCAGACCTCACCTTCATCGTTGCCAGCAATCGCGCGATGGCAGCTGAGACTGAAGACGCCGGTTTGGATGAAGCGGTTTTGCAGAGAGGCATAAGCCACCTGTTAGAGCATCCCGCGGAAGGTTTTTATCTGGTCGCGGAAAACCGCGGCGAACTTGCGGGCACGCTGATGGTAACCTTTGAATGGAGCGATTGGCGTGCCGGACGATTCTGGTGGATTCAAAGTGTTTATGTGGCGCCGGAACATCGGCGCAAAGGGGTTTATAGCGCATTGCACGAGGCCGTGCGGGCGAAGGCGCAAACAGATAACTTAAGTTGTGGAATCAGACTCTACGTCGAACAGGACAACACACCAGCACAACAGACTTATCGCCAGACAGGTATGTACGAAACACACTATCGGTTGTTTGAGGAAGTGTTCAGCCCGCGCGACTGAAGAGGCGAAAAAAGTTATCCCGGGTATTTTGCGCCAGCGTGTGCAACTCAACACCGCGCAATTCAGCTAGAAATGCAGCAGTGTCTGTGACAAAGGCTGGTTCGTTTTTTTTACCACGATTAGGCGTCGGCGCCAGATAAGGCGCATCGGTCTCGATCAGCAGACGCTCATCTGGAATCTGCAGCGCAACCTCTCTGACGTTGGCGGCATTCTTAAACGTAACAATCCCTGAAATTGATACGTAGTAGCCCAGCTCGATGGCCGCGCTGGCCAGCGCCCAGGATTCAGTGAAACAGTGCAGAACACCGGTGACGCCGGGAAAATCACGAATAAGTGCCAGCGTGTCCTCCTGGGCAGCACGTGTATGTATGATCACCGGAAAGTTGTGTTCGTCTGCCAACGCCAGTTGCTGGGCAAAAGTTTCGCGCTGCAGCGCTTGGGCAGCAGGGTCTTCAACATAGTGATAGTCCAGACCCATTTCGCCCAGGGCCACCACCTTCGGGCGGTGCATATATTCAGTCACCCAGGATGCATCACCACTACAGCTACCGGGGTGTTCACCAACGCTGGCCCAGATATGTTCATAGTCGGCCGCAAACTGCAGCACTTCTTCAATAGCAGGTTGATCAACGCCAATACACAGACACTCGTTCACGCCGCGCTCGCGCGCGCGTTCGATGGCCCCGACTGGGTCTTCGAGATAATTCAGGTGGCAGTGAGAGTCAACAAACACAAACAGAGTTTACATGGTGTGTGTATGGCGGTCGGACTGTAACGCTCCGGCGAGATAGGTTTCGATTTTGCTGCGGGCCACATCGTCCTGGTCATTGAACTGCACACCAATGCCGGCCGCGCGGTTACCCTGGGCACCTTTCGGGGTGATCCAGACGACTTTCCCGGCAACCGGTATTTTTTCAGCCTCGTCCATGAGGTTCAGCAACATGAATACCTCATCACCCAGGTCATATTCTTTTTTGGTGGGAATAAACAGGCCGCCATTCTGCACAAATGGCATGTAAGCCGCGTAAAGAACGGCTTTATCTTTGATCGCCAAAGACAGTATTCCGTTTCTGACACCGCGTTTCGCTACAGACATGAATCAAACATCCTGTTTTCATATTCGTGATAACAAGCACCGAGCAGAAACCCTTTCGACCCGGCCTGACACTATACTCGAGTGCGCTCTGACTGCTGTCAATGGCTAAAGTATGAAGCAGGCCGCAGTTTCACCGGCTTAAGCGCTACTTCTTCGCGACAGCGCAACCCAGCGCACAATCAACGCTTCCAGCAGGAGACGTTGATTGGCTGAATTCGAGGTATCAATCTGCCGCCTGGCAGACAAAAGTGCATCTGTAAAACTCAAAACTGCAGCCGCTTCAGCCTGTATTCCCGCAAGGGGGGCGTCGCTCAGATGCGCCAGCAATCGCCGGTACCACTGATCGAGCCAGATCATGACACCAGCGCTCTGGGCTTGTTCAAGCGCCGCGGCCAGATCGATACGAGGCAGGCTCTCCAGCCATTTCTCGAGCGATGCACCGCCGGCAGTCTCAAGGGCATTCAACGGTGCATAGCCCGCGGTTGCATAATCGACATCTGAAATTGAAACCCCCTGCTGCTCAAGCCAGCTACGCGCAGCAGTATGATCCGGACGCTGACTGTAACGCTGAGCGCGACTGCGCACGGTGGGCATCAGACGACTCCAAAACGGGGTGGCAAGCACCAGGTGGGTATTTGGAGGAGGCTCTTCCAGCGTTTTCAGTAGCGCATTGGCCGCTGCGCGATTAAGCAGATGGGCATCAAAAATGGCCACAACCTTGCGCGGCGCTATCTGTGAGGTTTGTACAGCGAATTCAGTGACCCGGCGTATTTCAGCTATTTTAATTTCCGCCCCATCTGGCTCTACCCACCGAAAATCAGGGTGAGCAAACTCGTTTTCATTGTCTGGCAGGGGTGTCTGTAACAGCATGCCCGCAATATCTCTGAGCAGCTGTCTATGTCCCCACCCGGGTGGAGTGGTCAACGCCAGTGTATTAGGCAGCTTGTTTTCATCGCGCTGCCGTGTCAGACGCTGTGACAAATCACTGTGCCAGGGATAAAACGTATTCACGCCAGACTCTGCTGGATAAAGGGATCCACTATCGCAAGCATGGCAGCACGCACCGATACGATTGATTGACTGGCATCTATCAACTGCATTGCAGGTTCTGTTTCCACGCGCTGCAGATAACCCGCTCTTACCGCCCGATAAAATTCAGCCTGTTCATTTTCCATCCGATCCTGTTCGCGGTCGGCTATGCGTTTTCGCCCAATCTCCGGATCGAGGTCCAGGTACAACGTCAGGTCAGGCCGCAGCCCCTCCTGCACCCAATCTTCCAAAGCCGATACGTAAGCCAGCGGTGTGCCCCGCGCAACACCCTGATAAGCGTAGGAAGCATCGGTAAAGCGATCACAAACAACCCACTGCCCGCAGGCCAGGCGCGGCTTGATTTCATGGATCAAATGCTGGTGTCGCGCGGCAAACACTAATAGAAGCTCGGTTAGACCGCTGACACTTTCCTGCCAATCTGCCAGCATCACCTCACGTATGGCTTCCGCCATCGGCGTCCCACCAGGTTCGCGGGTTTGATAAACATCAATACCTGCGCTGGCAAGATGTTGGCAAAGTGAATCGAGACTGGTGGATTTACCAGCCCCTTCAGAGCCTTCGAGTGTGATGAATTTGCCTGGCTTGGCCATGATTACTCCGTCAACCCCAGCTGGTATTTGCGCACAGCTTTGTTGTGTTCAGCCAGGGTGCGGGAAAACTGACTGGCCCCATCGCCTTTTGCGACAAAGTAGACATATTCACCCGATGCCGGGTGTGCGGCGGCATGCAGTGAGGCACGTGAGACGGTTGCAATCGGCGTTGGTGGAAGGCCCCGAACGCGATAAGTATTAAAAGGTGACTCAACCTGCAGGTGCGCGCGGGTTAAGTCGCCATCAAAGTCCTCGCCCAGCGCATAAATAACTGTAGGGTCTGTCTGTAAACGCATATTGTCCGCCAGTCGTTTATGAAACACCTGACTGATCTGCTCGCGATCTTCCGCACGACCCGTTTCTTTTTCTATGATTGAAGCAAGCACCAGTAATTCGTAAGGGTTGTCTAAAACAGAGCGCTCACTGCGGTTCTGCCAGACTTCCATCAATGCCGTATCAAGCGCTGCCGCTGCGCGTTGCAGCAGCTGCACATCAGTATGACCCCGAGTAAACTGATAAGTGTCAGGAAAAAATAAACCCTCAGCAGAAGCCTTTGACAGCGCCAGGGCATCTGCCAGGCTCTGGGCATCTCTGGCTTGCAGGGTATGCTGTAACGCCGGATGCTTGCGCAGCTGCTGCAGCAGCTGCAGGACGGTAATACCCTCGTCAATACGGAAGGCGTGACGAACAACATCTCCGCGGGTCAGCTTGCTGAGCAATTGCCGCGGCGTTGCCGTTCGTTCGAACTGATATTCACCGGCCTGCAGACGGGTATCCGCACCAGTAAACCGACCCAACAGAACTAAACGCCACTCATCAGACATGTAGTTTGCATCGGCCAGTTCGTCAGCCAGGGTAGCCAGGGATTCGCCAACAGTGAAATTGATGACAAGATCTGCATCAGCACTTACCGGTGTGTCAGCCCATCGCAGAAATTGCCAGTACACCAATGCAGCAGCGACAAACCCTGCGAGAGTAATGCTTGCGGCACCGATCAACCACTTACGCGGCATACACAACGACCGTCAGAGTGTGCCGAAAACTAAGGTTCCATTGGTTCCACCAAAACCAAACGAATTGCTCGCCGCGGTCTTGATGCTGACCTTGCGTGCTTCGTTGGGCACATAATCCAGATCACACTCAGCGCTCGGGTTATGCAGATTAATTGTTGGTGGTAGAACCTGATCTGCCAGTGCCTTCACGGTAAATATCGCTTCAACGGAACCCGCTGCACCAAGCAGGTGACCAATCATCGATTTGGTTGAACTCACTGCCAGCTTTGTGTCATCGCCAAAGACCGACTTTATGCCTTTTGTCTCCGCCACATCACCCAGCGGTGTTGAGGTACCGTGAGCATTCAGATAGCCAAGGTCTTCGGGATTAAGCGACGCATCTTTCAGAGCATTCACCATTGCCGCCGCACCGCCTTCGCCATTTTCTGCAGGCCCGGTAATGTGATAAGCATCGCCACTCATACCAAACCCAAGCACTTCGGCATAAATTTTAGCGCCGCGTGCCTTGGCACGCTCATACTCTTCAATCACCAATACGCCAGCACCATCACCCAGGACAAAACCATCGCGGTCTTCATCCCAGGGGCGTGATGCCAGTTCCGGTTCATCGTTCCGTGTCGATAGAGCTTTCATGGAACTGAAAGCTGCAACGCAGATGGGTGAAGTCGCAAACTCCGAGCCACCCACAACCATGACGTCGGCTTCGCCATACTGAATCATGCGTGCACCGAAACCAATATTATGGGTACCCGTTGTACAGGCCGTGACTATGGCAATGTTAGGGCCTTTGAAGCCATATTTAATCGACAGGTTTCCGGAAATCATGTTGATGACCGAACCTGGCACAAAAAACGGCGAGACCCGACGCGGCCCGCTTTTAAGCAGCGTCGAGTGGGTTTCTTCAATTAGATTAATACCACCAATGCCTGAGCCGATGGCAATACCGATGCGATCGGCATCTGCAGGATGATCTTCCAGTCCCGCATCCGCGATGGCCTGACTGCCGGCTGCCATCCCGAACTGAATAAAACCATCAATTCGACGCGCTTCTTTGGCGGACATGTACTGGGTAATATCGAAGTCTTTCACCGGCGCGCAAATTTTTGCGCTGTAGTCTTCGGTATCAAAATAGGGGTTTGAAACGACACCACTGGTGCCTGCAATTGCAGCCTGCCAGGAATCATCAACGGTATTCCCAATGGGAGTTACCATGCCCAGACCTGTCACAACGACTCTTCTTCTGCTCATATCAGTTGTCTGCACCCTCTTTGCCGACAAATTTGCGTTGCCAGCGCATTTGTACCCCGTGCACGCGATAGCGCATCACATCCTTTATGCACCGCCAAACAGACAGCTGCTTTAACGGCCACACAGATAGTACAGAACGGAACAGACGCTTGCAGCCTGCTCCACACATATATTGCATCATGCGCCCGAAGACGCATGCACAATCGTGCTCTCAGGCAACTCCCCATTCAGGGACTTGCCTGGAACATCGCTATTGGTGGGCTAGAATATAGCTGATGGCGTCTTTGACGGTGCTGATCTTCTCAGCCTCTTCGTCAGGAATTTCGGTTTCGAATTCCTCTTCCAACGCCATGACCAGTTCGACTGTGTCCAACGAATCAGCGCCTAAGTCTTCCACAAAAGACGCATCGTCTTTCACTTCGTCTTCTTTGACACCGAGCTGTTCACAAATTAATTTCTTTACGCGTTCTTCAACACTACTCATGCTAAAGGGGTCTCCCTAAATAGGTTCCTGGAGGCAGGGCGAGCGCATTCTATAGAGGGGTTATCAGCAACGCAAGCGAGCTCTTGGACCTCCACATGCAGCACACTCTGCACGTTAGTTTGTTATTTATTGACAAGCATACTAAGCGGCGTACATACCACCGTTAATATGCAGTGTTTGTGCTGTCACATACGCCGCTTCTTCGCTGACGAGGTATGCTACCGCGCCGGCTACTTCATCTACCTCCCCCATCCTGCCTAACGGAATTCGTTCGAGCATCTTTTTAGCTTGCTCGTCGGTCAATTGTGACGTCATATCTGTGCCGATAAAACCTGGCGCCACGGTATTTACTGTGATATTCCGCGAAGCAACCTCGAAGGCCAACGCGCGAGAAAATCCTTCTATCGCTGATTTCGATGCTACATAGTTACTCTGCCCCGGGTTGCCCATTCGAGCGACCACGGAACCCACGTTAACAATACGCCCCCAACGTGCTTTCAGCATACCTCTGAGCACCGCCTTGGTCACTCGATAAAGCCCGTTCAGATTGGTTTCGATCACATCCATCCATTCATCTTCGCTCATCCGCAACAGCAGGTTATCTCGCGTGACACCGGCATTGTTAATCAGGACTGTCGGCGGCTCAGCCTGATCCGCGATGGTTTTCAACACCTCCGCTATGGAATCCGCAGACTGTAACTGCAGTTGCAAACCCAGACCATGCTCGCCAAGGGTTGTGTCGATCTGCTGCGCGCCTTCAGCAGAGGTAGCCGTGCCGACAACAAAAAAACCATCATTGACTAAACGACGGGCTATTGCGGCTCCTATGCCACGGGAGGCACCGGTTACTAAAGCAGTTTTCTTAGTCATGGAAACTTCTGTTACAGATAATTGGAGTGATTAACTGACGTGCGCGTCTGGTGAAGACAGACTCATTGTTGGCGTACCTTTGGAAATACGCTTGATAAGACCACCCAACACATTGCCTGGGCCGCACTCAACAAACTGATCCACACCACCCTCAACCATCCTGTTAACCGATTTGGTCCACAGTACAGGTTCAGCAATCTGCGCCAGCAGGTTATCTCGAAGTTGATCGACGTTGGCTGGAATATCGCCACTCACGTTCTGCACAATTTGCATAGCAGGCATCTGCAGATTAATGGCACCCAGGGCTTGGGCAAATTCCGCCTTGGCGCTGGCCATCAAAGGCGAATGAAAGGGCCCTGAAACGTCAAGCATTACCGCCCGCTTTGCTCCAGCGGCCTTACACGCATCCGCAGCTTCCTGCACCGCTGCTGCGGCACCGGCTATAACGACCTGGCCCGGCGCATTAAAGTTAGCCGCAACGACAACGCCGCTGGTTGTCTCACAACAGGCAACAACTTGTTCATCCTGCAGCCCCATGACCGCAGCCATAGCGCCTTGACCACGAGGAACAGCGGCTTCCATCAGTTCGCCACGCAGGCGAACCAATTTGACCGCATCAGCGAATTCAAGGGCCCCTGCGCAGGTCAGCGCTGAATATTCGCCCAGACTATGCCCTGCAATAAATTCAGGTGCGGGTGCATGGGATTGCCACACATCCCAGATTGCGACTGAAGCCGTCAGCAGTACCGGCTGTGTATTCTGCGTGGCGGACAGATCCTCTGCTGGACCTTCCTGGACCATTTTCCAGACATCAAAGCCCAGATAGTCCGACGCCTGTTCAAATTTCTGCACAACACTGGGAAACTGCGCAGCAAGGTCTGCCAGCATGCCAACGCTTTGCGCTCCCTGACCTGGAAAGACGGCACCGACGCTCATCTGAATTACTCTTTGTCTGCGATAACCTGACGGCCGCGATAGTAACCGTCTGCAGTGACATGGTGACGTCGGTGAGTTTCACCGGTGGTTTCATCTACGGACAATGTCGGGTTACTTAAACTGTCGTGCGAGCGACGCGTACCGCGACGACGGCGCGTCACTTTATTCTTCTGTACAGCCATTGTTTTTCCTAAAGTTCAGATTGTTAAACTTGCGCTACTATTTATCCGCAGCATCTTTTTGCTGTTTTAACTCAGCAAGCGCCGCAAACGGTTTATAAGTGTCTGCTGGTAGCTCCTGATCTTCACCGTAGCTCAAGGCCGGGCGATTACCACAGGCACTGTCAGTACACACTTGCGAAGGCAAGCGCAGAAGCAACTCATCTTCGATCAATTCCAAAATATCTAATTGCGGTCCTGTGACCACAATAATGTCCAGCTTATCGTCTTCCTCTTTCCAGGCTTGCGCCTCGATTTCAGATCTTGCCAGCACGCCTTCAACTGTTGCCTGCAGATGCCGGGCAACCGGCTCAATACACAGCTGACACTGCAGCTCTACAAAAGCTTCCGCATGTCCGTTTACACCGATGCGAGAGTTTTTGTCCCAATAGAACTGCAACTCTGTTTTTACCAACGCCACACTTTTACACTCTGCAGCAAGCCTGAGGCATGATTGCGTCGGTACATCGCGCGCGATCTTTGCACCCGCTTTAGCCAGCTCCACATAGGTCGGTACAACTGACTCCGTGAGACGCTCTTTTTGTGAGTTTTTGCTGTTTTCGGACTTTTTGACGACAGGCTTTTTGTTCACAGACATGGCGGCGGCAATGATAGGTATCTCAACAGGCCATGTAAACCCGCACAAGCCACTGAATTTATAGGTAAATCGATGCAAATTTTCACTTTATCACCGCCCTGCTGGCATGCCTGAATCAGAAAAGCCAAAACGCCTGATCCTGGCATCAACGTCCCGCTACCGCGCAGACGCGCTGCGGACCCTGAATCTAACGTTTACCGCGGTAGATCCAGAGACCGAGGAACAGGCCTCAGAAGCCGAAAAACCAGGCGCGCTAGCCCTTCGCCTGGCTCACAGCAAAGCCGCAGCCGTGATAAAAAACAACCCTGGTTGTGTGGTTATCGGCTCAGACCAGGTTGGCTACTGCAATGGACGTGTACTGCATAAACCCGGGAATGCCTCTGCAGCCGTTGAACAGCTGACTGGCTGCAGTGGCCAGCTCGCCACTTTCTATACGGCTGTGGCTGTGCACGACGACACACAACGTCTGTCAACGGTGGTGCCTACGGAACTGCTGTTCCGACAGCTGTCCAGGCAGGACATAGAACATTACGTTACTGCGGAGCCTGCGTTCGATTGTGCAGGTGGCTTTAAAATAGAAGGTCTGGGTATCAGCCTTTTCAAAAGTGTGTCAGCAGCCGACCCCAGCGCATTGATTGGCTTACCGCTGATTGCCACCGCGGGGTTTCTCAGGTCCCTGGGCTGGGACATCATCGGCCACGCATGACGCCCAGAATTGAGCCATCGATGCCTCCACCGGCGCAACTACTCTAAGGGCGTCAGCACCGAGGGGGATCGTTAATTTACGCGCGTGCAGACACAGTCTGGGAATATTCTCCATCCGGCCAACCCCGTTACAAGTATTTTCAGGCTGTTGATGTTCAGGCTGCGCGGCAGCGTATTTATCGTCGCCCATGATGCCATGACCGCTGGCACTGGTATGGACTCTGATCTGATGTGTCCTCCCGGTGTGCAGCGTCGCCTGCAAACGTGTTGCCCGATCGCCTGCGCGCTCCAATACTTCGAAATCCGTACGAGCCTGAGCGCCGGCGGCACTGACCCTGACTCTGCGCTCGCCCCAGGCCGTCTCGTAGCGTTCCAGCTTGAGCTGCACCACCCGATTGGACTGCGGCCAGTGACCGTGAACATACAGTTCATAAATCTTTTTCACGCGACGCTCGCGAAATGCGGCTTGCGCGACCTGCAGAGCACTGCGCTTCTTCGCCAATGCCAGGCATCCTGAGGTATCACGATCCAGACGATGCACCAGTTCCAGACGCGGGTTGGCGTACACATCACGCAAAATCTCGACAACACCCGATCGAATGGAGGAGCCGCCATGAACAGCGATCCCGGCGGGTTTATTTAGAACGAGAAAGTCCGCATCTTCAAAAATAACGCTGGCTTTAAGCGTTTCCTCAATGTCCGCAGAATACTCAACGGGCAAGTCCTGGCGCGAACGTGTCGGCGGGATACGTACGGTGTCATGGAGTTTCATACGGTAACTGGCCTTGATGCGCCCCCCATTCACTCGCACCTCACCGCGGCGCAGAATTCGATACACGTACTGTCGCGGCACCCCCTTCAATGTTCGCAGCAGAAAATTATCAATCCGCTGCCCCACGTCTTCGGGGTCCTGAATATCAACATGCTGGACGGTCATGGCTGTAAAAACATATAAACTTTAGGGCTTTTAAGGAGTTAGCAAACAATGTTAACATCAGCCGGTCTCGTCGTGCGCACTACATCTGCTGCAGTTGAGTTAATAGTTGTCTTTAAAGATGTCGACTAATTTGCCCACCTCGAGTCAAGACAACATTGTGCGCCCTGACGGCCTAAGAGCAATATTGGCATTCCAGCTAGACAATCCGCGGAATGCGCCAGCCCTCATATAAACGCCTGTTAGTCGATGAACTATTGGAAAAGATTTTGACGCCAATGCATGGCACCGGCTCTCACCAGAACCCGTTTGCACATCGTTGTTGTCACCAGGAACAGATACAGACCCTGAAGCGGCAAGCGCTCATCCGCACTCGCCGCCTAAGTTGAAACGAAAATGTGGCGCAAGCTCGCCGGTAGCCGGCACTGAGTTCATACAGCGAAGCTCGAAAGACCAAGCTGAAACCAGTCCGTAACCAGGCAGACAGCTCTTTGAGCTGATGCCGCATGTAGAAGCCGAAGGTATACAACCAGACGCGAACATGCGATCGAGAATTTGACTGCGCAACCTCCTAGCCTGCCAATAGCAGCGGCTAACACTCTTTGTTGTCGATATTACGACGTGCCGGTTTCACGACCGGTGCGTTAATTTTTAGACACGTTAAGAGTCCAACATGAAAAGAATGTTAATCAATGCTTCCCATTCCGAAGAGGTGCGCATTGCCCTGGTTGATGGTCAGAAACTGAATGACCTCGACATCGAAAATCGATCCCGCGAGCAGAAAAAATCCAGTATCTACAAAGCCAGAATCACACGCGTTGAACCCAGCCTGGAAGCTGCGTTTGTCGATTTCGGTTCTGAGCGCCATGGCTTTCTCCCACTGAAAGAAATTGCCCGTGGTTACTTCAAGAAACGTATGAGCGAAGGCGGTTCACGCACACCTATTCAGGACCTGGTGCAGGAAGGCCAGGAAGTGCTGGTTCAGGTTGATAAAGAAGAACGCGGAAACAAAGGCGCTGCGCTTACGACCTTCATCAGTCTGGCAGGACGTTATATGGTCCTGATGCCAAACAACCCTCGAGCAGGCGGTATTTCACGCCGGATTGAAGGTGAAGACCGCGACGAACTCCGCGAAGCGCTTTCTCACCTGGATATTCCCGAAGGTATGGGCGTCATCGTCCGCACCGCCGGCGTTGGTCGCAGTGCTGAAGAATTACAATGGGACCTGGCTTACCTGCTACAACTCTGGCAAGCCATCCAGAGTGCCAACGAAGTAGAAAAAACACCGTCCCTGATCTATCAGGAAAACAGCGCGGTGTTGCGTGCGATCCGCGACAACTTGCGCCGTGATATTGGTGAGGTATTGATTGAAGGCGAAGAGGCCTACGCAGAAGCATCTGCTTTCATTGCCCAGGTCATGCCGCACTACAAAGAAAAAGTAAAACCTTATAGTGACGGCATACCACTTTTCAGCCGTTATCAGATTGAAAGCCAGATTGAATCTGCTTTTGAGCATACGGTGAAATTGCCCTCTGGCGGCAGCATTGTCATTGATCCGACAGAAGCCCTGGTTTCCATCGATATCAACTCTGCACGCGCTACAAAAGGTGCGGATATTGAAGAAACCGCGCTGAACACCAACCTGGAAGCCGCAGACGAAGTTGCCCGGCAGTTGCGAATCCGGGATATCGGCGGACTGATCGTGATCGATTTTATCGACATGGTGAACCAGAAAAATCAGCGGGCGGTAGAGAACCGCATGCGCGATGCGCTGGAAGTCGATCGTGCGCGCGTCCAGGTCAGCCGGATCTCAAGATTTGGCTTAATGGAGATGAGTCGCCAGCGCTTGCGTCCATCGCTGGAAGAAATTACGACGGTTTTGTGCCCTCGCTGTAATGGTCAGGGCCGCATTCGAGACACCAAGTCTCTGGCGCTGGCAATTCTTCGGATTCTTGAAGAAGAATCTTTAAAAGAGCGCAGCGCCGTTGTGCGCGTCCAGGTACCACTGGCGGTCGGGGCTTACCTGTTGAATGAGAAACGCCAGGGTGTCGCTGAGATTGAACAGCGTACCGGCTGCCATGTTGTCATCATTCCGAACACCAATCTCGATACGCCACATTATATTGTTGAGCGACTTCGAGATGACCACGTCAAAGAAGAAGGCATTGTCCCCAGTTCAACCCTCTCAGAACTGGCCAATCAGGCAAGTGACGAAGACATCCCGGACGACAGTGTTGTTATCAACAGGCCGCAAGCTGCAGTACAAACCCTGCAACCTCAACAGCCGCCGCCGCCACCTGTGGCTACGCAAGAAAAACCAGCCGCCGCCGCAGCCCCTGTCGCAGCGGCAGCTGCACCTACTGCAAAAGCAGGATTCTGGTCAAAACTTGTTAAAAACCTGTTCAGCGACGAGCCAACATCTGCTGAGGACGATAGCCAGTCGACAGGCAGGAAAACCGAAAATCGCACTCGCCAGCCGGCTAAGCGCCAGGATCGTGAGCAGCCGTCTCGCAGCAGCAATCGGGGCAGAACCAGCCGTGACCAGGCTAAGTCCACACAGTCCAAGCCTGAGCAAAGCAGACCTGCAAAAAGCAGCGACGATGACGCGGGTGACAAAAATAGACGGGAAAATAACAGCGAGCGTCCAAAACGCAGCAGTCGCAAAAACGACAAGCCGGAGACTCGCAACAGGAGCGACGTGAAAGAAACGGGTGATAAGCCCAGCACGCCAAAACGTGAAGGTCCGAAAAAACCCAGACCTTCTGCAGCAGAGCGCGCGCCCAGTGAAGATGCACTTGAAAGCAGCAAACGCGCACCCAAACGTAACCGCTCAGAGCCAAAACCAGCGACTAATCAGTCCACCTTTAAAAGTCAGGGCCCTGACAAAACAAAGAGCACTGTTGAGGTTATATCAAATGCCGCTGGCGGTATCGCAAGCACACCCTCATCGGATGACAACTCCGGCACGAACACTGCCGAGCGTAAACCTGCCAAACCAAGAGGTAGAGCATCTAACGATCCGCGTAACAGAAACAAGAAAAGCGCGGAGAATGACAATCCCAGCGACGCGGCGCCATCTGCAGTGGTTGAAACACCCGCGGTAGAAGTGCAGCAGGATCAACCAGAGGTAGCTGCAAAAGTATCTGAAGCAACAGCAGATAAACCTGCAAGGGCGGCGAAGAAAACGCCGGCAGCACAGGATTCTGAACTATCTGAGCTCGAGCAAAAACCTGCTGCTAAAGCCGAGGAAGCAACGATAAAAGCGCCCGCTAGAAGCCGCAGCAACACTGCCCCGGCTAAAGAAAGCGTGCCTGACGCTGCAGCGAAGGATGTGGAAAAAGTACCTGCACCCCAACGCGACAATGAGAAAACCTCGAAACCAGCAGAAACAGCCGCGTCCGAGGCAACACCCGTGCCAGAGACCGCGTCCAAAGCAGAGCCAAAAATAGCAGCTAAGCCTGAACCAGAAGTAAAAGCGGCACCTGAAACCGCAAAAATGGAGGCTGCATCAACGGAGCCTGCAGCTGAACCTGCACCGGTGCGTCCTGCCCGCGCTTATAATGATCCACGAGAGATCAAACGCAGGCAGCGTGAAGCTGAACTTAAAGCACAGGGTGTGATGAGTAACAGCAGCACCCGTCAGGACAACACTGATGGTTCCAGTTCCAAGTGAACACCAAAGTGAACTAAAACGTCCTCACGAATCGATTCGGCAAAGTTCAGGACAGCATCGCTGTCCGCTTTGCCTCGATTGACCAAAACCAACGGCTGGGCTCCCCAACACATAACCTCCGGCGCGGGACGATCTTTCCAGCCCAACTGATCAATCAGCTGGGCAGCACTTAATTTGACCATGTCACTGTCATCGGCTTGATGGAACAGTTTCAGCCACGCTGAACGCTCCTGCAAAGACGATGCAAAAGTTTTCGTGACCAAAGGATTCTTGAAAAAACTACCAACGTTGGGTGCTTTGTTAACATCCGGCAGCTTGCTTCTCCGGATACGCTGAACTGAGGCAAACACATCTTCAGGACTGGGATCTGAATGATGGTGCGCGGCGAGGTCCGCCTGCAACTCCGGATATGCAACCACAACGTCGGGCTGTTTTTGCAGACGCAATCGCACTCGCGTGATCACCCAATCTTTATGCGCCTTGAAGATACTATTGCGATAACTGAACCCACAGCTGCCAACATCCAGCAATTGCCGTTCACCTTGAACATCTATAATTTCAATCCGCTCAACAAAAGCGGCAAACTCTACGCCATATGCACCAATATTCTGTACAGGTGCAGCACCAACCGAGCCTGGAATCAGAGCGAGATTTTCAAGCCCGTACCATCCTTGGGCCAGCGTAAAAGAGACTGTCTCATGCCAGTTTTCCCCCGCGGCGACATCAACCAATACCTCACGCTGTGTCTCCGCCACCAACTCAATGCCTTTCAATCCCATCAGACAAACAAATTGCGCCACGTAGTTGTGCGCGACCACGTTGGATCCCTCCCCTAAAGCCAGAAAAGGCAGCCCGTGATTCTGACTGTAGCGTTGGCCTTCCTGCACATCTTCAATCGAAGCTGCGCGTATGCCTACTTTTGCCCTTGCTGGGAGCGCAAGCGTGTTGGGTATGGGCATATCCTTGTGTAACTGCATCAGTGAATCGACCTGAAAGTAAGGTTAATGCGCACAGGCACATGTCGCGCTGTTCTGGTCAACGTGTGTTGTAGTCGGCCATCAAATATAAGTAACGAACCGGCATTGAGATCAATGGCCGTTGAAGCAGTTCCAGGACCAGCCCGATACCGAAAACGGCGGCAGCCACCCAGGCTCAGTGAAGCAATAAGAGGATCCGCTGCGGCCTCGTCATCACGATGCCACCCCATATACTGGCTGCCATCATCGTATCGATTGAGCAACACAAAGTTGAACCTGCGGCCTACCCTTTCGTTTACCCGCTTGTGCAGGTCAAGCAATTGCGCAGGCCAACCCGAGGTTGCATGGTCAATACCGCTGTAACGATAATTTAAACCGTCATCGCCAAACCAGGCCGCCGTTCTCGGCGCGGTGACTGTGCGACCATAAATACTGAAGGTTTCCTCTCGCCAGACCACAAAATCACTGCTCAGACACCAATCGGCCAAGGCCTGAGCCTTCTGGTCTGTTAAAAAATTTTGCACATATTCCATGCTGCAGTGGCCGAGCCTTCACTAAAGACCGTTATACTAACGCGCATAAAAAATGAGTCACGTTATTCAACCCAAAGGAGTCAGAGAATATGAATATCGAAGGCAAAGTGGCAGCGATTACAGGAGGCGCCTCAGGCCTCGGTCGCGCTACAGCAGAGGCGATTATCGCCCGCGGCGGTCAGGTGGCCATCCTTGATCTAAACCACGAACTTGCTGAGCAGACTGCAAAAGAACTGGGCAACGCCCGTGCGTACCAGGTCAACGTCACCGACGATGCATCAGTCAGCAGCGCAATTGCGCAGATTAAAGCAGATTTTGGCGCCATTCACATCAATGTGAACTGCGCAGGCATTGGCGCAGCAGCACGAACCGTTGGACGCGACGGCGCGTTGGACATCAACAAATTTAATATGATCATCCAGGTCAATCTGGTGGGTACTTTCTCGGTTCTGAGCAAGTGCGCTGCCGTGATGCAGGACAACGAACCTGAAGGTGAAGCTCTAGAGCGCGGAGTGATCGTCAACACTGCCTCGGTCGCAGCCTTTGATGGCCAGGTGGGTCAAGCAGCTTATACGGCCAGTAAAGCAGGTGTGGCGGGCATGACCCTGCCTATTGCCAGGGATCTTTCCCGCCAGGGTATACGCGTCTGCACAATTGCACCCGGCATCTTTGATACGCCGATGATGGCAGGCGCACCTGAGCAGGTACGCGCGCCACTGATCGATATGGTGCAATATCCGAAGCGATTAGGTATTCCCCCGGAATACGGCATGCTGGCCACACATATTATTGAGAACACCTATCTCAACGGTGAAACCATCCGCCTTGATGGTGGTATCCGTATGGCACCCAAATAGCAAAGAAATAGAATAAGTGTCTATTGCGCCAGCAGGATCTGCTCAACACGAGCCAGGTCCTCTGGCGTGTCCACACCACCCGGGATCGGCACAGTACTGGGCAATACCCTTATCCGCCCGCCGGCCTCCAACCAGCGAAGCTGCTCGAGAGCTTCAATATCTTCCAGATGAGCATCCCGCAGCGACACAAACCGCTGCAGCGCCTCGACACGAAAAGCATACAGACCAACATGGCGCTGTGGTTTAAATACATCCATCTGACTGTCTGTCAGCGCATCATTCAGGATCAGATCACGCGGCAATGGGATCGGTGCGCGGGAAAAATACAGCGCGTCACCCTCTGTTGTGGTGACAACTTTGACAATATTCGGGTTGAGGAATTCCGCAGCCGTCAGTATTGGTTCGGAGACTGTTGCCATCTGCATGGTTGTATCTGCACGCATCAGATCTGCCATTTGAGAGACTAAAGACGCCGGCAACAAAGGCTCATCTCCCTGCACATTAATGACAATGTCATTCTCGTCCCAGCCTGAACGACGCACAACTTCCATGACCCGGTCAGATCCGGAGGGATGGTCTTGTGCCGTCAGCATCGCGCTGTAACCTGCTGCCTCCACTACGGCCAAAACACTGCTGTCATCTACTGCAGCGGTAACCGTATCTACATCAGCATCCTGTACTGCCATCATCACGCGCACGATCATCGGAATCCCGTTGATCAGTGCCAGGGGCTTGCCTGGCAATCGGGTCGAAGCCAATCGCGCGGGCACCACAACATGCACCTTCACGGCGCTACTTCCAGATCCTGCATCTCACTGATGTCATCTTCGCGAACCAACCGCTGGGGTGCAATTGCGCGTTCCGTCAGCAGGCCAAGCAATATGTCTCGCGCGTTTGTTTCTAACTGAACGGAAACACGCAGAAACCAGACATGACTGAAATCATCTTCAAGATGTTTCAGTTTGGCGGCATCTTTTTCTGTACAGACAACCTGCATGCCATCACCGAAGCGCACTTCCGGGCCGGAAAAATCATAATGATCACTGTAAGTGTGCTTTATGGTGCTGATACCCAGTTCCTGCAGCGACTCGAAAAAGCGTCGCGGATTGCCGATACCACACACCGCGTGCACCTGGCTGTAACGCCCGCAGAACGCAGCACAGGTTAACTGTTCGCCGCTGGCCAGATTGATGAAACCATCCGCGTGCATGCGCATCACAGACTCGGACTCAACCAGGCCGCTGGATTCCCCGTTAGCGATTACCCAATCTACTTCCTGCAAACGTTCTACCGGCTCCCGCAATGGACCTGCCGGCAACAACCTGCCGTTACCAACACCGCGCGCGCCGTCAATAATGGCAATCTCTATATCTCTGGCCATCGCATAATGCTGCAAACCATCGTCCGAAATCGCGATGTCGCATACCTGGGTTTCCAGTAGCCGCAGCCCTTTTAAGCGATTGGCAGAAATAGCCACCGGACAACCAAGGCGGTCGCGCAATTGCACAGCCTCATCACTGTAACGCTCAGGATCTGCACCGCTGGGAACAAGGGTACCAGTCTTGCTCAAACGTCCACCATAGCCGCGTAACACCACACCGGGCGCGTAACCTAAGGCTCGCAGTTCTTCAACAAGCCAGCTCACCATCGGCGTTTTACCGGTACCGCCAACGGTAATATTGCCAACCACAATTACCGGCAGACTGGTACGGGCGGGCGTTCGTTTACCTGTTTGATAAGGTTTGAGCTGGCGTTTTCGTCCCCAGTTATAAACCCCGGACAGTGGACGCATGAGGTGCAACCACCAGGCACCGTCATACCAGGCCTGAGACAACCCCAGAGCTGATCTTTCAAAATATTCACCGCTGGGCAAACTGGCACGCACAGCAGCCTGATCTTTCTTACGGGGCAGTCGTTTTTTCTTTTTCGCCGGAACATCATCCTGGAATTGCGCGCTGTGCAATTCGGCATACAGACCATCAGCGGCAAGCAGATCATCATGAGTGCCTACTTCTACAATCTGCCCGTCATCAAGCACAACGATACTGTCAGCAGACTCAATCGTAGACAATCGATGGGCAATCACGATGGTTGTCCGACCTTCCATCACCGCATCCAGGGCCGCTTGTATATAACGCTCTGATTCGTTGTCCAGGGCAGAGGTGGCTTCATCAAGAATCAGCAGCGGCGCATCTTTGAGCAGTGCCCTGGCGATAGCCACACGCTGCCGCTGACCTCCGGAAAGAAGCACGCCATCATCACCAACAATAGTATCGAAGCCGTCCGGCAGTGCTGCTATGAAATCACCCGCGTAGGCACGAGTCACGGCCTGTTGGACAGCCTCGTCACTGGAGCCCGACAGATCACCGTAGGCAATATTATTGCGCAGGGTATCGTTAAAAAGGGTTACCTGTTGCGAAACAAGCGCAATCTGACGCCGCAAAGCAGGCAGCGAATACGAGCGTATATCTTTGCCATCGAGCAGAATACGTCCATGCTCCAACTCGTAGAATCGCGGAATCAGACTGGCCATGGTGGTCTTGCCGCTGCCTGAGCGTCCAACCAACGCAATCGTTTGACCGGGCTCGATACTCAGGTTCACATGGCGCAGTACTGGCGTATCACCACCGTATGAGAACGATACATCTTCAAATACCAGTGATCCCACTGCTCGCCCGCCATCTTCGCTACCCTCATCCTGCTCGATCGCAAAATCCAGCTGCGCAAAGACATCTTCAGCGGCAGCAAGCCCACGCTGCAGTTTGGCATTCACCTCTGAAAGTTTTTTTATCGGTGATCCTAACAAAGCCGCCCAGGTCAGGAACGTCACAGCTTGACCACTGGTCATTTCTCCGGCGCTGTCGTAAAGGAGAAAAATCAGAATACAGACGGCTAATGCAATGATGGTTTCATTCAGCTGCGCGCTGAACACTTTGGTCACCGCCATCTTCAAGTTCTGCTGGCGATTCACCCGATTGGATTTTTCAAATCTGTTGGTCTCATATTCCTGGCCACCGAAGGTGCGCACAACTCTGTAACCAGCGGTGGTCTCAGACACCACGTGAGTGACATCCCCCATAGAGCCCTGAATGCGCCGGCTGATTCTTCGAAAGCGGCCACTGGCAAATACCACCACAAAGGCAAGCACCGGCAGCGTGGCAATGAACAGAAGCGTCATTTCCCAGTTCATCCAGAGCATTGCACTTAAATAGACAATGACTTTCAGACCGTCCTGGATAATGGCGCGCAGGGCATCGGTGCCGGTATCACGCAATTGCGCCACGGTGAATGTCAGACGTGAAACGGTATGACCTTGAGAATTTTTATCAAAAAAGCTGCTGGGAAGCTTCAACAGCTGATCGAACAACTCCTGTCGCAGGGTGTACACCACATGAAACGACACCCGCGCCATCAGGGACTCACCAATAATGGAACCTGTGGCCCGCCCCAGGGCTGTTGCGAACATCAATACGGGGATGCTTGCCGCGGCAATGATGACGGCTTCGTCCCAGGAATCGATGAGCTGCCCAAACAGATAGCCGAAATAAGCCTCTGATCCGGCCGCGCCCAAAAATCCCATAAACGAGATCAGCAGCAGCACCCAATGCGGTGCCACGTACTTCAGAAGGCGTTTATATATAGACCAGTCGCCTGATGACTTTGCGATGTTGGTATTCCTCTCGGGCGTCATCGCCGCTACAAATATGGGATGTCTATTCCGAAGTTTCTTCGGGTTGTTGGGTTGTAATGCTAACGCGGGTCAGGCCTACCGTACCAGCGGCATCCATGGCCCGCACAACCGACTGATGTTCAGCTGTGGCATCCGCGGTAATGACCACCAGCGGCGACGGAGAGTCCGGATCCATGACCTCTCGCAGAGCACGGACGAGAGTCTCTTTCTCAGAGTTCACCAGCAGGCGCTCATTCACGGCATAGTCGCCACCGCGATCAACCACAATCTCAATAGTGCCGGGTTCCACTTCCTGCAACTCGCCGCTGGATTCAGGCAGATTTATCTGTAACTGCGTTTCGCGGATAAAGGTGGTGGAGACCATAAAAAAAATCAGTAGAAGAAAAACCACATCGATCAATGGCGTCAATTCAACGTTGGCTTCGTGGCGGCCGCGCCTGCGCTTTGCCATGGCTCAAGCAACCGTTTCGACGTGATGACCGTGAACCATATCTGCCAGTTTGCTGCTTTCATGTTCGACTTCGACCACCAGCTCATCCACACGTCGCAGGAAAAATCGATGGAACATCAGCGCCGGGATTGCAACGGACAAGCCCGAAGCGGTAGTGATCAGCGCAGTCGATATACCCCCGGCCAGCAGATTGGCATTGCCGGAGCCTTCGCGCATGAGGTTATCGAATACATCGATCATACCCACAACGGTACCCAGCAATCCCAACAGCGGCGCGATACTGGCAATGATACCCAGCGCGGTGAGATACCGCTCCAGATCCTGATTGACCTGGTTGGTAGCCTCTTCCATTGCTTCTTTCATGATCTCCCGGCCACGTTTCGCATTACTGATGCCCGACGCAAACACATGCCCCAGAGGCGATCCGGCACGCAATTCTCGCGTTTTCTGTTGATCAAACTCGTCCTGCTTGAGGGCATTCCAGGTTTGCGCCAGCAGATTCTTGGGCAGAATCCGTTTCCGTTGCAGCGTCCATAACCGTTCGACGCTGATCGCCGCCGCAACAACGCTGCACAACAATATCGGCACCATCAGCCAGCCACCGGCTTGAATAATTTCTAACACAGAAGTTCCTCGTTTATCCTTGTCAAAGCACGTTCGTCAAATGCTGGTCCAGACAGTTGAAAAGCGCGAGTTGTATCGTTACCAGACACAACCCCGTGCCGTTATTGGCCACAGGCTGTGAATCATACCGTCTGCTTCTTTGACCCAATAATAATCATGTAGATTTACCGTCGGATCGCAGTGTGGCGCCACAAATTGAACAACCTGACCTAATTGTAGCGCCTGCTCGCCTTTCGGCAGCACAAGCACCCCATGCTCGTCGCCGGCAAAATGAAACTTAACGCCAGCGTGATCATCCGTGACCGGGGCAACCGAGTCTGAGGCAAAGGCTTTATAGCCACCATCGACGGTCATAGTACCCTGCCGGGGCGCGCTGATGGTGCTGCAGGCCACATGTAAAGACACCTCGAAATCGAGAAACTGATCACTTTCCACTGCGCCAATCTGCCGATATTCCTCATCCATCAGGATATAGCTGCCTACCTGCATATCTGTCAGCGCTGGCACATCCACGTCGATGTTGTAAGTACCGGTACCACCGCCTGTCACAATGGCCGCATCATAGCCATGCTCGCGCAGAATTTGCAGTCGTTCGGTTACTGTTTCCCACAGCGCAAGGGATTTCTTTCGGCGCTCGACAAAATCGTCAATGTGCATCACATGACCTGCATAGTGCTGCACCCCAGCAAACGTCATGCGCGGATCTGCAACAATATGTTCGGCCAGTTTCAGCAACAGATCTATATCCCGGGCACCTGTACGCCCCATAGCAACATCTATATCCAGCAGTATTCCGAGGGTAGTATCCGAATCGAGATGAGCTTGCAGGACCTCCAGTCCCACAAGGCTATCTACCACAAGTTGCAGCCCCGTCGTCTGTTTGGCCAGCAGGTTTATGCACTGGGCTTTCAAAGGTGTGGTGACCGGAGAAGTGATCAGAATGTCCTGTATCCCACCGCTCAACAGAGCCGCCGCTTCGCCGATTTTCGCAACACAGACCCCAACTGCACCCGCAGCAATCTGCTCACGTGAGATCAGAGGGCACTTGTGGGTCTTCGCGTGAGGTCTAAAGCCTTTACCGTGATCGCCAAGAAAGGCGGCCATTTTATCGATATTACGACCAAGGGCGGGTCGATCTAAAACCAACGCAGGCGTCGGCAACGCCTCTATGGAAATGGGTTCATCAAGCAGCACAGGCTCACTGGCACGGCTCTGGGTCTGCTCGATCAAAAACGAAGCATTCAACGGCGACATCCAACTAACAAAGAAGCGGCCAGTTTAAGCCTGTTCGAAGAAATTTTCGTAATAATAGTTGGTGGCTTCAACAAATCCGGCAACCGAACCGCAGTCGAAACGACGTCCCTTGAATTTATACGCCATGACACAACCGGTTTTGGCCTGGGTTAACAGTGCATCGGTAATCTGCACCTCGCCATTTTTGCCCGGGGGGGTATTGCGCAAAATTTCGAAAATGTCCGGGGTGAGAATGTAACGACCGATGATGGCCAGATTGCTGGGGGCATCTTCGGGTGCTGGTTTTTCCACCATGTTGGTGACGCGCACCAGCGAATCGCTGATCATTTCGCCATCGATGACACCATAACTGCCAGTCTGATCAGCTGGGACTTCCTCTATGGCGACAATACTGCAGCGATACTGGCGGAACAGCCCTACCATCTGTGCCAGCACACCTTGCTCATCACCCAGGCAAAGGTCATCAGCTAACACAACACCAAAGGGTTCATCACCAATAATCGTCTGCCCCTTCAGGATCGCATCTCCCAGGCCCGCCATATTGACTTGACGCGTATAGGAAAATGTACAGTTTTTAATCAGCGACCGGATCCCATCCAGGGCCTTTTCTTTGCCGGTGCCGGCTATTTGATGTTCTAACTCATAGCTGACATCAAAGTGGTCTTCTATGGCGCGCTTACCACGGCCAGTGACAAAGCCAATTTCCGTGAGCCCAGCCTCAGCGGCTTCTTCAACCGCGTATTGCACAAGTGGTTTGTCAACAATTGGCAGAACTTCTTTGGGCATGGCTTTGGTTGCTGGCAGAAAGCGTGTTCCATAGCCGGCAACAGGGAAAAGGCACTTCTTGATCATCAAATCTCAACCCGGAGTCAAAACCCGAATTGTAACGTGCCCCAGGCAAAAAAAGCGGGGAATTGCGCACAAGATTGTAGCCACTGTGTAGGCTTAAGGCCCGCACGCTGAGAACTCCGGGAGATCAGCTTGGGGTGTTTTCTGCAGATACCTGCTCGCGTAGTGAGGCAAGCAGGTGTTCACAGATGGCATTGCCTAACTGACGTTTCTGCGTAGCGGTCAATTTAGCTTTACTACCGTCTGACCGACGACCGGCCTTACCCGCTTTTAGTGCGTTCGAAAGGTGCCACGCCACGTGCATGTGGCGATCACCGCGCCTTTCAAGGCTGGTCTGCGCAGGACCGATTGGCGTTTGACCGTTTAGTGATTGGCCTTGTCGCGTTTGGTCTTGTCGCGTTTGCCCCTTCAGCGTTTGCGGAAGGGGTTGGCCAAACTCGGATCCTGCAAACCCTGCGCTTTCAAATAGAGGTAATGTTTCACCCATATCAATTCCACGTAACGAAAGACTGTCCAACGGTTCAAATCATAACACTACTGTATGTTTATACAATACCTTTTCAGCTACCGGGTTGCTCCGTCAAAACAAGTTCATCATCTACCCAGGTACCTTTTATAACGCTGTCGGGATCAAAACCTCTTTCAAGCAGCGCATTCGCCAACGGGTTTTCGATCAACCTCTGAAACGAACGCTTCAGGGGACGCGCACCGTATACGGGGTCATAACCCTGCCGCACAACCTGCTGCATTGCCGTTTCGTCCAGTTCAAGAACCAACTCCTGTTCCGCCAGACGCTTATTCAGCTCAGCCAGCTGCAGCAGAGCGATTTCACCGATCTGACTTTCACTCAGCGGCTCGAACACAATCAGATCGTCCACCCGGTTTATAAATTCCGGTCTGAAGTGCTGAGCAACCACACCCATCACCGCATCTTTAATCCGTTCAGGCTGACCATCCTGGGTGAGTGTCTGAATGACTTCAGAGCCCAGGTTTGAGGTCATAACCAGAACCGTATTACGAAAATCCACCGTGCGGCCGTGACCATCCGTCAAACGACCATCATCGAGCACCTGCAACAGAATATTGAACACATCCGGATGGGCCTTCTCAATTTCGTCCAACAGGATGAGCGAATACGGCCGGCGACGTACCGCCTCCGTCAGGTACCCACCTTCTTCATAACCAACATAACCGGGAGGAGCACCAATTAAACGTGCCACAGAGTGCTTCTCCATGAACTCTGACATATCCACACGCAGCAGCGCTTCTTCACTGTCGAAGAGAACTTCAGCAAGGGCTTTACACAGCTCAGTTTTACCTACGCCCGTTGGCCCAAGGAACATGAACGAACCGTTGGGGCGGTTTGGGTCCGCCAGTCCAGCCCTGGATCGACGCACAGCCTGGCTGACCGCCTTAATTGCATCGTTCTGGCCGATTACCCGTTTATGCAGCAGTTCTTCAAGCTGCATAAGCTTGTCTTTCTCCCCTTCCATAAGCTTCGCTACGGGAATACCGGTCCACTTAGCAACCACTTCAGCGACCTCACCTTCGGTAACTTTGTTACGCAGCAGCCGGTGTGACGTTTCTTCCTTAGGAGCGGCTAATTTCGCCTCGAGATCGGGGATTACGCCATATTGTAATTCGGACATACGGGCGAGATCACCGGCGCGCCTCGCCGCGTCAAACTCAATACGGGCTGCTTCCAGCGCTTCCTTAACCCCCTGAGATCCTTTTAAGACATTTTTCTCTGCCTGCCAGATTTCATCTAACGCCTGATATTCTTCCTGCAGCTCAGCAACAGAAGCTTCAAGCACTTTCAATCGCTTCAGACTGGCATCGTCTTTTTCTTTTTTAAGCGCTTCGATTTCCATTTTCTGCTGGATCAGGCGCCGATCGAGCATATCCATGCTTTCGGGTTTTGAGTCCATTTCCATACGAATGCGGCTGGCTGCTTCATCGATCAGATCAATGGCTTTGTCCGGCAATTGTCGGTCGGTGATGTAACGATGGGACAGACGCGCAGCCGCCACAATGGCTGGATCGGTGATATCCACACCATGGTGAACTTCATAGCGCTCTTTCAGGCCGCGCAATATAGCCACGGTGTCTTCCAGGCTGGGCTCGTCAACCAGCACTTTCTGGAAACGCCTCTCAAGCGCTGCATCTTTTTCAATGTAAGTCCGATACTCATCTAACGTGGTAGCTCCAACGCAGTGTAATTCACCCCGCGCCAATGCCGGCTTCAACATATTGCCCGCATCCATGGCGCCGTCTGCTTTTCCTGCGCCCACCATGGTGTGTAATTCATCAATAAACAGAATGACGTTGCCTTCCTGCTTCGCCAGATCGTTGAGTACAGCCTTGAGCCGCTCTTCGAACTCGCCGCGATACTTAGCGCCGGCAATCAGAGCACCCATATCCAGAGACAGGACTTTCTTGTTCTTCAGGCTGTCAGCAACTTCGCCATTGACAATTCGTTGGGCCAACCCTTCCACAATTGCAGTTTTGCCGACCCCGGGCTCACCAATCAGGACGGGGTTGTTTTTCGTGCGTCGCTGCAGCACCTGCACGGTACGGCGAATCTCTTCGTCCCGGCCGATGACAGGATCTAATTTTCCATCAGCTGCTCGCTCTGTGAGGTCTAAGGTGTACTTGCTGAGCGCACCTTGCGTATCTTCAGCATTAGCTTCATCAACCGTCTCACCATCGCGCTGGGCGTCTACCGCCGCAAGCAGTGCGTCGCTGCTGACGCCAGCGGTTTTGAACATCCCGCTCAGAGTAGAATCCTCGGAGAGTGCAACCAAAACCCTATCTACCGAAATAAACTTATCTGATGCCTTCGTAGCCGACGCATCTGCGCGACCTAACGTACGTGCTAAGTCTTGAGAAATATTTACTTCACCTGTACTTGCCCCGATCTTCGGGCGATCTTCCAGATAATCAGCCACTGCCTGGCGCAACCCTTTGGCACGACCACCTGCACGGGTCAGAAGGTTAGTGGCCAGTTGATCCTGCGCATCCAGCAACACAGCCAACAGATGCGCCGACTCTACCTGGCTATGGTCCAGGCTGAGCGCCAAAGATTGGGCGTCAGACAATGCCGTTTGCGCCCGATTGGTAAATTTATCCATTCTCACGTTCGTGTCCTCACTAACCAGAATTTGGTCATCAATACAAATGTGCTGCTACAATGCGGTCGTTTAATCAAATTTCAACTGTGAATTGGGCCAGCCTAGTCATGGAACAACGCGAACATCCCCGCATACAAATTCCACTGTTAGTTGAACTGATCCATCCAGCGATCGGCACAGTGCAAACAACCGCCAGAGATATCTCCGAAGGGGGGTTGTTTGTTTATCTGGCCAACCCTAAAGTCCGCGAGGGCGGCAAGATAAAATTACGCGTGCTGACAACCCTCCCCACGGACACACAATCCAAACCCACAATAGAAATGCAGGTTAAGCGCGTAACAGACCAGGGACTGGGGCTGGCGTTCATCAATAAAACCGCCCAACACCTCTGGGGTAGCGTCCAGCAACCTCGCCAGGAACTCGCCATTGGCAGAGACTATTTTCAAATCCACCTCAGCCTCGCCGTGCTTCACGAGAAAAAAGGTGTTCTACTTGTGCAGGAAAACGGCAAATGGCTGTTACCTGGCAGATTCCTGATCGTAGGCGAATCTGCAGAAAAGGCATTAAGGGATTTTGCGGAGACTGGCCTCGGCCTGCCCTTAAGTAGTAATATCAAGCCCATCGCCGCGGACAGCACTATTGAAACTGGTCTTTCAGAAGCTGCCACCTACAGCGTTATTTACGAAAGCACTACTACCGTCTCTGCCATCGATTTGCCCAAGCAAAGCCAATATCGCGACTGGCGTTGGTTAAACCGAAATCGCGACCTGCGCGAAATCACGTTTGCCGTCCCATTTCAGCGATCCACTGTAGAGGCGCTCCTCCAGCAATTATTCGAGAGTTAATCAGCAGCAGAATGGTATCGACCAAATATTTCAACAGTACGCAGGCCGAGCAGCACAGCGACTATGTCGGACAGATTGTTATCCGACCTAATAACTCAATGGGATGGCAGACTACCCGCTACTTTCTGGCCAGCCTGATGATCATCTCCCTGACTATGGCCACCGCTTTTCTGCTACAGGGATACTGGATGATCTTGCCGTTCACGGTACTGGAAATGTCTTTTCTCCTGGCTTGTTTCTATTACCTGATCAGACGCAATCAAACCCAGGAAGTTTTGTCTTTTGCCGCTGACCAGGTTGTCGTGGAGATCGGCCGCAATGCGCCAGAAGTACGCCACGAATGGCAGCGCTTCTTCACCAAGGTGCTCGTCGAAGCACCCTCCCATCCGTGGTATCCAAGCCGGGTCGCTTTACGCTATCGCGACGAGGAGTATGAAATTGGCAAATACCTCAATTCTGAGGAAAAACAAACGCTGATCACAGAACTCAAACGCATGGTTGCTGCCGCTGATGCCCAGCAATACCAGCGCAGTTAAGACGCTTCTCAAACGGGTTACCAGTAGGTGTCGACCTTGTCCGGTTGTTCACTGGTCCAGCTGATTGCACCCTGTTCTGCAGTATTAAACACCGCAGCACCGCGACGCTTGTAACGCTTCACAACCCGCGGGCGCGGATGACCATAACGATTGTTGCGACCCGCACTGAATACCACCACCGACGGTTTTAACCAGCTGACAAATCCCGGCGCTGAAGACGTTGCGCTGCCGTGATGTGGGGCCAGCAGCCAATCAATATCACGGGGCAGTTGGTGTAACAGATTGCGCTCTACTCGACTGCTGATATCTCCACTGAAGTAAGCTGTGCGCGCGCCGTTAGTGACCACAAGCGTACAGGAGGCGTCGTTTTTCGTACCTGCCCGCTCATCTGCCAGCAGCCTGAAAACCACACCATCCCAGACCCAACGATCTCCGCTACGGCAACGCCGGGTTGCGCCAAGATCATCCGCTTGCGGGTATAACTTCTGTAACTGTGGCAGCCCGCCGGCGTGATCGTTATCTTTATGACTTATAAGTACACGATCGATTCTGTTGGGTCCGCTGCGCCGCAAAACGGGGACAACCGCTGCTTGCAGCATATTGAAACCAGACCTGAAACTTGCACCGGTATCCACCAGCAAACGATGGTTACGTGTATCAATAATTGCCGCACTGCCCTGCCCGACATCGACAACTTGAATGCGAAAATGATCAACAGCAACTTGCGCAGGTTGCTGGAGAATGACCGGCAGCCAGCCGAATACCGCCAGCAGCCTCACCTTAACAGGGACGGGGGACAGAATAACTGCACCTGCAATTAACGCCATCACCGCGGTGCCCCAATCGAAATAACCCATCGACAAACCTGCCGAGGGAAACCGTTGCAGAACATTCAACACCAGCGCAACCGATAGATCCGCAACATGCAGGCATAGACTGGATAACCAGGACAAACCCGGCAGAGCGTCGAGCAACAAGCCGAGCATGCCTGCCGGGATGGTGACTATAGTGACCAGGGGGACAACCAGCATATTGGCAGCCGGACTCACGAATGGTACCTCGCCCAGCACAACACCCAGCCAGGGCGTCAACATGAGCAACAGCACAATCTGGCAGCACACCAGACCTGTTACAGCACTGAAAACCGGGCGGCGGGAGGCAAAGACATATAACAGCGAGCCAACTGCAGCATAAGACAACCAGAAACCCTGCTGGAACGTCACTTCAGGAGACAAGCCAACCGCCACAAGCATTACACCCGCGTACAGATGCCACGAAGACGTGCGCCATAAGAGCAGCAACAGGAAAGCAACACCCCCTGTCATCATGGCGGCACGCACGACAGGTGGGTTGGCACCGACCTGCACAACCAGTAACACAAGGCTTAACAACCCGACCAGCAAAGCAGCCTGTCGCGGCACCCAACCTGCTCGCCGGAGTGGAAAGAGACGCAACACTCCGCACACAAGGAGAAAAACAAAACCGAAAAACACGCCAACATGCAGGCCCGAAATAACCATGAGATGGACGGTTCCAGTTGCCCTGAACAAGTCCCAACTTTCCTGTCTGACCTGTCCGCGACGTCCGAGCAACATGGCATTGAGCAGGTCGGCATGTACATAACGACGAGCGTCGATCTGCAATGTTGTTGATGGATAGGCCGCAACCATCGGCCCAGATGCTTGCTTCACATAACCGCTGGCGACAAAGCCTTTGCCACGCAACCAGCGGGCAAAATTAAAGCCACCCGGGTTGCCCAGCGCAGACGGAGACTTTAACTCCACCAATGCCCGCAGCTGTGTATCCGCAGGCAGTGACGCCTGCATGTCGTACCAGACCAGTCTGACCCTCCGCGCCTCCAGACGGCGGCAGCCATCGCTATGAACGGCAACAATCTGCGCCTCGAGCAGCAGGCGCTGCGCCAGTACAGAAGCGGGCTCAAGCAGACGCAGCGTTACTTCATGAGGTTGGCGCTCGATACAACCAGGCTTTTCATGCGCAGAGGCGAACCACAGCCCCCATCGCACTGCGGTCAGGATCAAAATCACCAGCAAACAGACAACTTTTGTGGCATTAGACAATGATGTACCAACTTTCGATGGGCATAATGTGGGGATGCCGAGATCTCGCCTTAAACGTTATCTGCCCAGCCCGCACCAGGTCCGCGAGAACCCGGCGCTTCGTCCTGTGGCACATCTCCTGGCGGGAAGTGAGATCTGGCACCTGAACCGTCGCTCGGCAGCCGGTGCGGTCTTTATTGGCTTGTTCTGTGCTTTTCTACCGATTCCCCTGCAGATGGTCATTGCTGCAGTATTGGCGATCGTCACTCGCTGTAACCTGCCTATTTCAGTGGCGTTGGTCTGGATATCCAACCCCATCACTATCCCGCCGATCTTCTACTTCACCTACCGCCTGGGCGCCTGGTTGCTCGACATGCAGATTGCCGTAGATTCCATTGAATTGAGCTTCACCTGGTTCTGGCACAATCTGGGTACCATCGGTTTTCCTCTGCTGATAGGTTCGCTGATCTGCGGTTGGGTTGCGGGTGTAACGGGATTTGTATTAACAAGAGTGTTATGGCGCCTGCACGTGGTGCAACGCTGGCAGGCGCGGCGCGCGCGCATCAAGGCCGCACGGTCTGAAACAGGCTAGTGCAGTGCCGCAACAGGATCCATCTGCGCAGCCCTGCGCGCGGGGAACCAGGCCGACAACAGGCAGAGTCCACAGCTCATTAAACCGATGACCACCAGATCACCCGGCATAATACGAACGGGAATTTCTACAAAGAAGGACCCATCAAGCAGGTGACGCCCACTTACTGAAGCAATCAGCGACATAATTCCGTTGATATAACGGGCACATAGAAGACCCAGACCAAGACCTATAAACGTGCCCAACAAGCCGATACACACACCCTGGATAAGAAACACCTGCCGGATCAGACCAGCTGTACACCCCATGGTGCGCAAAATAGCGATACTGGCGCGCTTGTCGTTCACAACCATCGTCTGCCCGGCAATGATGTTGAACGACGCGATCGCCACAACCAGCAGGAGCAGGACAAACATCATGGATTTTTCAAGCTGAACAGCCTGGAACAATTCACCGTAGGCAGTAACCCAGGTGTCCACTTCCAGTTCCGGCAACTCGGCAGACAGTTGCTTCGCAACCCTGGGCGCCAACAACGCATCCTGCAACTGAACCTGCAAGCCTTGTGATCCCATAGTTTGCCACTGGGCAGGAGTCTGTCGGTCGATATTAACAATCACCAATCCGTAGTCAGGTTCCGCGCCCAATTCAAAGGTACCCAGTAAAGTGAATCGAAGCAGTTTGGGGGCAACACCTTCGGCTGATGCAGCAATCGCCAGCAGCACAACAGGATCCCCTACTCTCAAGCCCAGATAACGCGCCAGCGGAGCGCCCACCAACATGCCGTTCACGTCCGCCTGCAAATCCGCAAAACTACCCTGTTGCAATGTCTGTTGCAGATAACCCAGGCTCGCCATGCCTTGTTCACCCACACCGTAAATGGTCACCGACTGTACCCGCCCTGCTACCGAAAGCGCACCTAAACCCTGAAAATATTCATGCACGCTGGCAACGTCCGACAAAGCACCAGCCATACCTTCAATGCGATCACCTGCTTTTGCACCGGCAACAGTAATGTGGGGTACAGACTGCAGCAATCGACTCTTAAGCTCGCTATCAAAGCCGTTCATCACCGTGATAACCACGGTTAAAATCATGACCCCCAGGGCCAGCCCGAGAAACGAAACCCAGGTGACAAAACGCGCAAATCGGTTTTCACCATGGGTTAAAAGCCGCCGCGCCAATACCAGCGCTAAACCACGTGAAGTACGATCTGTGGTCATATGTGGTGCTGGCGTCCCCGGACTTTGCGACATGTTGAGATCAGTCGGCATACGGAAGCAGCTTGCCATCTATTAGCCGCAGCGCACGGTCAAACTCTCCCAGCATCGAAACATCATGAGTCACCACCAGAAAGGCCGTGCCCAACTGGCGACACAGACTGGCCATCAACGCCATGACAACCGCTGCAGTTTCACTGTCGAGATTTCCCGTCGGCTCATCAGCCAGAACAACCGCGGGATTACCAGCCAGGGCTCGCGCGACAGCAACTCGCTGGCGCTCCCCGCCGGACAACTCGCTGGGCAGGTGCTGTAACCGCTCAGCCAGACCCACCTGAGTCAATAATTCGCTGGCTTGCTCAGAAGCATCGCGACTCGAGCCTCCGGCGATGCGAATCGGCATCGCCACATTCTCCACCGCACTGAATTCCGGTAACAGGTGATGGTTCTGATAAACAAACCCCATATGTGCACCGCGCAGAGCTGCCTTGGCGTTGGGGTCCGCGGCGGTCATATTTTCACCCCGCACGGTGACTGTGCCGCTATCGACAGTATCTAAACCTGCCAGAACATGTAACAAAGTACTTTTTCCCGATCCGGATCGACCCACGACAGCGACGCGCTCGCCGGCTGCCAGATTCAGGTCCAGGCCCTGCAGAACATGGATTGTGCTTTCACCCTGACGATACTGCTTGATCAGGTTCTCCGCCTGCAGCACCACCCGCCGGCCTGAAGGTGACACAGGCAAGGCTTCATCAGGGTAGGTATCTGTAGTTTTATTACTCATGGGCAAGTACTCGTGACGGCAGCAGTCGTGTTGCCCGCCAGGCTGGATAGAGTGTCGCCAGAAGGGTCAACACGAAGGCCGCCAGGGCAACCTGCAGAAGGTCTTCGAAACGGACATCCACGGGCAGATAGGCGATAAAATACTGGGACATGAGATCGAGACCAAACCATTGTGTTGCCAGCGCATACAATCCAGGCAAACCCAGTGCAATAGCCGCGCCAAACAAAACACCGAACGCAATACCACTCATCGCCAACAACAACCCTAGTGTGCAGAAAAGTGTCATGACCATGCGCGAATCCGCACCCAGCGTACGCAGCACGGCCACATCGTTCTTGCGCTGTTCTACAATCATCATCAGACCCGAAACAAGATTAAACGCCGCAACCGCAACCAGAAAGGACAACAACACAAACATGGTCATTTTCTGCACCGCTATGGCCTGGTAAAGATTCCCGTGGGTGTCCATCCAGGTACGTACCCTGACACCGGAGCCTGACAGCGCATCCTGCAACCCCGTCTGTGCTTCCTGGGTGAAAAATAAATCGTCCAGCCGCCCCTGCAGACCATGTACTCGACCAGCGGTGCGAAACATTCTCTGCGCAGAACTCAGCGTGATCAGCGCCAGTTGTCCATCAAGCTGCGACTGACTGTCGAAAATATCTACAACCTGAAAGCGTCTCTGCCGGGGCAACGCGCCAGCAGGCGTCACTGCGCCGACCGGCAACACAACAAGGACTCGATCACCAATCTCCAAGCTCAGCGTCGAAGCCAGGCGCGCGCCCAGAACAATGCCGTATGGCGCTGCCTCCAGGGCTGCGAAATCTTTACCACGGGTATATTTCACAACATCTGTCACCTGCATGTAGGTGGCAGGATCAATTCCGGTCAGATTAATGCCCTGGATTTTATTATTGGCGGCCAGCAATGCAGTACCGCTGATATAAGGAGCCAGCGCTTTGATGCCTGGAAAAGTCTTGTCCGTGACAAGTACTTGCCATTGACTGGTCTGCAGACCCGCAGAAACCTGCGCGGTAACGTGTGGCAATACACCCAGTACACGATCTCGCAGCTCGCGCTCGAAACCATTAACAATCGACAGGACAATTACCAGTACGGCCACGCTCAAGATCAAGCCGAGCAAAGCCAGGCGCGACACATATGACAACGCTGATCGCCGCGCCAACAGGTACCGCAGGGCTATCCAGGTTGACAGCCGCTGGCTGAATAAAGAGGGGTTACGCGCGGACAGGAGCTTCTCCAAAAATTGACTACACTAAAGCATGGACGGTGACAGACGACAATCCATGCGCGTATCTACCAGGCTGCCCTGCGAATGGCAACTTGTAGATGACAATCTGAACGCAGCCAGGCTGCAGGAAGTCTTTGCGCTACCCAGTGGAACCAGTGTTGCAGCTGCGCTCAAAGAGCTTGGTGCGGCGCTTAACAATACTCTGGAAAACATCCAGGACCTGCACGTGCGTCACGCGGTCAGCATGGTGAACCAGAAGATCGACCTGCTGGCACCTGCAGCGGACAGCCCGGACCCACTACCCACACAAAGCCTTGGATTATCCCATGATGGCATGCAGCTGACTGCCCCACATGCGCTTGATGTTGATCAGTTTGTTGCGGTGCACATCGTCCTGGATGACGGACTGAGCTTTCTGGAATGCGGCAGCGTGACCCGTTGCTGCGCGATCGAAGAAGGTTTTGAAATAGGTATTACCTTCAGCTCCATGTCTGCAAGCAACAGTAAACGCCTGGCACGTCAGGTTATGCGCACGCGGGCCTGATCAGCAAAGCTTCACCAGCCCTCACTAAGCCACGTTGACCTGCGCTCCACCTCGTGCGGCCAGTTTTGCCGCTGCGTGAATGGCGGCAACCCGATAACTTTCAGCGTAAGTCGGGAAATTGAAAATGTTGTCGATAAAGGTGTTGACGTCAGCACCCTGCAACAACCCCATCTGACCGATATGTACCAGGTCTGTAGCGTGGGTACCAATCACGTGCACACCGCGTATCACACCATCTGCGCTGACAACAAGCTTGAGCAACCCGTCCTGAGCGTTGGCAATATGTCCACGCGCGATTTCACGGAAATCAGCCAGACCGACAACCACACCATCATACTGTTCGCGCGCTTGTTTCTCAGTCAGACCCACACTGGATAACTCAGGTATCGAGTAGATCCCGGAAGGTAACAGGTCACCTATGACACCCAGCTCTTTGCCCAGCATATGACAAGCCGCGCGCCGCCCCTGCTCCATCGACGAAGATGCCAGGGAAGGCGGCCCGACAACATCTCCAGCTGCATAAATATGGGACTGCGAGGTACGCCCGTGCTCATCCACACTCAACAATTGGCGATCGTTGATGGCTAAACCCGCACGTTCAATATTGAGATTCTGCAGATCAGCAACTCGCCCCTGGGCACACAGTACTTTGTCAGACTTGATTACGGTGCCATCTGCAAGGGTTGTTGCCACTTGCGAAACACCATCGAATGCACAGCTGACAACATCTACTTCGCCAAGAAAATCACCACCTCGTAACTCGAAGGCAGCCACAAAGGCATCGGTTAAATCATGGTCCAGGAACCCCAGCGGTTTTGCATATCGATCTATTAACGTGACCCGCACCCCCAACATGGCAAAGATAGATGCATATTCACATGCGATTACGCCACCACCAAGCACCACCATGGTCTGTGGCAGGTAAGCCAGCGTCAGAATCGAATCGCTGTCGTAAACATGTTCATGATCTATGGCCACGTGGTCAGGATGCCGAGGTTTCGAGCCGGTGCAGATAACAAAATTCTTGGCCTGCAACAACATCTGCTGGCCGGTGGTTGTCAACACAGAGACACTGTTAGCGTCCTGAAACGTTGCACGGCCATGCACAATCTCCACACCATTACGCTGTAACTGTTCCGACATGTACTGGTCATGAGCACTGACCACCTCAGACATTTCGCCAATCAGTTCAGCCACCCCCACGGAACGATCCATTTCGGGTAGATTCAACTCCAGCAACCTGGCATTAACTTTCGCGCGCTCTTCAGCTCTTTCCCGCAAAGCTTTGCTGGGAATAGTACCGTAGTGAACACAGGCACCGCCGACTTCGCGCAGACGTTCGCAGATGGCGACTTGACGACCCGCTTTAGCGAGCTGAATAGCAGCCTTCTGCCCCGCAGGACCGGATCCGATGACTACCGCATCATAGAGTTTATTCATGCCATGCTCTCCATGGTCAGGGCGATGTCCGGCGCTTTTTCCAGCAGCTTTTCGATATCATCGGGATAAAAATTGAGATGTTGCAGCGCTGAATTCTGCAGAACAAGATCGGCATTGAGCTGATCTTGCGCCTGCAGTTCCGCGACAAGCCGTCCGGCGGCAATGATAGCCACGCTGTCTTTGGCATTTTTTGCTTCACTGAAATCGTCCAGAAATCGGATGGTCAGATCAACGGAGCCCGGCAAACGCCACTCTTCTACCAGCAACAATCCAGCAGGCGTTGTGAACAGATTGGCCAACTCAATCATTTCCGGCTGGCTCAGATCGGGGTCCATCTGCGCGAGTCTGTTGATAACAAGTGGCGTCCCGATATTGTGCAGCAAGCCACACAGATAGGCGATTTCGACATTTTTGATGGCTGCGCGAGCAATCTCTTTGGACCACAGAGCAGTACGTAAACCGTGCTGCCAGGCATCATTAACCAGGCTTTCGAAGGGACCGGCCTGCAACATTGTGCCCTTTAGAGAAACTGTCAGCGCTATTTCACGTATGCGCTCCATGCCCAGACGGGCAATCGCCTGCTGCAGCGCAACTATCTCAGAGTTGCCACGGAACGCCGCAGAATTAACAACACGTAACAAATGACTCGCAAGCCCCTGATCTTGCTGTATTAATTCAGCCAGACGTGCAGCATTTGATTGATCATCCAGAGAAGAGGACAGTACCTCGGCAGCTACGGTAGGCAGCAGCGGCACATCCAGGGAACGACTTTCTAATTCGGCTTGAAAGCGCGCTGCCAGAGAATCCGGGGTGGCATCTGTTTGGCCGTGTGACATAACTTTCTCGGGGGCAATTGCTTACCCTTAAGCATAGTCACGGATCCTGAACTTACCGGTGGATTATTTGGGACCCACGTTTCTGGTGAGACTTGAGTCAACTTTTCTGGACAGAGCAGGCGTTGCGGCGGGTATTTCATCTGTATCGCACAACGCCGGATTGCCACCACAGATTTCGCAATCCATGTCCATACCCAGCGCTTTCATACCCCCACAGGTACCGCTGATAGGTTTACGGCCCATCAGTACGCCGACAGCCATAGCCGCGACCATCAGCAGCATAAAAACAAACGCAAGAATCATTGTGGACATCTGATTACTTTCCAGTTGCAGAAAAATTTACTCTTCAGCCGGTAAATACCCAGCCATTTGTTTATTGTAGCGCGCCGCGAAGCCGAATGTCTGTGCATCATCAGGCGTTGAGGTCCGATACATCACATAAGCAGGAAACCCCTGCTCGCTGGCAAATGCCAACCCCTCTTCTACACCCAGAACCATCAGGACGGTGGCATAAGCATCCGCCCACATCGTAGACGGGTGCAGAACCGTGGCGCTGACCACCGTACTTGCAGCAGGCATCCTCGTTCTCGGATCAATAACATGATCGACCCTGACGCCGTCGACAAGTCGGAAATTTCGATAGTCACCTGAGGTTGCAATACTGAGGTCTGATAAAGCAAGCACGGTCTGCAGCGTACCCAGCTGATTAGAGTCAGGCACCTCGACACCAATCTGCCAGGGCTTGCCATGGCGATTTATCCCCTTTGTGCGAATCTCACCACCAATATCTACCATAAACTGCTCACAACCCCTCTGGCTCATAAGTTGCGCCAGCCGATCAACCGCATAGCCTTTGGCTAAGGCTGAAAGATCAATATAAAGGTCGGCATGCTGCTTACGCAGGCGCGAGCCGTTAAATTCCAGTTTATCCATGCCGACATACTCCCCGGCCCGTTGCTGCTGAGCCAGGCTGGGGCGAATAACTCCGGTATCTGGACCAAATCCCCACAGATTAACCAGCGGACCAACTGTGACGTCAAAAGCGCCAGCAGATTGCTGCCAGATCTTCTGTGCAACGCTGATAACCTCGGCCAGCTCAGGTGACAAGTCGACCCAGACCCCAGCTCCGGTTTGATTCACTCTGGAGAGTTCGGAATCCGGCAGATAAGTCGACATCGCCGCATTGATCTGCAGCAGCAGGTCCGCCACCTCCACCTGTTTGACCTGACAACTCTGGCTGTTTTTAACATCGTGCCACTGTATGGCGTACATTGTGCCCATTGTGGGGCCGCTGAACTGGCCGCTTTGTGGTTGTTTGCTGCAAGCGACTGACAAGCTCAACAAAAAAAGCAATATCCAGCGGCTGGCGCCAGTTTTTTGACGGCGGTTTGCCGATCCAGAGCAATCAAAAGGTAACGTCACAACAAAATCTCACAAACCCAGCGAGAAAAGCTCAGATCGCGACTGGTTTTAACGTCGCAGATGGGCACAATACTGCGTTATATAAAAAATTGCCGCGTAACTAAGTATTATGCGGCTGACCAAGGAGAACACGACCCGTGCATTCAGACAAGCACGCTGCGCGAAGTGGGTTACACGTCACGCCGGCGTTGGGTATGCGCACCGTAAAGGCACCCAGACCCGGTGCCTGCGCGCGACCGCTCGCCTATCAGGCACTGCGTCGACCCGCGCTGCAACCAGGTCATTTTGTGAATCTGACCATCTAGATGTCTTCACGCTGGTTTGCCCCGCTGTTAATTGCTGCGGCCGTTCTGGGCTGGCTGATGGCCACGCTGTTTGGCGATGTCGGCTGGTTGCAGACCACCACAGCGATCCTGCAGAACAGCTTCCTCGCGGCATTACGCATGATCATCGTGCCATTAATCTTTTTCTCTCTGCTGACAGGGGTACTGCAGCTGCGTGGTACTCGATCAATGGGCCGACTTGGCGGCGTCACTGTGTTGTATTACAGCGCAACCTCCGCCATCGCCATCGGCATCGGCCTGACCGTGGTATTTTTCATCCACCCCTGGACCGCCTACCCGCCCCTGGCCGATTTACCGGAAATGACCAGCGGCTTAATCGCTCAGGACCAGGGCGGCGCTATGGCGCTGATCGGCAACCTGCTGCAATCCATGCTGGTCAATCCGTTTACGGCTCTGGCAGAAATCAACATTTTAGGTGTGCTGACGACCGCGCTCATTTTTGGCCTCGCGGCAGCGTTTACGCTGCCCGAAGATTCACATTGGCCGAAGATGCTGGATGAGATGACAAAAGTTGTCTACACCTGCGCCCGCTGGGTATTAACCACCCTGCCGATCGGTATGTTTGCCATCACCTTCCAGTTGACCGGCAGGATTGATCTGGCAACACTGACATCACTGGGTCAGTTTGCGCTGGTGGTGTTTGGCGCTACCGCTCTGCATGGGCTGGTGATCCTGCCAACCATTGCCTGGGTGTTTGGCAATGTTTCCCCTATCAGGCTGGCCAAAGCGTTGGCGCAACCCATGCTTACCGCGTTTATCACCTCCTCCAGCGCCGCCACCCTGCCTCTGTCCATGACCACTGCAGAGGAAAAACTCGGCGTCGAGCGCAGCAAGGCTGCCTTTGTATTGCCTCTGGGCGCCACCATCAACATGGATGGCACCGCGCTGTTTGAAGGCATCGCGGTGATTTTCCTGGCCTATATGTTCAGCGTACCCATCGACGCAGGCAGCGTTGTGATGGTGTTTCTGATCACCATGCTGGCCTCTGCCGGTGCGCCAGGCATACCGTCGGGGTCCATGGCAGGTCTGCAGGTTGTACTGCTGGCGGTTGGCATTCCCCTGGAGGCGATCGGTTTGCTGTTACTGATTGAACGACCGCTGGACACCTTCCGCACCGCCGTGAATGTTGAAGGCGATCTGATTGGCGCCATCATTGCGCAACGCTGGAGTTAACCGACGGTGAGCACACGCTTGTTACTGCTACGTCATGGTCTTATCAAAGCCAACAGAGACGGCCGCTGGCACGGCTCTACCGACAGCCCGTTGACCTGGACTGGCAGGCGCCAGGCGAAACGCACCGGGCGTCACCTGTTAGCCAATGAAAAAATCCACGCGGTTTATTCATCTCCCCTGCAACGCTGCATGGACACGGCTAAATTTGCCAGTGCCGGAACTAACCTGACGGTGCAGCCCATCGCGGGGTTAGCCGAAATGTCTATCGGCGAATGGGAAGACACTTCTTTCAAAGAACTCAGTGAACACCACGATTTCATCAATCGTTCAACCACCGACATTCACTACACAGCACCCGGCGGTGAAAGCCTGGCGGTTGTTGCCCAGCGGGTCACTGAAGCGATGCTGCAGATAGACCAGCAACACGAACCAGATGAAACAATACTTGTGGTCAGCCATGGTGTGGCTTTAGCTGTGGCTCTGGCGGTTTTTCTGGAAGCCTCACCGTCACGCTGGATCAACTACCACTTCAACAATTGCAGCCTTTCCGAAATGGTCCTGACTCCAGAACCGGTAGTACATCGGTTCAATGAGTCTGCACATCTCTAGGCTGCCGGGGTAAAGTAAGCAAAACCAACGCCTGGAGGGGACATGACCGAATTCTGCATCGTAGATAAATCCAATCACATAATGACCGTGCGCTTGAATCGACCTGATCGACTGAATGCACTGCATCCACCAGCCAACGCTGAACTCGGCGAAGTATTTGATGATTTTGCTGCGGATAGTGACATGTGGGTGGCGATCATCACTGGCGAGGGCCGCGGTTTCAGCGCGGGTAACGACTTACGCTACCAGGCGGAAGGCGGTGAACGCGTGCCCATGCCGCGCGGTTTTGGCGGCTTAACTTCTCGATTTGATCTGAGCAAACCGGTCATCGCCGCAGTTAACGGTGTCGCCATGGGCGGCGGATTCGAAATTGCGCTGGCATGTGACCTGATCATTGCTTCGGACAAAGCCCGTTTTGCGCTGCCTGAGCCCAAAGTTGGCCTCGCTGCACTGGCCGGCGGCCTGAATCGACTGCCTCGACAGATAGGACCAAAACGTGCCCTGGGCATGATTCTGACCGGTCGCCACGTTGCCGCAGAAGAAGGCGAAAAACTGGGTTTCGTGAATGAAGTTGTGCCTCATGATGAGCTCATGTCGGCTGCGCTACGCTGGGCGAATATGATTACGGAGTGTGCACCGCTGTCGATCCGGGCAAGCAAAGATGTGGTTTATCGAAGTCTCGACAACCCTTCTTTAGAGGCATCCATGAAGGCTAAGTATGATTCGGTACAGAGCATGGTCACCAGTGAAGATTTCATCGAGGGACCAAAAGCGTTTGCTGAGAAACGCCCGCCCAACTGGCAGGGACGTTAGGAATTAACCACCAATGCCTGAGCGGCAACAATGGCATCGGCGACTACGGCAACCGCGAGACAGATATCGTTGAGCGTTTCCGTTTCGCCGCGCTTGGACATTTCAGTCACAATTTCGGTCTGCGGAACGGTCACGTGCAACAGGTCCGGCGTGACTGCAAATTGCCCACTGTAATATCGTGATCGTCCCATTGAGTTATCTCCGCGTCTGCATAAGCTTGTGTATTAAGTCATCGACCTATCTCGTCATGGCTTTAATACAAATTTAGTGCCAGAGGCGTAAATATTTCTAACCGATTGATTTTATTAGATATATTTTTTATTTTTTATGACACCTCCGGCACTGCCCGGGTGTCGCAAAACGTCACAGAAGTGGCAAAAACCGATTAACTGAGTAACTAGGAGTCATAACGTGCTGAAGGTCACACATAAGGATCTGATTGCTGCCGCCCTTGCAGAAGTAGACACCCTCGACATTGACGATGCTGTTGCCCTGCTCGATCAGGAAGACATCGTATTTGTAGATATCCGCGACCCGCGCGAACTGGAACGCGAAGGTAAGGTGCCCGGCGCGGTGCATGCGCCTCGCGGTATGCTGGAATTCTGGGTGGACCCCACCTCACCGTATTACAAAGAGGTTTTCGGCTCGGATGCTAAGTTTGTGTTCTATTGCCAGAGCGGCTGGCGTTCTGCTCTGGCCACCAAGGCTGTTCAGGATATGGGGCTCGAAAACGTCACCCATATCGGTGAAGGCTTTCGCGGCTGGAAAGATGCTGGCGCCCCAACCGAAGATGTCACGCCTCGCGGCTGAGCACGGTTCATGAACGCCCTCATCTATCTGCTCGCTTTTACTGGCGGCTTTGTCATCATGTCGATGGAGTTACTCGGTGGACGTGTCCTTGCACCCTACTTTGGCAGTAGTTCTCACGTTTGGGGCAGCATCATTACTGTCTTCATGTTGTCGCTGTCACTGGGTTATCTGATTGGTGGCCGCTGGTCGGTGAATCAACCCAATCTATTGCGCTATGGCAGCATTTTTTTCTTTGGGGCGCTGTTGATGTATCCCGTTGTGTTGTTCGCAGAACCGACCATGCAATGGATATTTAGCGCGATCGAAGACCCGCGCTACGGTTCTCTGTTAGCGTCGACAATTCTCTTCACGGTACCCACCGTTATCCTCGGCATGATCTCCCCTTACTCCGTTCGCTTGCTTGTCCGAAATGTCGAGAGTTCAGGTCAGGTTGCCGGGCGGTTGTATTTTGTTTCGACCTTAGGTAGCGCGTTAGGCACGCTATTCACATCATTCTATTTTGTCCTGCTTTTTGAAGTGAACAGCATTCTCATGATGTTGACGCTTGCCCTGATCAGCATGTCTATCATTGCAGTTATCTGCCACCGCAAAGGTATGGGAGCACAAAACACGTGAACCGACGTCTTGTCATAATTGCATTAAGCGCATGGATCAGTGGTGTACTTTATGCGCCCGCCTACGCAAAAATTCTTCACGAAGAACGGTCGCTGTACAGCCAGCTGATTGTCAAAAAAATCGGCAACACGATATGTCTGCAATTCAACGTCCGTAGCGACCAGCGAAATCAAAGCTGCATCGATCCAAGACGCCCTAAAGAAATGGTGTTTTCCTATACTCGAATGAGCATGGCCAGCCTGTTATATGTCCAGCAGCCCAGCAACATCCTGGTTATCGGGCTGGGTGGTGGTACCTTGCCAACCGCTTTCCATCAGCTTTACCCCGACGCGCATATTGACACAGTCGAGATAGACCCTGCTGTAGTGAAAGTGGCTGAAGAATTTTTTGGTTTCCGCCCCGCTGATAACCTCAAAGTGTATACAACCGATGCAAGGGTGTGGACGAAACGGGCTCTAACACGCGAGCGGCGTTACGATTTGATTATCCTGGACGCATTTAATGGCGAGTACATACCGGAACACTTAATGACCATGGAATATCTGGAAGAAAACAGACAGTTACTGAGCCCGAAGGGCACGTTGATTGCTAATACTTTTGCGCAGAGCGATCTCTATCATGCGGAATCGGCGACGTACGCCAGCGTCTTCGGTGACTTCATTAACTTCCGAGTTCCCGAAAGCGCTAATCGTGTCATTATCGTGCCAGGCGAGAATTTGTCAGAAGATGATCTGAGCTCACGCGCTGAATTGCTGGCAGCTCCTCTGCGTCCCTATTCAGTACCCATCAAACGTTATGCAAAGATCATTGCTGAGCAAATGGACGACGCACCGGATTGGCGGGCCAGAACACGTGTTCTGACCGACCAGTTTTCTCCTGCGAACTTGTTGAAAGAAAAGTAAGCATCCGCCTTGCGGTAAAATGTCTACTTGCCTGCAGCCGCCCAATACTCGTCTTTCAGTAACCGCTTATACAGTTTACCGGTCGGATGCCGCGGTAACTCCGGCCGAAAATCAATGCTTCGAGGACACTTCACGTGAGACAGATGGTCACGACAGTAGTCCATTAGTTCAATTTCCAGCACGGCGCTGGCTTCGTTCATATCAGCCAGCTGCACCACCGCTTTCACCTCTTCTCCGAAGTCCGGGTTCGGTACCCCAAATACGGCTACGTCGATCACCTTGTCGTGATTGATCAACACGTTCTCCGCTTCCTGCGGATAGATGTTAACGCCGCCAGAAATGATCATGAAATGTTTGCGATCGGTGAGGTACAGATAGCCATCTTCGTCCAGATAGCCTACGTCGCCTAACGTGCTCCAACCTTTTGTGTGTCTCGAATCAGCCGTTTTATCTTTGTCTTTGTAGTACTCAAACTCTCCGCCCCCGGCGAAGTAGATCGTGCCCGATTCTCCTGCAGGGACATCGTTGCCCTCATCGTCACAAACATGAATTTCGCAATTCAGCGGTTTACCTACGGAGCCTTTGTGCGCCAACCACTCTTCAGAGTTCAGTTGTACAAAACCGTTACCTTCAGTACCGGCATAATATTCATAGATCACCGGCCCCCACCATTCAATCATGCGTTCCTTGATAGGGATGGGACAGGGTGCCGCGGCGTGGATGGCGCATTGCAGTGACGAAACGTCATATTTCAACCGCACTTCTTCAGGCAGCTTTAACATGCGTACAAACATGGTCGGCACCCACTGACTGTGGGTGATTTTATAAGTTTCAATACACTCTAACGCGTACTCTGCTTCAAAATGCTGCATGACAACCACCGGTATGCCGTTGCGTAGACACGTCATGGTGAAGCCCAGAGGCGCAGCGTGATAAAGCGGCGCGGGTGACAGGTAAATAGAATCCTGGGTTGCGCCATACAATGCCGTCATCACCGGCAACCCTTCCACGGTGCCGTAGGGTTCTTCCGGGAGCGGCCTTTTGACGCCTTTTGGGTAACCTGTGGTACCCGAGGAATACAACATCGATGCACCTTCGCTCTGGTCAGCAATAGGTGTGGTTGGCTGACTGGCAATTGCCTCTTCAAAAGACTCAAAGCCTGCAATCGTGCCATCGAGCATGTAACGCGCCTGCAGGTCCGGCAAGGCTTCTATCAACGGTTGTGCAACATCTTTGCGCGCCGCCGAAGTAATGAATACTTTTGCTTCGCAGTTGCTGACGATGTACTCCACTTCCGCCGGCTGCAATCGCCAGCTGATGGCTGTGTAATACAAGCCCGCCCGTTGCGCAGCCCAGCAGATCTGGTAAAAACTGACGTGATTTTCAAGCAGCAACGCGATGTGGTCGCCACGCTGCAGACCCAGCGAGCGGAACAGGTGCGCGGCCTGATTGGCTTTGGCTTCTAACTCTGCGTAAGTTACCACTTCGCCAGTTTCAGCAATTATGTAGGCGGTTTTATCCGGTGTCCTGGCGGCTATATCAGCGGGATTCATAAGTACTCCTCTTACTCAGCGTCACTGTCTGCGTCATTTGGATCAAGCTTCAACGATGCTGAATTCATACAGAATCGCAACCCGGTAGGTTCAGGGCCATCTGGAAAGACATGGCCCAGATGGGCATCACACGTGGCACAGTTCACTTCGATACGGCGCATGCCCATACTGACGTCTTCATGGGTGGTAACAACGTCACCATCGATGGGTGCATAAAAACTTGGCCAGCCACTGCCTGAATCGTACTTGGTGGCCGAATCGAACAACGGCGTGTCACAACATCTACAGTTGTACAGCCCGGGAGTTTTAGTGTCGTTATACACACCGGTAAAGGCGCGTTCCGTACCAGCACGTCGAGTTATCTCAAACTCTTCCGGGCTGAGCTCCTGACGCCATTCGTCGTCAGTTTTAACCACTTTAGCCATCTTCTCCTCCTAAACTACACTGCAATTATGGATGTTATGATAGTGTGCGCGTGCGCCCAAAGGAACGGGTGCAGGCGGTAATTATACCCACATCCGGCGGGTAAGCCGGAGCGTTATGGAATTCGATATGAGTTTGGATAAGGTCACCCCCATTACACCCAGCCCAACGCGCTTGATCAGAAAGTCGACCAAGCTGGAAGAGGTCTGCTACGACATACGAGGGCCGGTGCTCAAAGAAGCATCACGCCTTGAGCAGGAAGGTCACAAAGTATTAAAACTCAACATTGGCAACCCGGCGCCATGGGGTTTTGATGCACCGGAAGAGATCCTCCGTGATGTAATCCGCAATATCCCTGCTTCCCAGGGTTACAGCGATTCCAAAGGCATCTATTCTGCCCGCAAAGCGGTCATGCAATACAGCCAGCAGATTGGCATCAAAGATGTCGATATCGAAGATATTTATATCGGCAATGGTGTTTCCGAATTAGTGGTCATGGCCATGCAGGCCCTGGTTAACGATGGCGATGAGATCCTCATTCCTGCGCCGGATTTCCCGTTGTGGAGCGCCGCGGTTAATTTATGTGGCGGCAAGCCGGTTCACTACCTTTGCGATGAAACAGCAGACTGGCAGCCTGATCTTGCTGACATCCGCAGCAAAATAACCTCAAAGACCAAAGCCATGGTGGTGATTAATCCCAACAACCCGACAGGCGCGGTTTACTCGCGTGAAGTGTTGCAGGGTCTGATCAACATCGCCAAAGAGTTTGACCTGGTTGTGATGGCGGACGAAATCTACGACAAAATTGTTTACGACGACGCCGAATATATCGCCATGGCCTCGCTGACAGATGATCTGCTGATGCTGACGCTGTCTGGCCTGTCAAAATCCTACCGGGTAGCCGGTTTTCGAACAGGTTGGCTGATTGTCAGTGGCGCAAAATCTCGTGCTCAGGATTATATCGAGGGTCTCGAGATTCTCTCGTCGATGCGTTTATGCTCAAACGTTCCCACACAACACGCTATACAAACTGCTTTAGGCGGTTTCCAGAGCATCAAGACGTTAACCGCACCCGGTGGACGCCTGTACGAGCAGCGTCTGGTTGCATGGGAAAAACTCAACGAAATCGACGGCATCACCTGTGTGAAACCGAAAGGTGCGCTGTACCTGTTTCCAAAACTTGATGTGAAAAAATTCAACATCAAAGACGATGAGCGGTTCGTTCTTGACCTGCTGCAGCAGGAAAAAGTGCTTGTTGTTCAAGGCAGTGGCTTCAACTGGCCTGAACCAGACCATTTTCGGATTGTCTTTTTACCTTATGAAAAAGATCTTAATGAAGCTATTGGTCGTATCGGGCGGTTCCTGGGCAACTACCGACAATAATGGCCGGCATTCACATTGATGAATTCTATGCTGATGCGGCGCAAATCATTGTCAGCCTCTACGGTGTTTTCCCGCGTCCGGTTACAATTTTTGTAGAAGATATCTGCGGTCCCGACGAGCCGGATGAGTATGGCGTACACAGCCATCGTCACCTGGCCTGTTTTGCAACGCTGCTGTGGCTCGCTGAAGAAGGTTATATCCGCTACAAGGAGACCATTCGACAGGAAGCCATAGACCAGGTTGTCCTGTCAGGCCGCTGTTTTACAGCCTTGTTAACCCCTGCGCCGGAAATTGCGGAAGAAGAAGATTCTGATTTGCCACCCAGCATCAAAGCTGAACACGCAACCGTTATTTATCGCTTGAGCCAGGCGTTAAAAAGCCGGGCTTCGGTAGAAGTACAAGCCGCTTTCACACCCCTGCTACATCGCATGGCTCAAGGCTGATAGCGATAGTCGAGCACTTTCAGACCACGGTCGGAATAAGCTTCCGGGAAGTCAGGGTGAGCGGCAAAGGTTGCCTGGTGTTTGCAGGCTGGCGCCCACCTGGACATCTGGTTCACCAGGAAATCAGCGTTTAAGAACGGTGAATTCAAACAAGCGATTATACGAGCACCCGGAGCCGCAAACTCCGGAATACGTTTCAATATCTGCGCATAGTGCTTTTCTGCAACAAAACTGCCACGTTGATTGGTGGGTGGGTCAATGATGACAACATCATAAGGCCCATACATCCTGATCTTCTTCCACGCCTTAAGCACATTGTGCGCCAGCATTTTCACCTGCCGCATATCCTGCTGGTTGGCCTGATGATTACGTCGACCGATATTCAACATGTTGGCGTTCATGTCGTTGTTGACAACCAGCTGCGCCCCGTGGGCTAGAGCTGAAACTGAAAACGCACAGGTATAAGCGAACAGATTCAGCACTTTTGCATCAGGCATGGATGTCTGCAGCGCTTTGCGCACATGGCCCATATCAAGAAACAGACCCGTATTCTGATTGCGCGTCGGTGCTATCCAGAACGACAGGCCATCTTCTTTTACCAGGTGTTCCCCGGGTACCTGACCGAGGACAACCTCGGTTTGCGTATTACGACCGGAACGATGTTGCACCACAACACCGTCAATAGTGTGGCCGCTGTTAACCAGCACAGCCACCAACTGATCCAAAGCTGACTGATCCACTTCATCATACAAAGCGATATGAATATAAGGTGGGTAATAAGTCACCACAACATGTTCTAAACCTGGGAACGTATGGCCTCGACCATGAAACAGTCGCCTTGCGTTTCCGGAATGATCCAGATTGAGCTTCTCTGCACAGACATCAGCGACCCGTTGTAGGTTATTCAAGTTGATTGGCCAGACGGTAAAGGAGGCAGTCCTGATAGCCGGTGACAATTTCAACCAGGCCACTCAACTGATGATCCAGGAAATGGTCACCCGTATCCAGCAGCAGCGGCCGCTGTTCGAGGCTGGCCAGCTTGGTACGTGTACCTACAATGGTGACATCCTGGGGCCAGTGCAGCTGCTGCAGAAACATTGCAGATATCTGTTGATTGCCACGCCCGAATAAAAATCCCTGGCCGCGAGTGAAACTGACTATCAGGTGTTTCACCGCCAGCGACTGCAAGACATCCGCTCCGACATCCGTCAACCACTGGCCCTCATGGGTATAAACATCCACGCCACGCAGGGTGAGCTGATCAGGTTTATGAGGGGTTTTGCTGAGCGCTTGTTTTATCGCCATACAGGTACTTCCGGGCCCCAGCACCAGATCGCAGTCCACAGGCAATCCGGGCAGCAGTTCTGCCACAACATGAGCCACAATGTCCTCTACAGCCAGAGGCTCACTTTCCTTACCGCCGATTTTAGTCTGCTGCAGGTAGCCACCCGCTTCGGGTACCCGCAACTCCCCGTAAGTACGCAGCCGTATTTCCGTTTCGCCACCCTGATCATCGTAATCACGAACTGTCCGAAGTACGGGTGCTACCAGCCCCCCAGTTACCAGTTGCGCCAGCAGTAGCGCGGCTGTACGCGAGGACACTGCAAACACGCCACTGTGCATTTTCACCCCCGCAGGCACACCCAGCACGGGCACCTTATCGCCAACCGCATGCAGAACATCCCGCGCGGTGCCATCTCCGCCAATAAAAACAAGTAAGTCCACATTGCCGACCAACATCTCTGCGCAGGCGCGCAGATCAGCTGCAGTCGTCTGCTCACCCACAGCACATGGCAATGTTTCGTAGGGCAAGCCAGCCTGGCAAAGCAGCGTTTCACCCAGCGGACCTGGGCCCGTAACCCACATGACCCGTTTATCTTCCGGTAGTGCCGTCTGCAGATGCATCAGGAAATCCGCACACCGTTGTGGTGCCTGAGGAACGCCACCGCGCTGTTTCGCTTGCGCCTGAAGGTCCGCGCCGTCGCTGCCTTTCAATCCAACGCTACCGCCGATGCCTGCAATTGGATTGACCAGTAAACCGACGCGCAAGGCGTTCATTGGACTTGAGATGCGACCTCCTGGGCAATCGCCAGAGAAGCGGTCAAACCCGGAGATTCAATACCCAACAGATTAATCCAGCCTGACACACCATGGGTCCGGGGGCCTTCAATACGAAAATCCTGGAAGCCGCCTTCTGGCGGTGCAATTTTGGGTCTGATGCCGGTATAGCTTGGATGCAGGCGTTGTTCGTCCAGCGTTGGGTAGTAGCTGCGAATGGCCGTGACAAAATCGTCAAAATGACTTTCATCAAAGCTGTAATCCAGCGTATCTATCCAGCGCACATCAGGACCAAACTTTATCTGTCCGGCCAGATCCAGAGTCACGTGCACACCCAGCCCGCCCGTCTGCGCAACCGGGTAGACCAAACGCGAGAAAGGTTGCCGGCCGCTATAAGCGTAGTAGTGGCCTTTGGCGTAATAAGCCCTGGGGGCGTTCGGTGTGCCTGCCGCCAAACCTGGTGCATGCAGTCCGGCACAGTTGATAAACCAGTCTGCCTGCAGCTCAAAATCCGCAGTTATTACCTGCAGGGCCTGTGAGGATGTCTGTTGTTGTGCCGGCGCACGCGGTCTTCGCACTTCAAGGACTGGGGTTTGAAACGCAATCATGCCCCCGCAGCGTTCCAGTTCGCCCTGCAGAGACAACATGTACGCATGGGAATCGATGATCCCGGTTGAAGGGGATAAAACCCCACCAACACAGGCAACTTCTGGTTCAAGCTCTGCCAGCTCAGCCGCAGACAACCAGGACAGATCATCCACGCCATTGGCAGCTGCCTTGTCGATATACCCTTGCACCGTATCTATCTGTGTCTGGTCTGCAGCAACAATGACTTTGCCACACTGCTTGTAAGGCACGTCAAACTGATCGCAGTGGCGGTACAACAGCTGTTTGCCACGCACACAGAGATCCGCTTTACGGGATCCCTGCGGGTAATAGATGCCTGCATGAATGACTTCAGAATTGCGCGAACTGGTTTCACTGCCAATACAATCGTGCTGTTCCAGCACAACAACCTCGCGGCCTGCCCGCGCCAGTTCAGCAGCTACGGCTAAACCGACAACGCCAGCGCCCACCACAACACATTCTACTTTATCCAACGGCAGACCTCCGCGGCGAACAGGCGCGGCGCAGGGCCTGTTCGAACTGGTGGGCACGCTGGTCGCTACTATTGTGCATCCACTGCCTTACCTGACTGCGATGTTCTGCCAACTGCTGGCGGAATTCATTCAAATCAACCCCTATCTGGTCTGCGCTGGGCACAAACTCAAGCCCCGCCGCAGCACAGAACAGCGCCTCAAGACCCTGCACCTTCAACTCTGCGGCAAAAAAGGCCGCCTGTGCCGCAGGCGTTCGGGGTGGCTCTATATAGACATAGCCAAAGTCCACCTGGGTTCTGCGTGCAGAACCTGCCACACACCAGTGGGCCGTTTCATGCAACGCGCTTGCGGCAAAATTTTCTCGATAATATAACCGATGGGTCTCGTGTTCAGCTTCAGCCGGTTGATAAAGCGGTTCAGCCGCACCACCAACCAATTGCGTTGCGTGCGACCGGTGAAAACATCGAGTGAATACAGCCACAATGTCTAAATCAGTCATGCAGCGGATGTCCGTGCAGTTGCTGCAGATAACCCTGGCTTAAGTACACTTCGCCGGCCAGAAGATGCGCCATGTAAGCTCTTGGTGGCCGCAGACCAGCGATTTTCACGGCCGGGTTGGCAAAATAGGTCCATGCCCAGGTTGTATTCTGGCCCTGCCGGATGGCTACAACTTCGCGCCCGTAATTCCACGGGGCGCGCTCAAACGGGTCCATCTTCAATATGTCATCTGGGTGGGCGAGTTCGTACAACACGCCTTCAACAACACTGTGCCGATCGAATTCAATATTCGCATGGCCTACGCCGTTATGGTCCCTGGACATCTTGTTGAACAACAAGCGGAACCCTTTTAGAACACCAGCCTGAGCACCCAGCACAGACAAGCCTCGGTCGGCGACCCGTGCGGGATTCATGTTCGAACCATAAGCAAAATAATGTCTCACTGCCTGTTGCGTCATGAGGCGTTTTTTTTGATCCAGAACTGCAGCACTTCTGTCTCCGTCTGGGCACACATCAGTTCATGGCCCATAAACCGGCAGAAATTCGCAAAATCACGGTGCGTTGACGGGTCCGTTGCTAATATATGCACTATTTCGCCGTCCTGCATTTCGCGAACGCGATTGCGGAGCAGCATAAGCGGTTCCGGGCATAACAACCCTTGCGTGTCGAGTTCGATATGACTGTCCAATTACAGTTCCTGAGCATGTGGCAGCTGTGCATGTTAAGACAGAAGCACACCCATGTGGAGGTCTTTGCACAACCCTTGACAGGTTGCCACAGGCTCACCAGACTCGAACTGAATCGACAGGTTGTGGTCCAAAGGAAAGCCAGACGTAGTCACTTGTGAGATCGCCCGGAAAAACCTATATCAAGATGAACCTGTATCCTTCTAAAGCCTGTCTGCTGGGACTCCTGAGCTGGTCAATGGCCAGCTTCAGCTACGCTGAGCGTGCGCCCGCTTCCTACGTGTCTGACAGTCCTGCGATGCCCGCCCTGATTGAACCAGGCTCCGCTGACGACACCGCTTATGGGTTCCTGAGCCAGCAGATCGCCAGCGGTGAAGCTGATGATGCAGCGGACGTGCTGGAGAATACGGTGAACCAGATCGAAGCTATCCATCATCGCTACCATGAAGATCTGATCGTTCCGTTAACTTTGCTGGGCGACGCCAGAATGGCCCAACAGGATTTTGATGCTGCCTTGGACCTTTACACACGTGCCCGCCATGTGGCACGCGTCAGCCATGGTTTGTTTGATACCCGCCAGCTGGCTGTGGTGTATCGAGAAGCAGACGTTCTGATCGCAGCCGGCGATCTTCAGTCCGCAGCGAAGCGTGAAGAGTATGCCTATGAGGTAATGCGCAAGGCTTATCCGAATTATGACCCAGCGACCCTGCCAGGGCTGATGCGGTTAGGCGATTTCTATTTAAATACGTTTAATTATCTGTCTGCGCGGGCCATTTACAACGCAGCGATGAACGTGCACAGCAGCAACCAGACTGATTTCTCACTCGAAGCGATACCCGCACTTCGTGGTATTGCAATTTCTCATCGCCTGGAACGGTTTCCGCCAATTTATATCGCCAATCCGGATCAAAGTAGTTTAGACGGCCCTACCCCGGGACTACGATCACCAGAATTTGATCGGCAACAAATGGTTTTCAATAATTTCCCTGCAGGCGAAAAAGCCCTGCAACAGATCATTGAGATACACCGGCGCCAGGAACCCGAAAATCGAGCGGAGACCCTCAAAGCCATTATTGAGCTCGCCGACTGGCACCTCATCTTTGGCCGCAGCAATATGGCAAACACACTCTATTCGGATGTGTACAGACAGATGCTGGATTCCGGCGCTGATGCGGCCTCTTTTTTTGCGCAACCAACGCTCATCTATCTGCCAATGCCCGAAAACCCCCGTCCCCCTCCAGCGGATATGCGTGCAGAACCAGCGGACGGCCTGGTTACCCTGTCCTTTGATGTGGCACCAACCGGACGGATACGCAAACTGGTGACCGTCGACAGCCAGCCCGAAAAGCTGATGGACTTCCGGGTCCGGCGCAGTATGAGACTTGCTGTTTTCAGACCGCAGCTGATAGATGGTCTGCCGGTGGTGGCAGAGGCGCAGACTTATACCCACGAATTCCGGTATTTTCCGAAACTGGATCCTACCGCGGCTGTGATTAATCCCGCCTCACCAACGCCAACAGAAGAATCATGAAACGCAACAATCTACTTATCGCTTTTGCATGCAGCGCGGTGGCCCTGGCGGGCTGTGCGCCAATTACACCACTGCCCGGAGGCATGCCAGCACCGATTCCACAACCGCCCTCAGCCGGTGGTGCACCCAGCACCCCCAGTGGCACACCGCCTTCACTACCCGGCGGGTCACCTTCTTTACCAGGCGGTCAGCAAGGCGAGCAATCGGGCAGTGAACCCAGCGGTGAACAGGGCGGCCAACAAGGCGGTCAGCCGTCTTCTGACAGTTCCGGCGGGTTACCTGGCGGCGAAATGCCCGGAGGACAACCCGGCGGCATGCCCGGCAGTACAGATCCCAACAGTTCCCCCGATGGTCAAACTTCGGTACCCACCTGGGACGTTGAACAGGGCGGCGCCCAGGGCGAAGAAGGCTCCGAATCAGGGGGAAGTCCAGGCTCGCCTGGCGGACAAGGCACTGGCGAGGATGGATGGGAAACATCTAACGAGATACCCGGCACGCCAGGCAGCGCAGACGGTGAAAGTGGCGAGGCCGGCAGTGGTCAGGCTGGCGCACCTGGCGAAGAAAACGGCGGAACACCCAGTGGCGATGATGAATTAGACGGAGCGCTGAAAGACTTCGATGGTGAGATTCTCGCTGAGCGTGAAATTATTTCCAGCAGTCAGCCGGGAGATGCGCAAGGTGGTGGTGGCGCATCGACCCTGCCTTCCGGTTCTGAAAGCCAGGGACAGGGCAGTGGTGGCGACGTTGCCAGCACCAGCGGCCCACTGCCACCGCGACGCCAGATTCCCTCGGCACCACCCCCGCCACCCCGCAGCGGCGAATCCGGGCCTGAAAATTTGCCCGACGCCAGGGACGACGACATCATTGCAAGGCAGTTGCGTGAAGCCGCCATGCAGGAAACTGATCCAGAACTTAAAGAGAAGCTCTGGGATGAATATAGAAAGTATAAAAAGGGTTAACGGATCACGACTTCATGAATAAATCCAGGATGTTCCACCTCAGGTCAGTAAACGTTTTGGCGCACCCGCTACTGACGTTGGCGCTGCCTGCCCTGCTACTGCTGGGCGGCTGCGTTAACCATACAACGCGTATTGTTGACATGACGCCTCCTGAACAATCAGAACGCTATCTCGACGAAAATGAATTGTTGGACGTTGGTATCAGCATCTTCGACGCGAACGTGCCTGAAGACTATGACGAACGGATCGAAGAGATCATCCTGCCGGAAGTGCGCCGCGCAGAATCACAATACGTACCCTTTTTCGCCAAAAACCTGCTGCAATCGACGGGCAACTGGGGCGCCGTAAGGGTTGTCCCACGACCAACCCACGCGGTTGACATTATGGTGACCGGCACCATTGTGCATTCCAATGGTGAAAGCATGATCATCGAAGCCACGGTATCCGATGCCACCGGCGAGCAGTGGTTCAGCCGCGAATACTCTGCGCTGGCCAGCAAATACGCTTATGAAGAAGGCATGCCGGAAAGCATTGATGCATTCCAGGCGGTGTATAAAAATCTGGCGGATGACATGTTGGCCTATCGTCAGGGTTTGAGCCCGGCCGACATTGAGCGCATCCGTAAAACCGCCGAGCTGAAATTTGCACGGGAGTTTTCCCAGGAGGCCTTCGCGGACCATGTTGTTAAGAATGAGGACGGACAGTTCGAGATCGTCCGCTTGCCGGCAGAAAACGACCCCATGCTGGAGCGGGTCCGACGCGTACGGGAACGCGAGTATCTGTTTATCGACACCCTGGACGAATACTACTCCAACTTTCATCGACAGATGTACCCTGCCTACCAGGACTGGCGCCGCGCCAGTTACGATCAGGCAATTGCCTACCAGGAACTGAGAGCCCAGGCTCGATCAAGGATGATTGGTGGCACCATGGCGATCATCGGCGGTGTTGCTGCGATGTATGAAAGCAGTGACGCCTACGTCGACGCCAGCGGCATCGTCGGAGTCGTCGCCGGCGCAACGTTGATCACCAGTGCGGTACAGAAGCGACACGAAGCAGAGCAACAGGCTGACCGATTGAGGGAATTGGGCAGCGCTGCTGAAGCTGAGTTGGTCCCCACCACTATTGAACTGGAGAACCAGACGCTACGGTTGCAGGGTAACGTTGACCAGCAATATACAGAGCTGCGCCGTATTCTGAAGCGCGTCTACTTTGAAGACCTTGGCCTTGAGCCACCCCAGGCAAACGATATTCCACAATGACAGTAGAATCTGACGATATTATTGAATCGCGTCAGGCGCCGCTGTCGCATCTGCAGGAAAAGCAGGACAAACATGCCCTGCAGGATGTCCTCGGCTTATTGGACTGGCGGGGTTACACCACCGCCGCCGTCGTCCTTGTGGTGCTGATCGGGGCTTTCTACTGGTTGCCGCAGCGGATTGTCGAACCCAATAATACCCAGGCAGCTACAGCCAGCAGTGTCAGCGACAATGCACCCGTGCCGACAACAGACAACAACGCTTTAGCGCCATTTGCTGACGCGCAACAGGCCCGCGCCAGAGAAAAGGTTCAGCAGGCGTTGGCTGAATTTGTTGAACGTCAAATTCTACTGGAGGACACCATGCAGGTGGATCAGTGGGGGGCGGATGCACTGGATGCGGCCATGATGCAGGCTAAAGAAGGTGATGGATATTTTGTTGACGAAGCGTACGACAGCGCGCTGGCCGCCTATCAACAGGCTGTTATCAGCATTGACGCGGTCATTTCTCAGGGCAACCAGTTGCATCGAGAATTTCTACACAACGGTGATGCTGCCCTGCTCGCGCTGGATCCAACTGCTGCAGAGGACGCTTTCAATCAGGCATTGACCATTAAACCCGACGATGCTGACGCAAAAACCGGACTGGCTCGAGCGCAGGGCTTGCCCGCCATTATCAGCATGCTTCGCAGCGCAAAGAATCATGAGTTGGGCGGCCGCTATGATGAAGCCCTGGCAATCTACAACGACATCGGACGACTTGATCCGCTCACCCCGAATCTGCCTGAGCTTCGCGCAGCAGCCAATGCCGCCAAGACCGGCGATGATGTTGCCTCACACATCAGTCGCGGATTCTCCGCATTACAAAGGCAGCAATTTGAACAGGCGCGCAGCGCCTTCAACGCCGCACTGAGCCTGGACAGCGACAATGCGGTTGCCAGAGGTGGGTTACAACAGGTTGCTGAACAGTACGACCTTGCGGTGATCAGCAAGCATCAGAAGAAAGCTGAACTGGCAATGGCGCAGGAGCAGTGGCTTGAAGCCGTGGATGCTTATCAATCAGTACTAAAACTGGACAAAAACATCCAGTTTGCGAAGCAGGGACTGGCCCAGGCTAAAGCACACGAAAAGGCTCAGCGTCTGATGACCCGGATCGTCAACGAACCTACAAAACTGTCAAACGAGAAGCTGTATCTCGACGCACAGACTATCGCTCAACAGGCACAACAACTTGAGTACGCCGGAGACGAACTGCAACGCCTGCAGCAGGAAGTCAACAAGCTGTTGTCTCTCTACGCAGACCCGGTCGACGTTATATTGCTGTCGGATAATGCAACCAACATTGTCATGTCTAATGTTGGAGAGCTGGGCTTGTTTGAACGCCGAACAATCAGCTTGCGGCCAGGCGCTTACACCATACGAGGCAGTCAGAATGGTTGTCGGGACATATTCCTGACCGTAGAAGTCCTGCCCGGCATAGAGCCTTTGGACGTACGTTGCACTGAAAACATCAATCGATGACCGGCGCCGGATGAGCAAAATCGAAGACCAAAATCCCGCCACACCCGGCCAGCACGAAGAAACCATTGAGCCCCGGGTTTTTGTGCCCAGCGACAGCAAACCCCGGCGAGCTCGCCTGGCACTATGGCAGATTGTGCTGCTCGCGTTCGCTGCCACCGCGGTGGCAATATTCTGGTTTCTTTTCACTTCCAAAAGCGTGTTACTGGATTTTCAACCACAAGCGGCTGAAGTCAGCGTCAGTGGCGGCTTCGCTTTTGAGTTAGGTGGCGTCTATCTTCTGCGCGAGGGTAAGTACGAGATTTCAGCACAAACACCACTTTATGAACCTCTGCAGGAGGCCATCCGTGTAGGATCTGAACGCAATCAGCGTATCGCACTTGAATTTGTACCCCTGCCCGGCTTTCTCACGCTACAACTGAGCCCAGCGGATGCCAGCATAGAAATTAATGGTCAGCCTGAACAGGTGACACCACGCCTCGAACTGGCCGCGGGGCAACACGAAATAACTGTCAGCCACCCCCGCTATATCTCCAACACCTTGACCGTGGTCATGCAGGGCAAACAAATCGAGCAGAGCGAGCGCATTGAGCTTGCGCCAAACTGGGCAGACGTCGCTGTCACAAGTCAACCTGCCGGCGCCAGCATCTGGATCGACAATCAACCTACAGGTCTGCAAACCCCAGCTACTATCGAAGCGCTGGCGGGCGAGCGAGAGGTCAGTATTCGCCTGGAAGGCTACAAAACTCATCGAGAGCGCATCTTTGCCCAGGCTGGTCTTGCACTTTCACTTGCCCCGGTCGATCTTGAGCAGGCGGACGCCGCCGTCACAGTGACGTCACGACCGCAAGGCGCAGGTGTCACCGTGAACGGCCGCTTTATGGGGCAAACTCCGCTGGAGCTCGACTTGAAGTCTGCGCAGCGACATAACCTGCAGATCATTCTCAATGGTTATGCCACCTTTAACCGGAGTTTGCAGCTTAAGCGTGGGGACATTCGCTCGGTGCATGCCGATCTGGTACGCCAGACTGGCGAAATTGTAGTTCGCTCACAACCCGCTGGCGCACTTTTAACCATCAACGGCAAACCTGCGGGCGCGGCAGACCAGGTTCTGACCCTACCGGTTGAACCCCACGATATATCTATATCGTTGGATGGCTATGCCGGCTACAGCACAGAAATTACGCCAAAAGCCGGCCTCGTCCAGGAAGTGAGGGTGCGACTCCTGACACTGGCTGAGGCGCGCCTGGCGGCGTTAACGCCATCAATAACCACGGCTGCCGGCCAGAACCTGAAGCTCTTTGAGCCGTTTGAGTTCCGTATGGGTGCCTCCCGTCGGGAACCCGGCAGGCGCGCCAATGAAACCCTGCGTGACGTCAAGATGACACGCCTGTTCTATCTTGCTACCCAGGAAGTCACCAACGCGCAATTTCGACAGTTCGCCAGCGGCCATGACTCTGGACTTTTCGAAGAGGTCAGCCTTAACGAAGACGACATGCCCGTTGCCTCTGTCAGCTGGAACGATGCCGCCGCTTACTGTAACTGGTTATCAGACAAAGACGGATTGCCGCAGTTTTACAACATGGAATTTGGCAAAGTAACCGGCGTCAATCTGCGCAGTACCGGTTATCGCATGCCAACAGAAGCTGAGTGGTCCTGGGCTGCACGAACCCAGCCTCGTACGAAGCAGGATCCTACCGACGTTTTACGCTTCCCCTGGGGCGACAATCTGCCGCCGCCAGACCGACACGGTAACTACGCTGATCGCGCGGCCTCCGCCCTGGTCGGTCGCGTTATTTTCGGTTACAACGACAACCACACAGCAGCCAGCCCGGTAGGCACCTTCAAATCAAATATCTACGGTCTCTACGATATGGGCGGCAACGTGGCTGAATGGACCAACGATTTCTATGAGATAGCCAGCGCTGACCCGGTCACTGATCCAGCCGGCCCCGCCAGCGGTGAGTATCGAGTCATCAAAGGCGCCAGCTGGATGCACGGCACCATCACAGAGCTACGTTATTCATTTCGTGACTATGGTATTGGCGGCCGCCAGGATTTAGGGTTCAGAATCGCAAGGTACGCAGAATGACAGACGTTATGAGAAGGACTGTGTTGAAGAGCCTGATACTTGTTGCTGTCCTGGCCAGCCAGGCCAGTTTCGCACAGGAACAATCTGAAGCTGACGCCAACGACACTCGGGCACAGACAGAGACCGAAGAAGCAGACACAAAAAACGCGCCCACAGAGCGTTCTGCCGAACAACAGAAAGACAAAGATCGTGATCGGGAAATTTTTCGACCCAGCGAGGAGATTTCAGAAGATTTTGCGGTCTCATTTCCAGTAGATATCTGAAACCCTTATACCCTTGCACGTGTATACAAAATTAAAACAAGACAGCCGACATGAATAAAAAATTACCATTTGAACTTATCTACCAGGTCAGCGCGCTGATCATCGCCGTGATTATTGTGCATCTTGTTTACGTCACCATTATCCGGCCTAACGCAGATGCAATCCTGCAACAGCAGGCGGAACTGGCGGCCAGCGGAGAACCATTTGTTCAGGACCGTTCGCTTTATGTTGTGCTACGGGATTACGAACAGGAGTCCTGTTTTATTCTGATGTTCTGGGCGATGGCGATCATGGGTTTGAAAGCGCGTTCAGCACTTGCGGAACGCAGCCTCCTGAATGAAAACTTTATTCAGGTCAGTGAGGGTGTGAGTATTCTGCCGGAGGACACCAGGGAATATACGCGGCCTTTGCAGGGGTTACCCGAGGCTTCACGAGAGAGCCTGTTGCCGCGTACCCTGCTTGCAGCCCTGCAGCGGTTTTCTTCAACCCGGAACGTGCAGGATGTTTCAGAAGCAGTGAAGTCCGTTTGCGAAGCAGAATCTGACCGACTCGACAGCGAACTGTCGATGGTGCGCTATATCGCCTGGGCGATTCCTTCCATCGGCTTCATTGGCACCGTTCGCGGTATCGGTGAAGCGCTGGGACAGGCCTATCGCGCAGTCGAAGGCGACATCGCCGGCGTCACTACCAGTCTGGGGGTGGCGTTCAACTCAACCTTCATAGCTCTGGTGATCAGCATTGTACTGATGTTCCTGGTGCACCAGTTACAGCTCATCCAGGAGCGCCTGGTCCTCGACACCCATACGTACTGTGATCAGCGCCTGTTGCGCCATCTGCAGGTGAGACGAGGCTAGATGATGTATCTGGATATCAATGACTGGCAACTGACATTCCGTCAGCCACATCAAGCCGCCCGCACCTTTACCGGCGCGGCCGCCCAGACGCCCAACGGGCTGATATTCGACGACGACGCACTGGCGCGATCGCGATCGCATCCGCAGCAGTTCAACAACCGCTACCTCTCTACCATCGCTGCAGATCCTGTGGCCGGTGATCTGGGGTTGGCGAAAAATCATGCGGATCTGATTTATCGACATCTACTACAGCTTGATCTACCGGCAAGCGAGCCGCTTGTACTGGCTGTATCAGGGCAGATCAGCAACGCTCAACTGGGTCTGTTACTCGGCATATGCGCTGAAGCGCAACTGACGGTCAAAGGCTTTATCGACCTTGCTCTGGGCCAGTCTCTGAGTATCCCTGCAGACACCGGCTACCATGTCCTGGATGTTGAACAGCACCGGATAAGCCTGGCAGAAATCCAGATCCGCGACGGCATCCGCGTGCAAACCCGCACCACAGCCATAGATGGCGTTGGCACAGCCAGCATCATAGAAGGCTGGATGAACGTCATAGCTGATGAATTTGTACAGAAAACACGTTTCGATCCACTGCATTCCGGACAGACAGAGCAGCATCTTTTTGACCAGGTGTATCCCTGGCTCACCGAGAGTCAGATGCAGGATCACGTCGTTAGCATCAGTAACGGAGAATCCAGTCGGGAGGTTGAAATAACAGCCGCCAGACTCCTGGAAAAACTCACTCAGCGGCTTGCCGGTGTTGAGTTGGGCCAAGTTGACCATCTGGTGCTGACGCCAAGGGCTGCATCAATACCCGCGCTCAAATCACAGCTGGAGCAGCGCGTACAGCAGTGCAGTGTCGTGTTGGAAAGCGACATTCTGGGTAACTACGAACAACTCGCAGCATCGCTATCCGATGCTCAGGTGAAAAGAATCAGCCAGGCAGCCAATATTGGCACTCGCCGCTCAAACGAATCTGCCGCTGACGCCTTCCAGGAAAACCCTCACACCCAAGCGTTGGCACCCAACACCCTGGCCACCCACTGGCTGCTGCAACATACGGCTTATCCATTGGATCATCCAACCCTGACCGCGGCAGGCGTACACAACGGTTCCGAAGTTGCTGCCGGGACCCAGGTCACTGTTGCCGGCCAGACGTACACTGCGATTCGAGTTACCTAAACTGCCATGGCCCGCTCACGACGGATCAACGTATTCTCACTGTCATTTCTTGATGTCATGTCCTGTGGCTTTGGTGCCGTTGTGCTGATATTTCTGATCATCAACCACGACACACAGACCCAACCCACCGAGCGCAGCGACGATCTTCTGGCCGAAATCCGCATGCTTGATTATCAGGTGCAACAGGGCGAAAAGGATCTGTTTGAACTGATCGAAAGTCTCGACGATGTAAAAGCCCGGGTTGAGCAATCAGATGCAAATCTGGCCAGTACAGCTCAAACCATCGAAACCCAGGAAGCAAGCCTGGAAGAATTAGAAGACGCGTCTGTCGCTCAAACCGAGAGCCTCAAAGCGCTGACCGCGGACATTGAGTCACGCGAAGCGGAGGTCAATCGTCTGTTGGCGCTCAAGGCGGCAAACGATGGTTCTCAGGTACGTTCTTTTGAAGGCGAAGGCGATCGTCAGTACCTGACCGGGTTGAAAGTTGGTGGACGCAACATTGTTATCGCTATCGACACGTCGGCAAGCATGTTAGACGACACCATCGTTAATGTATTACGGCGCCGCAACATGGATGACGCACGCAAACAGGCGGCGCCGAAGTGGCAACGCGCAGTGCGTACCGCCGAATGGCTTGCCGCGCAGCTCCCTCTGGATGCCGACTTTCAGGTTTACACCTTCGCCGAGCAGACACGCTCACTGGTTGCCGACAACGACGATGACTGGCAACCGATGTACGACGGCCAGGCACTGAACGCATCAATTGCAGAGCTACGCACGATTATTCCAAACGGTGGTTCTTCACTGGTTAACCTGATTCTGGAGATCCGCAACCTCTCGCCCATACCGGATAACGTCTACCTGATTACCGATGGCTTACCGACTCAGGGAGAAAATGCACCCCGCTCAGCTACCGTCACAGGACGCCGGCGTCTGGAGCTATTCGGCGAAGCTGTAGATCGTTTGCCAAAACAGATACCGATAAATGTGATCATGTTTCCAATGGAAGGTGATCCGATGGCTTCTGCCGCTTACTGGAATGTTGCGCGGGTCACCGGTGGCGCATTCATTTCACCGTCATGGGATTGGCCATAATGCGTCAACGACGTGGTATCGAAGAATTCAGTGTGTCATTTCTTGACGTCATATGCTGCGGGTTTGGTGCCATCATTCTGCTTTTGATGATCACCAAGACAGTGCAACCTGTATTGCTGGAAAAATCCAACATAAACATGCAGGGGCAGGTCGCGCAGCGCGAAAACGCGCTGTTTGAAATTCGCGGACAGATCACCGAACTGCGACGTCAGGTTAATGATGAACAGGCGGATCTTGCGCAGAAACTGGATCAGCTCGCAGAGCTGCAACAGCAGCTGGCCATTATACTCGGCCAGTTTGATAATCTCTCTGAAGCTCAACAGGAGATATCTACCGAAAACCTGCAGCTGGCTTCAGCCAAACAATCGCTGACAGATGAAATGCAGCGCCTGCTGGGCCTTGATTTCAAACGCGACTCGGGGCTGGTGGGCGGTATCGCCGTCGATTCGGAATACATCATATTTGTCATCGACACCTCGGGCAGTATGCAAAGTGTTGCCTGGCCACAGGTTGTGCGCAAAGTCAGCGAGACACTGGCAATCTATCCCGGCGTGAAAGGTATTCAAGTGATGAATGATATGGGTGACTATATGTTTACCCGCTATGCAGGTCGGTGGATCGAAGATACCCCCGCACTGCGTAACTCTATTATCCAGACTCTGCAAACCTGGGCACCCTTCAGCAACTCGAGTCCGGTTGAGGGGATTACCGCAGCCATCAACACTTACTATGATCCCGACAAGCGTATCAGCATCTATGTATTTGGCGACGACTACACCGGCAATTCCATCGAAGATGTGGTTGAAGCAGTGGATCGGGTTAACCTTACTGATGCAAGCGGCAGACGCCGGGTGCGTATCCACGCGGTGGGTTTTCCGGTATACCTAGACCAACCCAATGCGCGCGTGTATCGATTTGCCGCTCTCATGCGCGAACTGGCTTTCCGCAACGACGGCACATTTGTAGGACTGGCTGAATATCAATGACTGGGCATCTATACAACAGCAAACAGAATAGGCGCTGGCGTCTGAGCAACGTTCGCAGCGGTATAGCCCTGTGCGTCTGTCTGGTTGTTTTCAGTGGTTGTGCTGGCACCAAGCAACTGGCCATCGAAACAACTTTTCCCGTGCCGGTAATCGAAAAAGCACCAGTCAGCCTGGGCATTTTCCTGGATGACACTCTGATCAACTATGCACACGAAGAGACCATTGACCAATCCGGGTCGTGGGAGGTGCAGATCGGACAGGCACAGACGCAGCTTTTCACCAACCTGGCAACAGGCTTGTTTGAAAACTACACTTTCGTTTCCGGCAACACCATTGCCGCGCCCATGGATGGTGTGCTGAAACCCAACATAACCGAAGTGCAGTTTTCCATACCGGCACAAACCCGCTCAGACTATTACGAGGTCTGGGTACGTTACGAATTTGAACTGTATGATCGCCAGGGCAATGTCGTAGGCAGTTGGAAGCTGCCAGCCTATGGCAAAGCCAGCAAAAACAATCATGGTTCATCGTCCAACGGACTGCAGGCTGCGGCTATTGCCGCGTGTCGCGATGCCATGGCATTTTTCAGCATCAACTTTACCCGTGAACCTGCCGTGCAGAAATGGATCGCGGCGGGCAAGCCATCCCTACCCGCTCCTGTCACCACCAATGACAGTCCAGCGGTTGAGCGCGATGCGGAAACCACTGCAACCAGTCAAGAGGGCGACCCGGCATGAAGCCACTACTGAGTATCTGCACAACTTTCATTGCTATTGTCTTGTTAAGCGGCTGTGTTACCTCAACGGTGCAGCAGGTCCGACAGACGCCGACAGCTATGCAGGAAGGTGACTCCATTGTAGTTATTGGCAGACGTAACCGACCCAGCCAGGCTGAAGCCGAACTGGACTTCATCGACTGCGTAGGGCGCAGTGTGAGCAGCGGTAGCAATGGCGTTCAGGTGATCAGCGAGCAGGATTTTATGGATGCCATGTTTCCCTGGTTCGAACCTCGCACAGCACCCATGAACACCACTGACCTGCCGAGTTTGCTGACACAGCCATTACTGGCTGAGCGCGTTCGCGAGATCGGCTTGAAATACCTGGTCTGGCTTGAAGGTTCCACCAAGCGCGTCGCCCAGGGCGGGAGCCTGAGCTGCACGATCACACCCGGCGGCGGCGGTTGTTTTGGTTTCCTGAGCTGGGAGAATGATTCTTCTTACGAAGCATCTATATGGGATACCCATACGGCCAAAACCGCCGGTCGAATCAGTTCAGATGCGGCGGGTACCAGCTACATGCCCGCTATTGTGGTGCCTATACCGCTGATTGCACGGGTTCAGTCATCTGCCTGCTCAAGCCTCGGTGAGCAACTGAAGCTTTTTGTGCAAAATAGCTCTTAAGCTACTGTTTTTTCGGCCTTATATCTAAGACTTCACCTTCATAGCGCTCCGGCTCAATGGCATACCACTCCTGTAGTTTGGCATCGTGTTTCTTCGACATCAGGTCGCAGAATTCGTAAAAAGTAGGCCGCCCAGGGTCGGTAATGACAACGCGTTCAACACCGGCTTTAAATGCCCGGTTAACCAGGCGCCCCAGTGGCTTGACCAGTGAATCCCAGAAACAGATATCACTGCCGACAATGTAACGCTGGCCCGCCAGATCTGCGCTTTTCACCTTGGTGAAGTCCGCCTGCAGGTGTTTTATTTCAACGCCATTCAATTCCGCCAGCACATCCAGAAAGGGAAACACTGCTGAATCCAGATCAACGGCCGTCATTTTTGCTTTGAAATGATGGCCACAGAACACCGATGCCGGGCCCCAGCCACAGCCGATTTCCATAACGGATGCCCCCCGCCGAATGCCATGGTGAGTCAGGTAATCCATCAGAACGAAGCTGGATCCCCAGGTCTTGTGACCATGGATCGACGGTTGATAACGCTTCTTCAGCGCTTTTATCAGATTATGTTTATTATCGAGTAAAAAAATACCGTACGCATAATCAATATGCGGCTCGGGTACCCGCTCCAGTCTGGGCATAAAAGTTCCTCAAATAGGCCAATTATTGGCTCGCTAAAATACCCGACTAATTTACTTGGGTATTACCAAAGGTTAAACTGCGGTCATCTTTTGTAACCCGGCGGCGCATCGCCAGACAACCGGGCTGACATACCAAGAGTTTACGCATCATAGAGGACATAGTGTGAGCCATTCTGTCGACGATTTGGTTGAATCCAACGCTGAATACCAGGCTGGATTTGTTTCCGACATTGAATCAGACACCATTCCACCGGGTTTGGACGAATCTGTGGTGCGTTTCATATCCGCCAAAAAAGGTGAACCCGAATGGCTCACCGAGTGGCGTCTGCAGGCCTACACACACTGGCGCGCCATGACCGCGCCGGAATGGGCCCACGTGCATTTCCCTGCAGTGGATTTTGAGGCCATCTCCTACTACTCGGCACCTAAAGATATGTCTGATGGACCAAAATCTCTGGCAGACGTAGATCCCGAGTTACTGCGGACCTATGAGAAGCTGGGCATTCCGCTACATGAACAGGAAGCATTGGCCGGCGTTATTCAAAGCCGACCCAACGTTGCCGTCGATGCAGTGTTCGACAGCGTTTCCATCGCCACTACTTTCAAAGACAAACTGGCAGAGGCCGGCGTAGTGTTCTGCCCGATATCAGAAGCGGTGCACAGCCACCCGGAACTGGTCAAAAAATACCTTGGCAGCGTCGTACCTCAACGCGACAACTTTTATGCAGCTCTGAACTCAGCGGTCTTCAGTGATGGTTCCTTTGTCTACATTCCAAAAGGTGTGCGCTGTCCGATGGAGCTATCCACCTACTTCCGCATCAACGAACGCAATACGGGACAATTCGAGCGCACCCTGATCATCGCCGACGAGGGCTCTCACGTCAGCTATCTGGAAGGTTGTACCGCACCGATGCGGGACGAAAACCAACTTCACGCTGCGGTTGTTGAACTGGTTGCACTGGGCGATGCGCAGATCAAATATTCCACCGTTCAGAACTGGTATCCCGGCGACGAGAATGGCAAAGGTGGCATCTACAACTTTGTAACCAAACGTGGGCTCTGCGCGGGCGCGCGGTCTAAAATTTCCTGGACCCAGGTCGAAACTGGTTCAGCCATCACCTGGAAATACCCCAGCGTTGTTCTGCGCGGCGATCACAGTGTCGGCGAGTTCTACTCCGTGGCCTTAACCAACAACATGCAACAGGCGGACACCGGCACCAAGATGATCCACATGGGCAAAGACACCCGCAGCACCATCATTTCCAAAGGCATCAGTACCGGCCGCAGCGAGAACACATACCGCGGTCTGGTGAGAATTTCGCCAACGGCGTCCGGCGCACGCAACTTCACTCAGTGCGACTCGCTGTTGATTGGCGACACGTGCGGCGCACACACATTTCCTTATATTGAAAACAGTAACACCCACGCTATTGTTGAACACGAGGCCACCACTTCGAAGGTCAGCGAAGACCAGCTGTTTGCTTGTCAACAACGGGGTATCGATCCGGAAAAAGCAGTGAGCATGATTGTTAACGGCTTCTGTAAAGAAGTATTTAAAGAGCTGCCTATGGAATTTGCCGTCGAGGCGGGCAAATTGCTTGAGGTAAGCCTGGAAGGAGCTGTGGGATGAGCCTGCTGAATGTTAAGAATGTCACCGCCAAAGTAGCGGAACAGAATATCCTCAAAGGCTTGAACCTTGAGGTTAACGCCGGAGAAGTACATGCGATCATGGGCCCCAATGGCTCCGGCAAATCCACTCTGGCAAATATCCTCGCCGGTAAACCAGGCTACGAAATCACGTCAGGGTCCGTCGAGTTTGAAGGACAGGATATCTCCGACTGGGAACCTCATGAACGGGCCCACGCAGGTATCTTTCTTGCCTTTCAGTACCCGGTGGAAATACCCGGTGTGAGCAATATGGAGTTCCTCAAAGCAAGCCTTGATGCCAAAGCGTTTGCCAACAAGCAGGAACAGACCAACGCCGCGCAATTCATCAAGACCGCGCGATCACTGGCCAAATCGCTTGATCTGAACCCAGACTTTTTGAAACGTGGCGTCAATGAAGGGTTTTCCGGCGGCGAAAAAAAGCGCAACGAAATCCTTCAACTCCTGCTGCTGCAACCCAAACTGGCGGTGCTGGATGAAACAGATTCGGGTTTGGACATAGATGCGCTTCAGGTCGTCGCCGAGGGCGTGAACCGCTTTCGCAACGCTGACAACGGCGTAGTGTTGATTACCCACTACCAGCGATTGCTTGATTACATCGTTCCCGATTTTGTGCATGTACTGGCGGACGGCAAGATTGTGCAATCCGGCGACAAGAGCCTGGCACTTGAACTTGAGAAGAAAGGTTACGCATGGCTAACCTAGAACTCGCGCTCACATCACGACCCGCGCCGCCGCGCTGGCTAGGCGAAGATTCAGAACAGTTCCATGACGCGCTCAGCCGCGCGCTGAATTCAAAAACCCACCGCGAGCGTTGGAAGTACACCAAAAGCCAACCCATCCTGGACATGCTGGAAGCACCTGCCGTCACGCCAGACTGGCATACATTACCTGCCGGCGTTGAGCTGCAGGCGCTCAGCCAGGATCTGCAGGATGCGCCACTGCAGCATCAGATCGACGACGCGCCCGAGGCAAGCAGCGCATTGTGCTATCACGACAAGCTGTCGCTTGTAGAAGCCTCCGGCAATCCAACACAACCGTTAGTAATACAACACCGGGGCCACAGCGCGCCTATTGTCTTGAAGGTCGCTGCAAATTCTCATCTCGAACTGCACGAAATCTATTCCGACAATATTGATCAGCATCAAACCCTGTGGATAGAGCTGGGACCTGGCAGCAGCCTGACACATGCAAGAAACAGCTTTGTTCAGGCGAAACACTGGCAGTTCCTGCGCGTAACGCTGGCCAAAGACGCCTCGTATATTCTGCATAATCACAGCTCCGGGGGTGAGATGCGCCGGCAGGATATCCAGATCCTTTGTAATGAACCTGGCGCCAGCGCGCAGGTGACCAGCGCCTCTCAGATCGGCAAGGGCCAACACCTGGATCAACAGATCACGCTTGAACATCGAGCGGCCCATACCAGCAGTCAGCAGGTGTTCCACAACATTGTTGAGGACAAGGCCAAAGTCACCTTTAATGGCCGTATTCATATTCACAAGCACTGCCCCCAGGTTGCTGCCACGCTGCAGAATAGAAACCTTGCACTGGGCGACAACGCCACGATAAATACAAAGCCAGAGCTGGAGATATACACCGACGATGTCACCTGCGCCCACGGCGCAACCGTCGGCCAGCTGGATCCCCAACATGTGTTCTATTGCGCAAGCAGAGGCATACCGCCGTTACAAGCCCGCGCCCTTCTCGCTCAGGCGTTCCTGAATACAGCAACTACAGGGCCTTTGGCTCACGCTGCGCTCGCTGAATTTGGCATTTCCCAACCCGACAACCCCGATGTTTGATATTCGCGCTGATTTTCCTATTCTCAAACGCCAACACCAGGATGAGCCTCTGGTATACCTTGATAGCGCAGCAACAACGCAGAAACCGGATACGGTGATTAACGCGGTGGCCGACTATTATCGACACAGCAATGCCAACGTGCATCGTGCTGCCCACAAACTGGCTGAAGAAGCCACCACACTGCTTGAAGATGCACGCACGCTGGCACAACAGTACATTGGGGCATCAGATCGCCGCGAAGTGATTTTCACCCGTGGTACCACCGAATCCATAAACCTGGTTGCCCAGGGATTGCAGGGATACCTCAGCGAAGGTGATGAAATACTGTTAACCGCACTGGAACATCACTCGAACATTGTGCCCTGGCAGATGCTGGCACAACGCACCGGTGCCAGCTTGAAGATAGTCGCTGTGGACGCAAATGGAGATCTTGACCTGGCCGATTTCTATCAGAAACTGTCCCGCAGGACCAAAGTCTTTACCTGTAACCACATATCAAACGCGTTGGGCACTGTAAATCCAGTTGCAGAGCTGGTCCAAGCTGCCAAAGACGCTGGCGCCATCACACTGATTGATGGTGCCCAGGCCATCCTGCACGAGCAATTGAACGTCACTGCGCTGGATTGCGACTTTTATGCCTTTTCCGGTCACAAAATGTATGCGCCAACAGGTATTGGCATCCTCTACGGTAAACTGGCGCGCCTGGAGGCGTTGCCACCCTACCAGGGGGGCGGCGAGATGATCGAACATGTCACCTTCGAAAGCAGTACTTACCAGCAACCGCCTTACAAGTTTGAAGCCGGAACGCCTAACATTGGCGGCGCTGTTGGTCTCGGTGCGGCCATCAGGTACCTGAATGATCTGCCACTTGCCGAACTGGTTGAACAGGAAAAAATCCTGATCAATTCTGCGCTCAGTCAACTCAGACAGATTCCGGGGTTCAGGCTTATTGGCGAGCCTAAACAACGTAGCGCGGTGATCTCTTTTATTCTGGAAGGCGCACACCCCAACGACATAGGTACATTGCTTGATCAGCAGGGTGTTGCGGTACGCACCGGCCATCACTGCACCATGCCTTTGATGGCGCGCCTGGGAGTGCCTGGCACGGTACGCGCATCTTTCAGTCTGTACAATAACGCTTATGACGTCGAACGGCTTGTTAAAGCGGTAGACAAAGCAACGACATTTATCTAGTTGAGGAAATTGAAATGAGTGAACTTTCAGATATTTCCATTACGCCCGAGGCAAGCGAGCATATCCGGAACCAGCTGCAACTCACCCAGGCGCGATATCTACGCCTGGCAGTTAAAGAAAGCGGCTGTAACGGCTATATGTACATGTTGGATTTTCTTGAGTCCCCAGCGCCAGAAGATAAATGCCTTGATTTCGGCGACGGTGTTCGAGTGTGTGTCAACCAGGCGGATCTGCCTATGGTGGCTGGCACTGAGGTCGACATGATTACCGAAGGTCTGAATTCGGCGCTGGTTTTTAAGAATCCAAATGCTACCAGCTATTGCGGCTGCGGCGAGAGCTTTGCTGTCAGCGCTGATGAAGATATCGATGACTCTGTCGCAGCAGATCTGGATAGTCTGGCAACAGATGTAGGCAAACACTAGCCGTGGAACGCCGAATTGTCACCACAACACGGCCTTGCGAAGCCAGGCTGGTCCCTACCGGCGATTTAATCACTATTCCCGCTGGCGCATTCATCACCCTCACACAGTCTCTGGGCGGCACTTTCACGGTTGTTATCGAAGGTAATATGGCAAGAATTGCCGGCGCTGATGCTGATGCGATCGGGTTGCAACCTGAAGTATTGGAATTTGAAGCGGTCAACCCGGACGGTTCCGTAAATCCGGATCATGTGCGCCAGGCTCTGGAAAGCGTGTTCGACCCGGAGATTCCAGTCAACATTGCTGACCTGGGGCTGATTTACGCCACAAGCATAAATGACGGTGAAGTGAACATCGCTATGACGCTCACGGCTCCAGGTTGCGGCATGGGTCCCGTATTGGTGCAGGAAGTCAAAGATCGCGTCGCCACGGTACCTAACGTTTCCCATGTATCCGTGGAACTCGTATTCGACCCACCATGGTCTCGTGAAATGATGAGCGAAGAAGCGCAGCTGGAACTGGGGGTCTTCTGATTCATGGATGTCGCTGAATTAAAAGAGACCTTTACATTTTTCGACGACTGGGAAGATAAGTACCGGTTTGTTATCGATTTGGGTAAAGAGTTACAGGATATTCCTGATGAGGATAAGCAGGACGGGAACCTCATCCGAGGCTGCCAAAGTCAGGTCTGGTTAACCCATCAAATCACCCCTGACGGCATCCTCAATTTCAAGCTCGACAGCGACGCCTTCATTGTCCGCGGCCTCATCAGCATTGTGCTCACCGCTTTAAACAATAAACGTCCAGAAGAAATTCTGGCGTTTGATATCTACGCGCTGTTCGAGGAACTTGAACTTTTACAGCATCTGTCCCAAACAAGAGGCAACGGCCTGCGCGCTATGATCGCAAGGATCAGGGACATTGCAGAGGATCTCTCTTAGCGGCTTTTCATTCTAATGAATCTGAGCGTTCAACAGCCGGATTTCATCTTTAGACAGTCCCAGGGGGACTGCGATGTCGAGCAAATCTTCACCACTGCCTAATCTACTTTTCGCTTCCTGCAGTATCCAGCGACGCGAAGAAACAGCAGGAGATCGCGCACCGTCTCCATGATGCACAAGCTGGTCAACTGAACGCGCAACGTTAATAGAACTGTCAACAAATACGTCGAGCTGCTTTTGCAGCTGCTGGATCTGCCTGTTTGCCCTCATGCTTTGCATGAACAGCAATAAATAACCGGATGCGCAGACGACACCAATGATCATTAACATGATCCAACTAAACATGTTCATCTATGTGGCCTCCGTCTTCATCGGAATTGTCTTCATCCTTATCCTGTTCAGCCCGTTTGCTGTCTGCATGCTGAGTGACCTGCCCGTCGACCTTATCGCTTTGCGATTCATCGGCAATATCATCTTCACTGCTGCCTTTGCCTTTGCGGACCCGACCACGACGCTGTAACGACGTATAGGTTGGCAGTGTTGTCTGTATGCGATCTATTCCCATGGCTCACCTCGTGGAACTGGAATGACATGAACAGCAATACTTCTCGTATCTAAAAGAATAGTACAGATATACAGATGCGCCAGAAAAACGACACCTGTCATCAATCACTGAGTGGTTTTGTTGACGCTGAAAAGAATCGAGGTAGGAGGATCCGTAATTACACGGTCAATCTGCTATTCATCATCACGAGACAGCAGATCACTTTCGGTACTGAATATTAATCCACCCTCGGGCGTTCTGGTTTTCACAACCCGCGGATCAAGCTCGTTTTGCGGCCCTGAGCGCAGGAATGCAAAAGCCCCACCCTCGGGGTTTGCATTGAGGTTTCGCGAGGCATCTGTGCGTCGAGCAATGACTACGACAACACGCCGGTTGGCGGCCCGCCCATCAGGCGTAGCATTGGTCGCAACCGGGAAGTTTTCGCCATAACCTACGGCGGAAATTCGTTCAGGGCGCACCCCCTGACTGACAAAGAAACGAGCTACTGATGACGCCCGTGCGGATGATATTTCCCAATTGGAAGGATACAACTGAGATTCACTGGGCACGTTGTCAGTAAAGCCTTCTATTGTTAACGGGTTTCGGGTGCTGGAAACCAGCGCGACGGCTGGCTCGAGTAAAGCTGCCGCAACCGGGGTCAGGCTGGTTTGTCCTGGTGCAAACAATACGTTGGCATCCAGGCTGAGCTCGAGCCATTCATTGTTGGAGGCCACTGAGACACCCTCCAGCTGAGCAAAACCACCCAATAAGGATTGCGCCGCGTCAATGGGATCCTCAATAAAAGTATCTCCATCTTCCTGATCAGCAAAAGCTGTACTTTCTGGCAGGTCAACAACATGGGGAGATGCGGCTTTGTCAGGCTCGCCAACCTGAACGGGATCGAGACTGGCGGAATCAACTGCAAAGGTTTCGGACAGAGTTGCGGAAAGTACCCGGTATTTTTCATCGTTTACCGAGGAGATTGCATACATCACAACAAAAAAGGCAAACAACAAAGTAATGAAGTCGGCATAAGACACCATCCAACGATCGGTATCATTTTCCGCTTCAATGTATCGGCGACGCATCAGCTGCCCGCAACAAGTCCACGCAAACGCATTTCCACGCTGCGCGGGTGTTCACCATCAGCAATGGCAATTAACCCTTCAATAAACAGGTCATCTGCTCCCGCATAACGAATAACCTGACTGCGCAGACGATCAGCTATAGGCAGAAACAGCAGGTTTGCAAAGCCGACCCCATAAATTGTTGCCACAAATGCGGTGGCAATACCGGCGCCCAACTCATTAGGGTCAGCGAGGTTACCCAATACCTGAATAAGGCCAATGACGGCACCCAGAATACCTATGGTTGGCGCGTACCCACCCATACTTTTAAATACATTTGCTGCCGCCAGATCAGAATCGGTGCGTGCTTGACTGTCGACCTCCATCAACCGTCTGATCGTATGTGGATCAACACCATCAACAACAAGTTCAAGACCTTTACGGCGGAACGGATCTTTCAGACCTTGGGAAATATTTTCCAGACCTAACAACCCTTCACGTCGGGCGGTTTTGCTCCAGGCAGCCAGACGTTCAATTTCTTTTTCGACATCCAGCGCGGGGGGTTTCAGCACCCATGTAAACATTCTGCTGGCGCGTACCAGACTCAACCACGGCGTTTGCAAAACGACAGCGCCCAGCGTCCCACCCACAACAATGATGAACGCCGGCGCATCCAGGAGCGCCGCAACCTGTCCACCTTCTAAAGCGTTGCCCAGAAAGATTGCAGAAAAGGCCAGAATCACGCCAATAATTGCGACAATATCCATCAGGCTTGCGTCCACTCACCTACTTTGCTGCGTACCCGCAAAGTGGCCTGGCTTAAAATCTGGCTGATACGCGACTCACTGACGCCAAGCACAGCGCCAATTTCTTTCAAATTCAATTCTTCGTCGTAATAAAGCGACATCACCAGACGTTCGCGTTCAGGTAACTCGCCGATGGCAGCAACCAGGTCCTGTATCATTTCATCACGCTCAGCGCCGTGATCACCGACATCCAGATGAGGCAGAGCACTGGGATCGTCGCTCTCATTCAATTCTTCGTAGCTGACAAGACGACAGGTAGAGGCATCTTTTAAAATGTCGTAGTACTCTTCCAACGACACCTGCATACGATCGGCGATGTCACGATCGCTGGCTTCTTTGCCTAGTGCATGCTCAACCTTACGCATAGCCTCGGTCACCCGACGTGCATTGCGATGCACCGAACGCGGCGCCCAATCTCCACGACGCATTTCATCCAGCATAGATCCCCGAATGCGGATACCGGCATAGGTTTCGAAACTGGCGCCTTTCGACGCATCATATTTACCTACCGATTCCAGCAGGCCCAACATGCCCGCCTGCACAAGATCATCAAACTGCACACTGTCTGGTAACCGTGCAACCAGGTGCTGGGCGATGCGCTTGACCAGATAACCATACTTTTTGATTGTCGCATTACGGTGTTCATTGTCCGCATATGCTGCTACTGGATTTGACATACAGAGACTCAATGTAATGCGTATTCGTTAACCAGGCGCTCTACAAAAAATTCCAGGTGCCCTGTCGGCATTGTCGGTATCGGCCAGGAATCAACTTCAAGCGCTAGTTTTCTGAACGCCTGCGCAGACTTGCTGGCAGGATAAAGGTCAAGCACGGCGCGCTGTTTCTGCACCGCTCGACGTAATTGCTCATCCTGAGGAATAGACCCGGCGTGCAACAAGGCTACATCAAGAAAACGATCAGTGACGTGTTGCAACTTGTCATATACGGCGACGCCGTCAGCGTCATTGCGTACCATATTGGCAACGACACGGATCTTGTTGATACCAAACTGCTGATTCAGAATTTTTATCAGCGCGTAAGCGTCTGTAATTGATGTCGGTTCGTTGCATACCACCACAATAATTTCCTGCGCTGCACACAGAAAGCTCAACACATCGTCGGCAATGCCCGCCGCTGTATCGATAATCAATACGTCCATTTTGTGAGCGATATCGCTGAACGCAGAGATCAGCCCCGCATGTTCCCGTGGTCCAAGCTTGACCATTTCCTGCAACCCGGACGCCGCAGGCACAACTTTTAAATCATGGGGTCCATTTATGATGACCTCATGCATTGAACACGTGCCATCAAGGACATCTTTCAACGTATGACGAGGCTTTAAGCCAAGAAGTACATCAATATTGGCAAGCCCCAGATCTGCGTCCAGAAGTGTTGTGCGACGCCCCAGGGCTGACATAGCCAGTCCTAAGTTAACGCTTACGTTAGTTTTGCCCACCCCACCTTTGCCGCCGGTAACGGCAACAACCTGAATTGGGTTGGAAGAGACTTGCTCCATGTCATTTACTCCTGTTTACCTGCTTGCCGGATGTGGCTTTACAGGTTGGCGCGAGGACAAAAACCTTTGCCCCTTTAAGAAACATAGTTGTTCTTTTCAATCGGTCAAATACGTGCCGGTTGCATGCGACGCCTAAACCGCGATCGCAAAACCTTGTGGTTGCGGTGTCGCAAACAGCCATTGTTCAACACTCTGTTCATTTGCCAGCTCCAGGCCATCAGGTAACCCATTGGCGGTGCCCAGCCAGTAGAGCGGCAGACGCAGGTCGTACAACAAACCACCCAAAGCATCACCTTCGATACTCAGGTCTGTTTGTGTCACAGCTACCCCTGCTGGATTTAAACCTGCCACCTGTTGATGCTGAGCGCGCAGGTGCGCCAGACTGTGCAGCGCACTGCAAACCCAGATATCTTTCACCCCACTGATAGCGATCAAGGGGCGCGCTGGTGCTATTGCCGGCGTATCAACGAGTATCAGCGCTTTGTTTTTGAACTTCTGCACGGTGGCCTGCAGTTCTTCAGGCGCACACTCCTGCATGTGCACACCAAATGTCTGGCACGCGAGCTGCAGCGCTTCGGTACCCGCAAGTCGCTCCATATCTGTGGAAATTACAGCTAGCGCCGTGCTCGGGTTCTGCCTCACAAACTGCGCCATCAGCTTTATAACCAGTGAGCTTTTGCCGACGCCACTGGTACCAACAAAGCGATAAACACCCAGCAGCGCGGAACCTGGCTTGTGGGCATAGTGCAGGCGTTGAGCCAGCACGGTTCGAAACTGACCAAGATCTGCACAACCGGGCAAAGCCTGAATCACAGACTCCTCGTACCCAAGTTTTACCAGGTGCTCCACCAGATCGGGATGACAGCCTGGGTTACTTTGTCTTGGAATCAGCGACTCAACAGTCACTGAACTGACCTGACTGGATACAGGCGCTTCCTGTAACTCTATGGGGTCGGGCTTCGGGCTTGCGGGCAATTCAAGACAGGCGTCTACACACACCTGATAGCCTTCCCGGTGCTGCCGCAGGATAAGTGCATCGCCCCCCAACTCCTTACGTACCATCGCAAGTGCCTCACGCAAACTGCCTGCACGAAAAGTGTGCACCTGTTCCCGTGAATTCTGTTCAGTTGTTTCTAACATGATTACCCCTTAACCCGTTCGGCCAATTGTTGACACAACAGTGATCTGTTTGTTTTCTGGTATTTCTTCGTAAGCAAGAACGTGAATCACAGCCTGCGAGACCCGAACAAAACGGGACAGCAAACTTCTGATTGCCGCCGACACCAGCAGTACCGCGGGTTTACCCGCCATTTCCTGTTGTTCGGCTGCGCTCACTACCGATTGCTGCAACCGTTCCGCCATCACCGGCTCGATCACCGGTGCATCGGCACTGCCCTGATTTTTTGCCTGCAACAGCAGTTGTTCCAGCTCCGGATCGAGCGTGATGACTTCTAACGATTGCTCACTTCCGTATATGTTCTGTACGATCATGCGTGAAAGCTGACTACGTACCAGATTAGTCTGATCATCCAGACTCAGGCTGCTGGCGCTACCGTCAGCCAGACACTGTGCAATAGTACGTATGTCTTTCACCGGAATTTTTTCGCGCAGCAGGTTCTGCAATATTTTTAACAATCCCGACAAACTGATCGCTCCAGGCACCAGCTGCTCGGCGAGAGTTGGCGAACCCTGGGCCAGTAAATCAACCAGATGCTGCACTTCATCATGCCCCAGCAGATCTGCTGCGTTATCCAACATGATCTGATTGACATGCGTAGCCACAACAGTACTGGCATCTACAACTGTGTAGCCAAGGGTCTGGGCATTGTCTTTTTCATGTTCTTCTATCCAGTAAGCCGGCAGACCGAAGGCTGGGTCTTTTGTTGCCAGACCACTCAAGGGACCAAACGTTTCGCCCGGGTCGATCGCCAGAAATTTATCTACAAATATCTCTGCCTCCCCAACACTGACACCCATTAAAGAAAACCTGTAACCGTTGGGTAACAGATCAAGGTTGTCTCTGATATGGATCGTTGGCACAAGAAAACCGAGCTCTTGTGAAAGTTTTTTCCTTACACCGCGTATTCGACTCAGCAGCTCACCGCTCTGATTCTTATCAACCAGCGGGATCAGTTTATAACCCACCTCTAAACCCAGCGTATCTACCGGACTGACATCTTCCCAACTGACTTCGGAACGCTCTGGTTGTACGTCTGCCACCTCTTCTTCCACAGCTGTCGCAACAGCAACTGGTTGCAGAGATTTCTGATGAATCCACCATGCAATCGCAGCGGCTGCTATAGCGAGGGTTAAAAACACCCCGTGCGGCATCCCGGGAACAATACCTAACGCAAATAGAATACCGGCAGCAATTGCCAACGCTTTAGGTTCTGCAAAAAGCTGGTTAACCACCTGTAGCCCCATATCCTGAGAGCTGTTTGCGCGTGTCACGATCATTGCTGCCGCCGTAGAGAGCAACAAAGAGGGAAGTTGGGCTACCAGTCCGTCACCAATCGTCAACAGCGTATAAACTTCCAGGGCCTGACTGAAATCCAGATCGTGCTGCACGATGCCGATTGTCAGACCACCAACAATATTTATCAGCAGTATTAGAATGCCGGCTATCGCATCACCTTTGACAAATTTGCTTGCGCCGTCCATCGAGCCGTAGAAATCCGCTTCAGCTGCCACTTCTTCACGGCGTACGCGTGCCTGTTCCTGATCAATTACTCCAGAATTCAAATCCGCATCAATGGCCATCTGTTTGCCTGGCATCGCATCCAGGGTAAATCGAGCACTGACTTCAGAAATGCGGCCGGCGCCCTTTGTCACAACCACAAAATTGATGATCACCAGAATGATGAATACGACAAGACCGACCACGTAATTACCACCAACCAGGACTTCTCCGAAGGATTCAATGACCTTTCCAGCCGCAGATCCGCCACCATGGCCATCAAGCAACACAACCCGGGTAGACGCTACGTTTAATGCCAGTCTTAACAGCGTCGCAACCAGGAGAATGGTTGGAAACGCCGCAAAATCCAGCGGACGCATGACGTAAACACTGACCAGCAGAACAACCAGTGCCAGTGCAATGTTAAAGGTAAAAGACAGGTCCAGTACCGTGGGCGGGACGCGGATCGTCATCAGTGCCAGAACCAGCAACAACAGACAGGGAATAGCGAGAGCGCCTAGTTTAAAATTCCCCATTATTTAAATCTCCACTGCAAATTCATCGGGTACATCAATGTCAGCCAGCTTGGGTGAATAATTGATCTGTCCTCGCTGGTACTGCTCTAACTGATAGATATAGGCAAGCACCTGGGCTACGGCGATATACAAACCTTCCGGGATTTCATCACCTGCTTCGGTATTAAAGTAAATCGCACGTGCCAGAGCAGGTATCGGCACAATAGGCACCTCATGCTTATCCGCAATTTCCCGGATACGAAATGCCATGTGATCTACACCTTTAGCCAACAGTACCGGTGCAGCCATTTCTTTTGCGTTGTACTTAATAGCTACCGAGAAATGCTCGGGGTTGGTGATAACCACATCGGCATCCGGTACATCTTCAAGTGCTTTGCGCCGCGACATCTGCTGCTGCAGCGCACGTATTCTGGCTTTTACTTCAGGTTTGCCTTCCGAGTCTTTATGCTCGTCTTTGACTTCCTGTTTAGTCATCTTGAGTTGCTTCTTGTGATCCGCAACTTGAAAAGGCACGTCCATAACGGCAACAACAACCAGCGCCATCCCAATAAACAGCAGCGCCCAGCCGACATAAACGACGCCTTCTGCAATAGCGACTTCTACCGGCAATCCGCCGAGAACCAACAAATCATCCAGGAAATAAGACAAAACAAGCGTTGCTACGCCAGACACCAGTACAAATTTTGCTAACGATTTAGCCAGCTCCATCAGCGATTTTTTTGAGAACATACGTCCCAGACCTTTTAGCGGACTCATTCGGCTTAACTTTGGCGCAAACGCTTTAGAAGAAAACAATATGCCGCCAACGCCGATGCTGGACAGAACGCCAGCCGCGAACATCACCAGACTGAACGGCAAAATTGCCCACATAGCCTCACCAACGGCATTACTTAGATAAGTGGGCAACGGAATTTCCGGTTGTGCTGCTGAAGTGAATATCACCCGGGTCATGTCCATCATCAGCGCTGCAAGATCAGGCGCGACAAAAATCGCAGCAGCGGCGCCGAATGTCACGATGGCAACGCTGTTCAGTTCACGCGAACGAGCGACCTGCCCTTCCTCTCTGGCTTTCTCCAGTTTCCGGGGGGTTGCGTCTTCTGTCTTTTCCTGACCTTGTTGTTCTTCAGCCATACCTATACCTGCGAGATACCGCTGACGATGTCGAGAAATTCAGTAGCGAGACGATGGAACTGATCAGCCCAGCCGTGCAGTACAAACCAGATAATGACCAACCCGAACAAAAGGCTGAACGGAAAACCGAGAGAAAATACGTTCAACTGCGGGGCGCTGCGATTCATGACGCCAAACGACATGTTTACAATCAGCAGCGAAACAACCGCGGGTATGGCAAGCAGGACACCACCGGCGAACATCCAGCCGCCCAGTTGGGCGATACGCGCGGCAAACTCACCCATACCCAGTTCCATACCGTTCGGATAAAGCTTGAAACCGGCAACAAAAATCTCGAAAAGAATCAGGTGACCATTGAGTACCAGAAAAGACAACGTCACCAACATGAGGAAAAATTGCGACCAGACAGTGACAGATACGCCATTTCCAGGATCTACCATGGCAGCAAATCCAAGCCCCATCTGCATGCCGATAAACTGGCCGGCAATCACAAACAACTGGAAGAAAATAACCGCAGTAAAACCCAGGCCTATGGCCAGCATAATCTGTAAAACCAGATCCACCATGATACCCAGGTTAAGATCAGCAATATCCGGCGCATCACCCATAACTGGCGTCAGAGCAAGACCTACCGCCATACTTAAAGCAATGCGGATCCGCGGCGATACCAGTTGGTTACCAAAGATCGGCACTACCATGAAGAAGCCCGCAACCCGCAGAGTATTGAACAGCAACTCGCTGATAAAGCCGGAGAATTGAGCCATTGAGATCGTCATATCAACCTAACAGGATGGGGATCATTTCGAAGATCCGCTGAAAGTGATCCAACAGTTCTGACAGCACCCAGGGGCCCAGCGCCATAATTGACAGTAACGTCATAAGAAGGCGAGGCAGAAAGCTTAATGTTTGTTCATTAATCTGCGTCGCAGCCTGAAAAACAGAGACGACCAGGCCGACGAACAAGCTTGGCAACACCAGAATAGAAACGATGATGACAATCAGTCCCAGCGCCTCACCAAACACTGAAAGCACATCCCCAATACTCACAACGACATCCCAAAGCTGCCCGCAAGGGTGCCCATGATCATGACCCACCCGTCAACCAACACGAACAACATGATTTTGAACGGCAGGGAGATAATCAATGGCGACAGCATCATCATACCCATGGACATCAGAACACTTGCAACCACCATGTCGATAATCAGGAATGGTATAAACAACATGAAGCCAATCTGAAAAGCAGTCTTCAATTCACTGGTCATGAAAGCAGGCACCAGCACAAAAAAGTTGATGTCTTCAGCGGTATCCACAGGTTCGTGTTCAGACAAGCGCATGAACAGATCCAGATCGTTTTCACGAGTCTGCTCTAACATAAACGCACGAAAAGGTTCCGCTGCAGCCTCAAGTGCCTGTTGAGGAGGTAAGGTTTCGGCAACGTAGGGCTCTATAGCAACTCGATTCACTTCTTCAAACACCGGCGCCATGATGAAAATAGTCATAAACAGCGCGATGCCAACCAATATCTGATTGGAAGGCGTCTGCTGCATGCCGATAGCCTGTCGCAGAATTGCAAATACAATGATAATGCGGGTGAACGCCGTCATCATGATGACCAGAGACGGTAACAGCGTCAGGATGGTCATTACGACAAGGATCTGAATACCCACGCTGTATTTCTGCGTACCGTCGTCTTCTGTGGTGACCGTCAATGCAGGCAGATCCATAACTGCAGCCGCATCCTGCGCGATCAGAATGCCGCAGAGCAGAAGCAACAGTTGCTTGAAACGCATCAGATTCATTACGTCTTGGCCTTGGCTTGATCAAGCGCCGTAGAAAAATCACTACCTGCATCCAACTGCGCTAGCTTGGTAATACACTGCGCATTCATGCCTACCAGAACGTGTTGGTCCGCAATTCGAACCAGTACGAGTTTTTCTTTCGGACCCAGATAGGCTGAATCGACAATTTTCAGTTGGCCTGACTCATGTCCCTTCAACCCCTGAAAGCGGCGGACAACATACCCCAGCAGAAATACCAGGCCGACGATCAGTACAAGCGCAAGAGCCACCTGCCATATGTTCTCCGATGGCGTCATCAGTTGATGCTCTGAATGCGTTGTTCAGGTGAAATGACGTCCAGCAGACGAACACCGAATTTATCGTTAACCACTACAACCTCTCCCTGGGCAACCAGCGTACCGTTTACCAGTACATCCAGAGGTTCTCCTGCCGTGCGGGTCAACTCTACAATTGAGCCTTTGTTCAACTGCAACAGCTTGCGGATACTAATTTTGGTATTGCCAACTTCCATGGAGAGTCGTACCGGAATATCCAGCACTACTTCCAGATTTTTGGCACTGGCTGACCGGGCTTCCAACTCATTGGCAGATGCAGCATCAGTCTCAGTGGTTTGTGTTTCTAGTTCATCAGACATAGCCAGTTCCTATTGATTACCAAACGAGTCGAATTCGAGAGCAAATTTGCCTCTTGAATCACCCAGAGTTGCGTTGAACGTGGGGACGTTTGCCACCCTTACTTCATGCAGATCCTGCATATTCAGATCTAATACATCGCCTGGCTGCAGTCGCATCAGGTCTCGCAGCCGCAGTTGCACATCACCAATGACACAGTTCAGAGGTAGCTCAGCATCCAGAATTGAACGCTCCATACCTGCTCGCCATTGATCGTTGCTTTCTTTGGATTCTTTTTTGCCCGTCGCATCCAGCACGCCTTTATAGGGCTCTAATGCGGCGTACGGAAAAGCAATGTGTAACTCGCCGCCACCTTCTTCTAGCTCAAGGCGAAAACTGCATAACATCAGCACTTCACTACCGGGAATCACGTTAACCAGTCCCGGATTAACTTCATCACCCACAACTTCAGTTTTGATAGGTAACTCGTCCTGCCAGGCACTTTCGAAATCGCGCAGGATAAGATTGACGATGCGTTCAATCACCCGCCTTTCGGTCAAGGTGAACTCTTTACCTTCCAGTGAACTGACAAGGCCGGTGCCGCCAAAAAACAAATCTACAAGACGATGAATGAGTTTTGCGTCCAGGGTTAACAGACAGATCCCCGCAAACGGTTTAATACGCAATAATTTGATGCAGGTCGGCACGTAGAGTGTATCGATATATTCCGAGTACTTGATCACCTGCACGCCACCGAGCCCCACTTCGACGGGGACCTTCAAACTGGCCGGCAGATCATTACGTAACATGCGAGCAAACCGTTCCGCGATCAGCTCCAGTGTTGGCATACGACCACGAACAACTTTGTCCTCGTTAGTCAGGTCGTAATGCGTAATTGTATTGCCACCCTCCTCGCCAAATTCGGTATCCAGCGAGCCATCATCAACACCCGTTAAGAGCGCATCAATTTCTTCTTGAGTGAGAACATCTTTATCAGCCATGGTGCAAACGCTTCCTATTGCAGGACAAAGTTGGTGAACAGAGCACTTTCAATGCCTGGAGAAACGTCATAGGTGGCCAGGACGCGGTTAACCAGTTCCACAATGCCGCGTCGCACAGCCTCTTTGCCTTCCTGCGTCTGCAGTTCAAGGAAATTCTGTTCGGACAGATAACTGACAATTTCACTTCGAATGAGGGGCATGTGCAGGATGACGGCTTCGATCGCCGCTTCGTTGCGCGCCATAATGGTAAATTCAGCCTGCAGATATCGAGGCTTCGAACCGGTGAGATAGTTCACGATGTAAGGCGGACGCATATTATGATAGATCGCCGTTTTCGGCTTGCTGCTGACCGTTTCAACGGGTTCTACCTGAGCTGCTTCTTCACCGCTGCTTAAGAAAAAGACGGTACCGCCAACGCTGGCACCAACGGCAACAACCAGTGCAATGACAAATATGATGACGTTTTTCTTACCGCCACCTTTTGCCGTTTCCTGCTCTACTGCTTCTTCAGCCATGTCAATATCCTGTTACTGAGCACTTTATTAATCGCCAATATCCTGGCGGTCTTTGAAAAGTGTAGTAAGGATTTCGAAATGCGCCCGTTTTTGTGACAAATTTTTGGCGCCCAGGATAGAGCTGCGGGATCTAGACGTAGATGTGGATGCCACCATCATCTCGTCGCTGCACAGTAGTGGCCTCTTCTGCCTGGGCGCCGGGACCTGAAGTTTCTGCTGTCATGCTCTGATGCATTGATTCCCTCGCACCCTGGTCGCTGCTCTGTCGCTCTCCTTGACGGATATCCAGTTGTCCCACATTAACACCGACATCCTGCAGACTCTGGCGCAGGCGTGCGACACTGGCCTCCAGAAGATCGCGAGTACTGGTTTCCCGTGCCATTATGGCCACCTGAACTTCGCCTTTTTCGGTTGAAAATTCGATATCGAGACTACCTAGCTCGTGCGGATTCAGTTGCAGAGTCAGACGTCCCTGGGACAACGCCTGACGAGACATCACACGCAGAATCTGATCTTGTACAGCCGTATCCATCTGTCGCGAACTCACTTCCGGCGCGCCTGGGTTTGGTGTTGCGACCGATTTCTGCAGTAAACTTGTAGACGGATCAAATCTCGCCGGAGTAGCTACAGGTCGGTCTGTGCTTTCCGTGCTGAAGCGCGCATCAAGCGCCGCAATAACTTCACCTTGAAGACGTTTGGTGTCGCTGCCTTGAGCGGTCAGGTGTTGCTCAACGTGGCGTTGCATTAGAGAGGCTGTGTTCACCGGTTGAGATTCAACCCGAGTTTGTACAGGATCTACCTGAACGCGATCAACCGTTGCTGCTTTTGCTTCACCCTGCTGTATCCAGCTGCCTGGCAGGGGCTTCAGAGTAAGGGGGGGGATCTGATTGACACTCTTCGGTGCGCTTGATTCATCCGCTGACTTAACAACGCCTGTCATTGCCTGATCCAGGTTCAGCTTTCCGGGAGCGTCCTTCGACTCAGAAAAGGCGCCACTTGTTAGATCTGTTTTAACATCCGTAATCCCAATTTTTGAAAAGGGTGTTTGTAGATCTGTGGGTAACGCATCAGTTTTACCCCCCGGAAGTTTTGCTGCGTTCTGCACAGAATCATTTGCGCGATCCAGCGAGTAAGAAGATCGCAACTGAGCAAGAGTGTTTGGGCTCGGCAAAGACTCAGTTGGAGCCGACCCAGACATCATCACTTGAGCCACTGGTTTCGTCTCCGCAAGCACCTGGAGCGTAGGATTCACATTCGCCTGTAACGACTCATTTATCCGCACTATAGCTTCTGGCACTGCACTTGTTGGCAGTGGTTGTGTTGATTTACCTGCGCTTTGCGGATCAGAAACAGGACGACTCTGTTGTTGAAGAGCGCTGAGACCGATGATGTCGGATATGTCCAGACCTTGGTTGGTGTCCCGATTTTCATCACCGGACAGCTTTTTATCGATCACCAGATCTTCATTGATACCCTCGCCTGTCAGTGCTGACACGACTAAAGGAGCTTGTTTGCCGCGTTCCGGCAACACATTGCCGACAGTCATTGCCGCTGGCAGTTCTATGTCTTCGTTGGATTTCGCCGGGAGCAGGTCATCTACGAGCTGCTCGGCGTCCGGCAATTCCGGTATGTCCTGTACAGCGCTCTGCTCTAACGCTGTTGAATCAACAAACGACAAAAAATTGACCTGGGCCTGATCGAGCATCTCTGCAAAATGATTCTCCGGCGACAACTTATTGACAGGCAAGCCTGCCGGACCGGCTGAAGACGAATTACCATCACCCGGCATCGAAGTATTTGCTTTGAGGGTTTTTACTGGCGCCGACAGCGCACTTAACAAATCAATAAACAGCGTCGTATCCCAGACTCCAGAGTTCTACTCTTGTTGCAATTAGCGGGCCAAAGGAAGGGGAAAGCGCAATCAATTTGAAAAGAAGGCGCAAGCTAATCAGAGCGATTCAATCAGACCATGTACATCATGCAGCTGAGTAGAGACCTGGGCCAGCAACTCCGGAACACGATCTCCGATACCCGCCTTAGCCTGATCTTCCAATAACGCGCAGGTCTGCTGAAGCTGCTCAGCCCCTACGTTGGCGCAGCTGCCCTTTAACGAGTGGGCCGACAACCGCAGGTTTGCAAAATCACCGCCATCCCAGGCCGACTTAGCGCTGTGGAACTGCTTCTGCGACTCTACAAGGAACGTCTGCATTAAGTCGCCAAACTCATCTTCCATAATGAGTTTCAGCTCGCCCAGCAATTCTTCATTCAAGATCTCATTCATCTTTCACATTCCAGCGCATGGTCACCTCAATCTGGTTGCCGGGTTCAACGTAGTTCACAGTTTCACATAGGTCCCAGAGCAAACGTATACCGCGGCCGTGATATCCACCAACGGTATCCACTGCGTTTCTGGCACGAGCCACAAATGTTTCAAAGTCAAAACCTTTACCACTGTCGGTCACGATGATCTGCAGGTGCACATCGTTATCCACCAGTTCGCCCTCAAAATCGAATCTAACAAAACCTTTGACACTTTCGAGAGCTCGAACCCGGGCGGCGTAATACGCTGCGAAGCCATCTGCCGAGGATTTCATTTCTGATCTTAAACCAAGCACTCCATGTTCCAGCGCGTTTGAATACAGCTCCGCAAGAACCGCATAAATTGCCGTTGCCTTGGTGCGAAGATACGGCGCACCCATCAATACCTGTTGTAACAGGGGCAGAGGATTAAAATCTTTCAGCGATTGTGGTCCCAGCTCATAGGAAAACTTCCAGTCCCTTGGACCACCCAGCGCTTCGACGTCGTCTACCACTTCAGCTGGCTGAACTTTATCTGGGGTGACTACAGTAATTTCAACCATAGTCAGATCGTC